CCAAGAGTCCTTCCCATCCTCGCCTCTCTCCTACGGCCCTGACAGACATCCTACTAAGACTCCTCTCCACACCTATCAGCCCAAGATGCGCCCCTTCTCCAGCCTCCTCGCCTTTGCACTCATAGCAGCGCTGACCACTGCCCTCACTCAAGCACTTCCAGCCAACCCCACCCAGCCTCAGAAGCCCCTCGCCGTCGACGCCCTCGTCCCTCGCTTTGCTGCTAGCATCCCCATCTCTGATGCACGAGCTCCAAAGCTCGATGTACGACCAGACGTTCTCAGGCCTCGGGCTACGGAGGCGCTCAGCGTTCCTGTCAACGACCGGGGTGAGGTCGTCAGTCTCACTGGCGAGAGCGCGGACCTTGCTGAGCGAAAGGAACATAGCGTGATCTGCGATGGTGAGTTGACACGAGTAGCCAACATTGAGCATCGCCCACGAAGCGGCCCTGACCGCTCTCGTTCCCTCGTGTATGCACAGCAAGGCACCTTTACAAGCGCCTACTAGCCCTCAAGCTCAAGATTGCCCTGATCAAGGTCCGCATCCAGGCCTACTTCTCCGGCGAGGTTTCTACCCACAAGATCATCAAGGAGCTTCACGCCGTCATTCACGAGATCAAGGAGACTACTGCCATACTCAAGATCTACCAGTCCCGAGGCGTCTTCTTCGACTACGCAGTGACTGCAGAGTTCGGTGTTGGCTTCAAGGTCCTCATGGATGACATCTTCATCGGCTTGCACGACATCTGCGCGTACGTCTCTGCCTCGGACCTCGCCATCGATGGAGTCCTCTTGACTACCCTGAACGATCTCGTCTACCACACTTCAGAGTTTTGTAAGTCCTGCAGCGGCCAGTGATGCAGATGACGAGAGCGTGCTACTGACACAGTCTTCTGCCTCACGCTGTCTTGACCAGTGAGCATCTTTGGCTGTGTAGTCCTCGGATTCTTCAACTACATTTGGGCACCCCTGGCCGGCTTCTTCCATGTGAGTGCCAATGACCTAGGTCAGAGGCTTCATACCGTCACTGTTGTCCCTGACCTTCCTGTTTCACTTGTCTTCCCAGGTCTGCATCAGTCTTGGACTCAACTTGAGCCCATGCGAGCCCCTTCTCTCACCTATTGGTCTCGGAGGACTCATCTGGGGCCACCTCTGAAGGAATCGCTTATGCGAGTGAGATACGAGCCGCGGCCACTATCGTCAACTCCAACGATGGCCCACGCCGCTGTCCGCTCTCAGCTTCCACCGTCTCCCCTTCCCCCTGTCACTGTACTTTGTTCGCGATGGGCACGCTCTCAGCGGCCCTCTACGCGCCACCCAAGCGACCGTCGTTCCTGTCATTGTCATCAGCACCTCGTCCCCGTCGTTGTACCTCTCGCTCGCCATTGAACATTTGAATGAATGATGATTGGCCGAGATGAGGCATCGAGCGTATTCTGAGCTCAGACCAGCATAGGTGGACTATGACTGATGTGTGCATTGGCGTCTATGAGCTGCCGAGATGAGATTGCGAGAGTGCCGTATCTTGCATGGCTGTCTGACCGGCTGACTGGACTGACTGACTAGCTGCAAGGGCCTGATGGACTGTGCCGCCGGTCTTCGCCGCCAGCGTCGACGGCAACTCGGTGTCTCCCCTCCCTCCCCGCTTGTCTACAAAAGTTGCGCACTGACTGCTCTTGGTGGCGTGGGCCGTGGGGAACCAGATTGGAGATGTGCCCCGCATGATTGACGCCAGATAAGTGCTTTGTGCCTGCAAGCCGCTCAGGGCCCCCCAGATCCAGAAACTTAGAGCACAGTCCGCCCGCTGATTACGCTGCAAGGATGATACTTACGATACTAGCTGTCCAAGTGTTGCTTTCCTCATTCGTTGCATTCTCACGCGCCTGGCGGCATGTCATGGCGTGGCGTGGCGTGGCTCAGAGTCAAGGAAAGGTCCCTATCGGGGCGGGGGAGGTGCCCTGTGCAGTGCGGGGCGGGGTTTGAAGCGGTTGCTCTTTCTTATCTCTTCTTCGCAGTCCTTGCAGCCCGCGCCCTTGGTCTTATCCCCCCTTTCCCCCTTAGTTCCGATGACTTGCCGCCGACAACGCTGCCGCTGCCAATTGCCCTTGTCTCGGGAAGCGACGAGAGGCTGCAGCTGCATCTTCTTCTGAACCTTTTGCCCACTTTGCACTTCGAGGCCTCGATATCGTTGCCGAGTGAGATAAGTCTCGGCAACGAGGCTATAAGTAGGCGCTCAGGGCAAGATGGGACTTCTAAAGGAACCGCCTGGAGCTTTTCCTCTTGATCCAACCGCTTGCCTCTTCCTCCCCTTTCCTCTTCGACACGACACCTCAACAAGTCCATTGATATCCTGCAATGGCGGCCTCTGTAGCTCAGGTCCTCTCCCCAGGAGTAGGATGGGCCGTAGTCATCTGTCTCGGTGTCGCCTTCTCAGGGCTGATGCTGCTCATCATCTTTGTGCAGAATCGATACGCACCCACCGCACACGGTAGCGCCGATAACGACGAATTCTCTTCCGCCTCGCGATCAGTCAAGCCCGGTCTCATTGCCTGTGGTATCGTATCTGCTTGGACCTGGGCCGCGACGCTAGAGCAGTCGGCCGCTGTGGTAAGTGTCAAAAGTCAAAGGCAGATTCTGCTTTACAATCTCCAGCCGCTCATATCTCCAATGATTTCCCCTCCTCTCTATCTCTCAGGCCTACAAGTATGGTGTTTCTGGCCCCTACTGGTATGCGGCAGGCGCAACTGTTCAGGTCCTCTTGTTCGCAATCATCGGTTCGAACCTGAAGCTCAACGCGCCCTTCGCTCAGACCTTCCTCCAGGTCATTCGCGTCAGGTGGGGCAAGCCCATACATTGCATGTACGTGGCATACTCTCTAGGGACCAATGTCCTCGTCTCTTCCATGCTTGTTCTGGGAGGAGCTGAGACTGTCAATGCGCTCACCGGGATGCCCGTTCTGGCCGCCGGATTCATCACCCCAATCGGCATTGCCTGCTACGTCTTGATCGGTGGTCTACGAGCCTCCTTTGTGGCAGACTACACCCACACTGCAGTCCTCGTCGCCATCATCTTGGCCTTTGGCTTCACTGTGTACGGCTCTAGCGAGAAGATCGGAAGCTTCTCAAGGATGGAAGAGCTCCTCCGATCTGCTGCTCCCGTCGAGGGCAATGCCAAGGGATCCTACCTCACCATGAGGTCGCAGAATGGTCTCATCTTCGGCATTATCAACATTTGCGGTAACTTCGCTACCGTCTTCCTGGACCAAAGTTATGCTCAACGTGCCATTGCCTCTCGCGGAGAGAGCGCTACAAAGGGCTTCCTCTTGGGTGGAATGGCCTGGTTCGCTGTGCCCATGGCCATTGCGAGCTCCCTCGGTCTGGCTGCGAGGGCCCTTGAAGGCAATGACCCCGACATGGCCATCCTGTCGGCATCCGATGTCTCTGCTGGACTTCCTGCGCCAGCTGCTGCTGCTGCGCTGCTAGGCAAGTCCGGAGCCATCATGATGCTCATCCTTCTCTTCCTCGCCGTCACCTCTGCTCTAGCTGCTCAACTAGTGGCCGTGTCCAGTGTCATCACCTTCGACATCTTCCAGCCTTACATCAAGCCCAATGCCACGGGCAAGCAGCTCTTCTTTGTCTCTCACGCTGGAGTCTGCTTCTGGGCCATCTGCTGTGGTGTGCTTGGCTTGATCTGGAAGTACATCGGAGTAGGTCTTGGCTGGATCTACGTCATGATGGGCTGCGTCGTTGGCCCCAGTGTCTTCCCCGTCTTTGCTTGCATTGCCTGGTCGAGGGTGAACAAGACGTCCGCACTCGTTGGCACCTTGGTAGGAGAGGTGTGCGCCATTGTCGCATGGCTCGTCAGCGCTTCTCAATTGGAAGGAGAACTGAGCATCGACACTACCAACGCCAACAACCCTCTGCTGGCCGGCAACTTGATCGCCGTCCTGCTCCCCGTCCTCATCATTGTCCCCTGGAGTCTGATCTCTCCCGACAACTACGACTGGGAGGGCACACGAGCCATCAATGCACCTTGGACAAAGACGAACTCGCAGACCAGCAGCACTCATGAGGACACTTCTTCGCAAGACGAAAAGGTACCAAGTGGTACGCCTCCTAATGAAAAGGCCACCCTTGCAGTTGCTGAGAAGTCGGCCGGCGAACCTGGGTACAACGTCGAAGTGGCAGGGTACGAACGATTGCACCTGCTGCGAAGTGCTGGTCTGGACCCCGAGAAGCTCGTTGCGTCTAGGCGAATGGCATACAGGGCTGCAATTGTCCTCACATTTGTCCTGGTCATCTTCATTCCTTGCATGACAGTCATTGCAGAGACTTGGACCGCTGCAGGTCTGGGCGTTTGGATTTCGATCGTTCTCGGATGGCTCTTTGTCACCGCAGGCATCGTTGTTGTCCTGCCCCTGTGGGAGTCGCGAGAGGCCCTGGGCAAGATGCTCAAGGGATTCGCAAAGGACTTGGCTGGTGGCAAGGGAAAGGCCACCCCGTGAGAACTTAGGCTGGTGGGTTGGCCGTGATGGTCCTCTTGCCATGGAGTTCCAGCAACGAACGCGGAGCCCTGAGCGATGATGGAGTAGAGTGCTTTTTGTCACCCCTTGTATGTCTCGTCAATGTCACAAATACCTTCGCTTTACGTTGAAACGCCTTTGCTATTGCTTGTCAGCACTGAAGTGAACTTCCATTTGACGCTGTCCAGCTCAGAGCTCACTGCCGCAACCCAGCATCCTCTTCTAATCGCTGCCATTCATTGTTGTTCCCAGTGAGGCGGCCGTCGACTCTTCAACTTCTGTGCCCTTGCCCTTGCTGCGAAGGGGCTCTTTCGATGGCCTTGTGACTCAGGCACCTTGGCTCTGCGGGGCCTCCATCGACCAGCCGGGCTCAACGGCTTTGGGCGGGTCTGGCGTTTTGTTGCGCGGGGCGTGGCGCGGTAGGGCGGCGGGCCGGAGAGTCCCCTCGCGCCCTGATAAGATCAAAGACCAAGGCACTTCGATCTCCGCCACGTTTTCAGTCCGTGGTGCTCCTCTTGCTCCTTGGCGCCGATCGCCCGTAAGGGAAAAAAGGGCATAGAGTCATCGCCTCTAGTACACCTCGCATCGTACCATACCCGCGCACCACGACCTACCTTTCTCGGCGCCCTCTCTCTCGCTGCTGTCACTGCCATACGCCAAGCACCGTACAGGCCACCATCACAATTTGCCATCTCTGCGCTTCGTCACTTCATAGCCACTTCCCACGCTGAGCTCTGTCCGAGCCATTCTTCCCAAGGACGAGGAAGCTTCGATCTTGGGACTCCAACGCCTCATCGCTTCCTCGTCTGATCTCACGCTACCATGAACATACCCTGGCAGTCAGTTGGTCCTTCCACTCCGACTCGATCACTCTCGGATCAGTCGCGATTGAACATGGCCACCGCCTCGTCTTCCGCCAGTCTTGGCGGGAATGGTCAAGCGCTTGCGGCTTCGCAGCAGCAGCAGCAGTATAGACATCGAGCGCCCACGGCAAGCAGTAGCAAGACTGACAGCAGTCATACTACATCTCTGCTTACCCCTTCCTCTGGCTTCTGGGGCCAGCTCAATGCTAATGACCTGGACGCCCTCGCCTCGGCGGACAAGAGCGTTGCCAGCTACGGCACGGACCCGACAATACCTCAGATGATGGATCTCCTCTTCCCATCGACTAAGCAGCATTGCTATACGGCCCACGATCATCAAGACTGCAACGTCGATGCGGCGCTGTGCAAGTTCGACTTTCCCGCGCCCTTCCACAGTCATGGCTTTGCGGCTAAGCAGCAAGCAGACTATGGCTCTGCGCCCTTCACTCTAGAAAGCTGTCCGGACGAGTCTTGCAACGTCGGCCACCTTCCTGGCCCCACGCTGCCCATTTGCTGCGATGATCCACATCACACAACCATCTCCGACGCTTCTACCATCTGCTCGACGGCGGGTGATGAGGCATATGGCGGCACGACGTGCTGTCCGCCGTCTTGCCCATCCACCATGGACTCACTCCTACCTTGCGATCAGAGTGGCGCTACAGTCGTCTGCGCAGATGCCTCCTGCTCGGATCCAAGCTGCGATCAGGCCTTTGCGACAACGAGCAAAGTGACTCTGCAGCCCTCGCATAGTCATGCCGAAAGCTGCGTTTCCGTATGCGATGGAGTCGTGGCGGAAAGTCTACCGGAGGCAATGTACGATGGTTGTGGTGATTGCAACACGGCGGAGGGTGTCGTGACGGATCCAAGGGGAAGCTTTGCACAGAGTCTTCATAATCTGGTGAGTCGCTTGAGCGAGCGAGAATTGCCCTCAATGATAACTGACCGTCGGGCCTCTGCCTGTCATTGCCTTGCAGTTCTTAGACTGCTGTCGCGAGTGTCCCGACGAGCACCTTGATCCCTGTTGTCCTCCGGCCCAGGTCAATCGCTTTCATCGTCCCAATGTAGTAGAGAGCGGCATACCTACTCCAGCGGCCACTGTAGGCACTCGGTCAACGCCTGACACACAGACCACAGGCACGCCTGGTCATACCACTCCTCAATCTCGCTTCGCACAGTCGCCCATCAGTCATCAGCCGACAAGTCTGGAGGCGGCCCTACGACATGCTTGTCAATCTAGTCATCCTCATAATCATGATAACTCAGGTCTCTGCTTGGCACCTGGGGCAAACAAGTGGAGACAGACTAGTCTTGGCCGATCAGGACAAGTGGCAGCAGGGACAGCGGCGGCGGCGTCGCCTGCAACCTACCGCAGGACAAGGCCTGCTGCTATTCAGTGCAAGTGGGCCGGCTGCTCGCATGTCGCTTCGGACATCTCTCAGCTCGCCGCACATGTTCACTCTGTCCACCTGTTGCCTCAAGAAGCCGAGCCCGATGCTTCTTTCGAGCCATGGCAAGCTAGCGCCTCTCAGCAGCATGTCAACGGGCATCATACTGCCTTTGCACAGCCTTCCAAACCTTGTCAATGGGACTCGTGTGATCACATCGACCTTCCTTATGGAGGAGCAGCTACAGCCGATGCCATTCTGCAGCACCTTTTACAAGCCCACCTTAGCGATCATGCACGTCCAGTCTGGCCTATGCAAAAGCAATTATCTTCCTCGTCCTCCTCGTCCTCGCCTGCGCTGCAGCAAGATGTCCATACTTCCTCCATTGCCTCGATGCCGATGCAGCCACAGCAGAGTAGAAAGAGACGCCTTTCCAGCATCCAGAATTTCGGTTCGACCGAGACTGGGAAGGGAGAAGCGCCGCTGCCGCCTCCGAAGGTGCCGACTCCCGAGTCTGTGTGGGCCGGCTCCGTTGATGGAGGGCACAGCGCTTTCTCTCCCACTGCCACGTCCTCTTGGACCGAGGAACACCAGTGTGGCTGGCTGGGCTGTTCGGAGCACTTTGACTCTCACCAGGCTCTGACTGATCATATTGCTCAAGATCATGTTGGTGGTGGCAAGTCAAGCTATACTTGTTTGTGGAAGGGATGTCAAAGAGGGGAGCAAGGGAAGACATTCCAACAGCGGCAGAAGATCTTGAGGCATTTGCAAACACACACTGGTGAGTGGGAGCGTATGCATCGATGTCCAGCAGGGAGAGCTTGAAACTGATGCGATCTTCTCTTCTCTCCCTTCTAGGCGATCGACCATACAAGTGCACCGTCTGCTCCCGTCGCTTCTCCGAAGCCAATACCCTCTCTCAGCACATGCGCACCCACACGCACGAGAAGCCATACCTGTGCGACTACCCCGGCTGCAACGCCCGTTTCGCCGTTGCGGGATCCTTGACCATCCACAAGAGGTCGCGACATACGAACGAGAGGCCCTTTGTGTGTACTTGGCCGGGTTGCAATCGAGCTTTTGCCGAGAGCTCGAATCTGACGAAACACGTGAGTTTCCGATGCCAGCCGACCTGCTTTGCTTGTTCACGGCATTTACATACCCATCTCCTCCTTTCCCTGACCTTTAGCGCCGTGTGCACTCGGGCGAACGGCCCTTTGCGTGCGACAAGTGCGACCGGCGCTTCTCTAGGCCTGATCAGCTCTCCCGGCACGCCAAGATCCACGAAGCCAAGAAGGCTCAGTCTTGAAGATTCACTGGGGCAAGGCATTTTCGGAACATTGCTCGATTGGCAGAGAGGCTATTTCTTCTTGGACTGACACAGGATGGGATGAGGTTCCCCTGCCAGCTGGAATGTGACGTACATTTTCCCGCAATACTAAGCCAACATTAACGGAACGATTCGTGACTGATGGAAAGCAACAGCTTGACAAGCGTGCAACGATTTCGTATTGGGTGTAGGAAGGTCCATCTTTTGTGGATCCTTCAAAGATGATGTTGTGTGGGCTCTCGTGAAGAGAGTATAGCGAAGAGAGTACAGAGTGGAAGCGCATATTGCTGGCTGAAGTGCGACGGGCTCGCTGATCCCTCTTCCACAGCTACCTCACTAGTCCGCATCAGAGGAACTCGCAAGTCAGACGGCGACCCGAATGAAGTGGCTTGGTGATCCACTCCCATGTCGGAGCGATCGACTCTCTGATCTGCTCCGACCGTCGCACCGACGCCCGACGAAGGCAATAAACCAAGCGGGGAAGTTCTGAAGGGCTTCCCCAACTACACTGGCAATTTTGTTTCGCGTGTCGGAGAGACGAAGTCTCCGTTTGCACCGACGCCCGAAGAGAGCAAGAAGTGGTCAAGCGGGAAGCTCAAGTCGCTGCCTCTTGCACCCCCACACTCTCAATCTCCCGTCGCCTTTACGTCTACTCGGGGCAAAATCTCCTGCCCCAGGATTCCGCACAAGAGGGATCAAAGCAAGACCTGGACGCACCGTAACCGCACGTGCCGCTGGAAGCCCCAACCAATCGCAGACGAGTCTGTCTGCGGGCCACAAGTACGCCACAACTACCGATCTCCCTACGAAGATCTTGAAACAATACGATCGCCCTTTGCGCTCGCTTCTGAATTCATGGTCTATCGCTTGATCTTTAGTCATTCTGGCATTTCGAATCGGAGCGAAACGAATCGACGCGAAACTTTTCCCACCCTCATCCCGCTCTCGCTCTCCCTTGATATGGCAAGCGGCTTTGTATTGATCGTGTGATGGTCAGGAGTGGCGCAAGATCGGGGGCACAGTGTGGGTACCAGTGGTGCATCGGGAGGCACAATCTGACTATCTCGCCTATGATTGCGGTGCCTTTATGTGGCAAAACTGTGGCGAAAAGTTTTAACTGTGCATTTGCGTGGGGACTGGTACACAGGACCATTGCCCAAAGAGGCTAGAATTGTGAGGCCGTGGCCTCAGACGGTCAGGAGGTGGTGTAGGTGAGTAGGTCAGTGAGCGGTCAGCTGGTCAGCTGGTCAGGCGAGCTCATCGGCGTGGCTGTCATTGGATCAAGGCACTTCGACGATGTAGAGCGAGAGAGAGATGGAGCTCGTATGCATCCTGGCCCAGGCCTGTGATTCTTATGCAGCAGTAGGAGGGAGAGGCACTTTGCGCGGTACCGTAAGGTTTGTCGGCCACCTCGGCGCAGACAGAGCGATGACCTGCCTCCGCTTGCTCCTTGGTGCAATTCGGACCTTGCACTCTGGCCTCGGCGCGGGGAAACTGCAGTGCAGCGGCGCGGGAGCAGAGGCGCGGCGGCGGAATCAGCAAAGTGTCTCGGCGAATCTGTTCAGTGTCCGCCTGCGAGAAAAGCGGGGCGCCGCCTTCGCTTCGGTCGCCGACGTGAGCGGAGGCTGCCCCGACAGATGTCTTCCCCACTGCTTCCTCGCAGCAAACCTCGTAAAGACACTGGCCTCGTGCCTGGCGCATGCATGACGCGTTGTCTAGACGCACCCACCTTTCGCACTCCGCCCAGGGATCATGCCTGCTACTCAACGCGCTCGAGGGGCGAATTGCACTCTGTCCCACAGGGATCCAATCAGGTATATGAACCCCCCTCGCCCCATGTCCCATCCCCACTTTTCATTTAAAATCCCCCACAAACTGGTCACTGATCGTCCTCTTCGATCTGCCTCGTCCCGTCTCCTCCCTCCGCCTCCCCCTGCCTTAGTCTTTGGACTATCGTCGTACTCGCGATGAACCCCAACACCAACCCTCACGCAGCACCCCCTCTCGGCGGGACTGCGGAATCCCACTCTCACACTGGAGCAGCCACCGGTCTGCAGTCCCCCGGTGCTGATGACAAGCACATCTCCAAGGAGGCCTACGGATACAACCGCACCGATGATGCCTCTTCTCTAGACCACGGTCGTGGCGCCTCTGATGATAGCCTCGATGGCGCAAAGGCCAAGATCGTCAACCCTCTCTCTCACCTATCAAAGGCCGAGCTCCTGTCCCAAGCCGACGCTTTCATCGCCGAAAAGGGTCTCGAGGAGCACAGAGACATCATCAGGCGTGGAGCCCTCGTTGCGCAGAGCCCCGCCGGGTACGGCTCCCTTGACGAACTCTCCACCGAAGAGAAGGACGCAATCAATTACGAGTTGAGCCACAAGTGGAGTCACCCCTTTACCCTCTACTTTACCATTGTCACTTGCAGTATCGGAGCTGCCGTCCAGGGTTGGGATCAAACCGGAAGCAATGGAGCCAACCTGTCCTTCCCCACCGCCTTTGGCATCGGCGACTCCACCATTGCGAGGAACTCGTACATCGTCGGAGTCGTCAATGCGGCACCTTATCTTGCCTCGGCATTCGTCGGATGCTGGCTCTCGGACCCGCTCAACAACTTCTTTGGTCGACGTGGCTGCATCTTCATCACTGCTCTCATCCTCATTGCTACACCCATCGGCTCTGCCTTCACTCAAAGCTGGCAGGGACTCTTGGTCGCTAGGCTGATCCTAGGAATCGGAATGGGCGCCAAAGGATCGACTGTACCCATTTTCGCTGCTGAAAATTCGCCCGCAACCATCAGAGGAGCTCTCGTCATGACCTGGCAGCTTTGGACAGCGTTTGGTATCTTCCTCGGCTCTGCCGCCAATGTCGTCGTCGCCAACACAGGCAGCATTTCTTGGAGGCTGCAATTGGGTTCTGCTTTCATTCCCGCTCTGCCTCTGGCCGCTGGAATCTGGTTTTGCCCCGAGTCTCCACGATGGCTAATGAAGAAGAATCGCTATCCAAAGGCCTTCCGATCCCTCTGTCGGTTGAGGCACAACAGGATCCAAGCAGCACGAGACTTGTACTACATTCACACCTTGCTCATGGAAGAGGCAAAGATCATCAAGGGCGCTACGTATATCCAGCGAGCCATGGAACTGTTTACCATTCCTCGAGTCAGGAGGGCCACGGTCGCATCCGGCGTCGTCATGCTCGCGCAGCAGATGTGCGGTATCAACATCATCGCCTTTTACTCGTCCACCATCTTCGTCAATGCCGGCTTCACCACTCGCCAGGCCCTCTACGCCTCCCTCGGCTTCGGAGCAGTCAACTTCGTCTTCGCTTTTCCGGCTTTGATGACGATTGACACCTACGGAAGACGTACCCTGCTGCTCTTCACCTTCCCTAACATGTGCTGGACTTTGCTCGTGGCAGGCTTGGGCACGCTCCTACCAATGGGTTCCACGGGACAACTGGGAGTCGTCGCGACATTCGTATACCTCTTTGCTGCATTCTACAGCCCTGGAGAAGGACCTGTGCCCTTTACGTACTCGGCAGAGGTGTTCCCATTGGCACACCGAGAGATGGGAATGGCCTGGGCGGTAGCTACGTGCCTCTTCTGGGCTTCCATCCTCTCCATCTTCCTCCCTCCCATGCTCGACACAATGAAGCCAGTCGGAGTCTTTGGATTCTACGCTGGACTCAACGCCTTGGCCTTCTGTCTGATCTACCTCTTCTTGCCAGAGACCAAGCAAGCTACCTTGGAAGAATTGGACGAAGTCTTTTCAATCAAGCACTCTACTTTCATCAAGTACCAATTCACTCAAGTCACCCCTTCGTGGTTCAAGCGCACCATTCTTCGCAAGAAGGATTATCCTCGTCCACCTCCTCTTGTCGCAGTCGACGAGCATGTGGCAAGTGCAGCGGCAGACTTTGCCAACAAGGGACGCGCTTGAGCCGACGGTACGACTCCGAGGGAAGGGATACGGACGCGGACGTGCGAGCGGCAGGCGTGCCTCGCCTTTCGTTCCGATTTGCCCGGCTCGAGCACGTGTGTAGGCGAAAACTATGTTTCCCTTGGTTTTTTTTTTGTTTCAAGTACCCACTTTGCAATTGATTCACCATTCACCATTCATCACAGATAAGATCGTGTTCGACTGAGCAGGCGGTCTTGCCAGCATTGTGAAGTGAAGCGGACGCGGCGTGAGCATTGACACCGAGAGCCAAGGGAAGGGTGCATTGACTGCGCGTGAGTAATTTGTACATGTCCCCTTTCTCTGCCTTCAGAACAAGGGTACCGTGTGTGGATAGAAATTGTGCTTGTCAGCCGCCCAGCAATGCTCGAACACTTCGAGGATCTAGCGGTACAACATGGCTAGAGGCGATCATGACCTGGACACGATGACGCTCCTACCATCACATCCGTAGGAGCTTCCTAGACGTGCAAGTCTTGAACCGTTGACTAGCCCGTCGATCACGATGCGCACGTTGCTTTACAGGCGATCCCAGCTATCGATCTTCTGAGACTCATCGCGTCTCGAGGAGACCAGCCGCTTGATGCCTATATCCCACTGCTCCCCCGTCCAACGCTCTCTTATCGACATTCGATCTTGACGCTCTGAGGACGGAGCAAAGAATCGGAAGGGGTCTGCCGAGAGGACGTCATCTTGCTTTTGGGAGGCGCGACCATATGCATCCAGGACGGTCCGATAAGGGTCCAAGAGCCTGTTACGGACATTGCTGAGAGCGGGAGTGTCGACTCGCAGTACGACACAACACGCGGCAATGCCGATGAAGAGAATAGTCACACTGATGAGGTTTGACAGCAAGAATTTCGGGTGGTATATAAGAGCAAGAAAGGGCGGCGGGTGTCAGCATATCTGATTGCTCACGGACGCTGTTGTGATCTATGCAGACCGGGAGTACTCACGCGAGAGCCACCGCCAATAGTACAAGCGCTACGAAAGGGGCAAAAGGCAGGCGGCTGCCCAATCCTGGCTTTCCCAAGATTTGCAGCGCTTCCTGCTGATCGTACAAGGTAGAACTGTATGCCACCGTCTGTCTTGAGATCTCCAACGCCGCGGCATCGGCAAAGCTCATCGTGGTATTGTCGAAACCTGTGCCTCTGACGACGTTGGTAATGTCGTCTGCTACAGGCAATCCATAGCTCATGTACTTTGTCTGATTGAGAGGCGCTAGCTCTTTTTGGATGACCGTATAAGTACTGGGCGGCAAGAACTTGTACTCGACTTGATAGGCAGCGACGGTACAATCAAAAATGCCCAGAGCACCTCGATGACCCCATTGTATAAAGCCAGTGGATTCGATGAGGCCTCCAGATGTGGCGTTTCCGTAGTCTGCATACGCAAATGTTTCGGCCTCGAAGACGAATCGGAAAGGGCTGAGGAGGAGAGGACGGTCAGCAAGACACACCGACGGGAAAATTCTGTATGTAATCATAATCAAGGATTCATTCCCTCTGCGCGCAGCTCTGGTGGAACTCACTTCGAAGGCGCTAGCCAGCTCAGGAAGTCATCAACATTCCCCACCAGTGTTGCATCCGTAGCAGGATCAATGATGTCCGCAATGTGGCCGTTCGTTGGGGCTCCGTATTGCCGATCGTGGTAATCGTCCGCTGTGGTATTGACAGTTGGGCAAGCAAATTGCAGCGAGGCTTGGTCGCTGCCATGAGCTCCACGACACAAGATGTAGGTTTTGTTGTCATACGTTATCGAATCATCACATGTGACGCATCGGTTAGTAATTGCTTCGCAGGTTGTGGATATGCCAATGGAAGTCGCGGTATAACTGTATCCCAGGCCGAGGCGAGGAGGGGGCACCATTATGGCAGTCCCATCGTCAGTCCACACGGACATGTACGAGTCAGAACTATTGGACAATGTTCGCAGGGCGTCCGGTAGTGTGTCGTACTGTTGATTGTTGGCACCCTCTCTACTCGTATGTCAACATGAAGGTGTCAGTAACTCTTCACATCGAAACATAAGCAGTCGACTGGCATTGGAATTGACTCACGCAAAGATGCCGCATGAGCCTGTGACATAAGAGCTGGTAGCATTTGCATTTTGGATGCTCCATTCAGCGCATTTTGAGTCGTTGAATGGACGACTTGGGAGATACGCAGCAAGCTCTGATGACTGACTTCGACTGACCGGCCGCACTACTGCGATGGGATCGATGGTGAAATGGATTGCCCAGTCTGTCGCGCTGATGCCCTGATGAAGTAAGAGGACCCAGGACAGAAGTGCAACGGTTGCCAGAAGATAGCCTGGCAGACGCACTGCCGCATGTCGCTTGGCGGATCCGCGTCCAAACCAGAGCCGCCAGGCTTGCTTTAGGCTGCGGAAGTTCGGTGCACCGAGAACATTGATGATCATGCCGTATCTGCGCGTCGCAATGGAGTCGAGATTCGACTAAGATGTGGGAGTATAAGATGCAGACAGGGAGAACTCACTGGACCGGAGTAGGCAGATTCATGGCGCGACGAAGGCTGCTGTCAGTCCACCATTTGCCCGCTACAATGGAAGCGCAAAGGCTCATAAGTGGCACCATAAGTAATTCTGAAATCTTAGGTATGGAGCTACTGATCTCGAGTAGGGTGGTGGTGGCGGCACCTGTGACAAGCCATGTGCCTTCCAGTTGTACAGGATTCCATACAGCCACAAACAAGACCAAGAAAGCCGCGGGCACCAAGAGACTGAACGCCAGGACGCAGGAAAGAAGCAGAGAGCAGCATGCGGTTCGAAGAGGCGACTGATGCCTAGGGTAGCTGATCGGCACTGGTCCTCCGGTCTTCTGGCCATAGCTGTCCTCACGTCCGAGGTGTATGACCTCGAACGATCGCTGTGATTGAACCCTAGAGGACTTGCGGTCTTCCGATCTGCTCGAATCAGAATGATAGAGCTGATAGGTAGGGCGACGAGGGCCAGAGGAGGGTCTGTTCGACTCTCTACGACTGTGTTGCGATGGGCGGCCAGCAAGTGGAGAATACTGGGGAGAGTTGGACATGGCGCTGTTGTAGTCGGCTCGTGCTTTTGTGGTCCCGCCGGTACTGGGCAAACTTCTTTCAGGACCATCCTTATATGTCTACGGCCAACGGCAGCCATGGAACATCCTTGGAACCAATCCCTCCTCCCCTCCCCTCCCCTTTTTCATTGCCTCTCCTCCTCTCCTCTTGTAAGGGTGAGACAACGAGGAGTATTTCAATGGAAATTTTTCACAGAGCGATCTCAAATTGCCCTTCGAGGTAGCTAGCTTCACGGCTTGGCATCGCTGGTGGCTGGACCGCTTCGCTGGTGGTACGATAAGCGGAGGTCGCTCGGGTCTAGCCCACGCCACACGCACCAGAAGGTCCTTCCGGGGCTGCGCGCGTGGAGTCACGGCGCCACCCCCGGCGGCACACCTTGGGTGTGGGGTGCACTATCTGAGACAAGAATCCAGGGACTGGGTGGCCATGGACATGGCGGTGAATTGCACAGAGAAGGCCTCTTGAGCTGGAGCAACATCTGGTGTCTGATTGGGAGAGCTTCACCGTGAGACACATGAGCATGGAAAAAGATGTCATCGCGTCTTGAAGGTGGCGCCCTCGAGAGGGCCAGCAAACAGATGAGAAGGCCCAGCCTGTCGAGGAAGAAGAGTTGCCTATGGACTCGAAACCCAAGAGATGACGTTGAATGGTCAGTCATGTAAAGTGAGATAATAACACCAATTAAAGTTCACCCCAGAAATTCGCGTCGAGCAGAGCATGACCGCGCTTGCGTAGACTCACCTGCGTCGCCGTGCACCTCGCTCATACCTATAACGGGCCAATCACCTTCCGTGTGGTCATCGTTTCTCAGTGAAGCTGCAGTAGACCACGGTATCACGAGCATCATCCAAGCTAGTGCAAATGGCATCTACACCCATAAGACTGCGGCCACCTGCCAAACGTTGGCGGGTGTTCCCTCGCTTTGATGAGTGATTGATCGCCTCGATCCATTGTGCAGCGTGGAAATTTAGAGGTGCACGGACCACAGACCAGCTGAGTCGAAGCCACCTTTTGACTCGACTCGACTCGATTCGCTTTGACTCGATTTGTATTGAGCCGCGTGTAGCTTCCGTCTGGACTGATACAGTCGATCGGTACAAAGTCAGATACTTTCCCTCGACCTCGACTCTCCGCCCCGAACATTCGTACATCGGTGCGAAGAAGAGCATGAGCTCAACCACGCCCGCTCCCGCTCCTTCTCACACCTCCACGTCGAAAGTGAAGCAGCTGCAGCTCCCTTCCGTCTTCCACTTCGAGGGATGGGAGATCCGCTACAGACTCTCCCGGAGCAGTGGTAGTGCAGCTTCCAAAGAGGCAGCTACAGATGCAGCGCAGGCCGCTAGCACAGGTGCAGGTGCTGAGCCCCTCGTCTTCGTCCACGGCACGCCCTGGTCCTCGGCCGTGTACGGACCGGTGATTGAAGCACTGCAGGCGAAGGACGGCGGTAAGGGAGCATCGGCAGGCACGGGCCGTACGAGCCTTGTGTATGACCTTCCAGGGTATGGACAATCCCAGAATTTCCAGTCATCGCTTCGCGCTCTGGCTGCCACCTCGGCAGGAACAGGCGAGACTTCCAGTGTCCGGCCTGCCTTCGTGGGCGATACATCCGTTCGTCTCCAGGCAAGAGCGCTCGCTGCCCTCCTCAAGCACACGAAACTCGACGGAGCACCCAGCGATGCTCTTCCTCCGCTGGTGATCGCTCATGATATCGCTGGCACCATCGTACTGCGTGCGCACCTCCTCGAGGGTTGCGCCTTCTCCCGCATGCTCCTGGTAGACACAAATACGATCCTGCCGTGGGGCGATGGCTTCTACAAGCTGTTGCGCTCCGAGCCTGGTCCATTCACGCGGCTTCCATCGCCCATATTCGAGGCGATGTTGCGTGCGGTGATTAGGAGTGCTTGCTACAGGGGGGAGGCGCTGAGCGCAGATGGGGGAGCGGGTAGGTGGGAAGACGTTCTTGCTCAACCGTGGCTTCCGCACCCGGAGGACACATCATCGCAAGATGGACAGCACAGGCAGCACAGCTTCGTCCGCCAAATCGCCCAAGCCAACGACGCCGACGTTGCCGAGCTCTTCGCTGCAGACAAAGGAGGAGGATACAGCAATGTGAACTGCGATGTCACGGTCCTCTGGGGCGAGGAGGATCAGTGGATCCCGCGCGACAAGGTCGAGACATTTATTGGGATGCTGGGGGAGAGATGCAAGCGCAAGGTGTTTGTGCCGCGGGCGGGACATTTGCTGATGCTGGATCAGCCGGAGGTGTTTCAGAGGGAGGTGCTCGAGTGGTTGGAAGTGGAATAGAATGGACCGACGGAGCAGCGAGGGTATGATAATGTACAGTAAAGGGTTCCAAGGATGTGGCTGATCGAATGTATACCCATCGACTTGTCCGCCTTGCGCCGCTCATCGGCTCTTACCCAAGTCCCACTCTCTCACCGAACCTTTCGGTGCGTACTTTGTATCGAGCGCCGAAGAGCCCACTGCAGTTGCCTCCTTCTCCTCATTGTCCGCTTTAGACCGATGACGGTGAGAGCTGCGTCGCCTCCGCTCAGGTGACGCACTCCGCGACCTTGAAGCAGACCTGTTGCGCCTGCTGTGTTTGCTGCGATGCCCCTCCTCTTCGTCGCGAGACCGATCGTGAATGCGGTGATGACTTTTGCGGGCTCGGTCTGAAGTTGATGACCTCGATGGGGAGCAGGATTCCGATCTTGCGTCTCGGCGGCTGTGACGTTGGCGCTGCTCGCTATCGTGATCGCGGCGGGGAGAGCGATACCTCGGAGGAGAGACAGATCGATCGCGATGGCGCCGATGGGACGAGGGTTCCTTTGTGTGCCCTCGGCTACGTTCAGAAGCCGAACCTCTGTCCCTGTCTCTATCTCTGGCTTTGTCGGCTCTTCGGCGGCTCCTCTCGTCCTCTTCCTGCCTCCTGGCCTTTCTCCTCTTCCTCCTCTCCTCTATCTCGCGTCTCTCCTCCTCATCCCTCGTCTTCGCTCTATCCAGCAGCGTATCCCATCCTCCATCTTCGATAAGCCCCCAACCGCCATCTCCATCTACTGTCTTCGTAGAGTGCTCCGGCGCAATGTCGAGGGAGGGATCGTAGGACGAGGTAAAGTACTTGTCCATCTTCGAGGGGATTGCCTGGGGCTTCTCAGTCTTGCTAATTGATCGAGAAGAGGAGGCAGAACCGGTTGCTCGTCGGTCAAGATCTCTGGGGTAGCGATTGCTGTGACCGCCGCCAGATTGCCTCCTCGTGGGCTGATCATCATACCCTCCAGCATCACCAACTGCTTCTCCTCTTCTCCTCTTCTCCCCCTCCAGAGCCTCTCTCAGCCCACGCTTGATCACCGCTCGATTGTGTCCCTCTACACCTCTGATAACCCCAGCCAGAAAGCTCTTGTTCGTCGAAGCCGCCTTGCTCGGGTCAGGCGCACTCGTTTCCCCTGCTGAGCTCTTTGTACCGCTTCCGCTTCCGCCGGCATTGCGATCCCTCGTCTCCTGAAGAATCGCATCGGAGATGAGCTTGTCTAGCTCCGCTTCGCTGAGCGTCAAGTCTTGGTTTGAGGAGACGAGAGAAGCAATCAGGGAGTCGAGGATGCCGCTATTCTTCGTTGCCGTCGAGTTGCTCGAAGAGGAGGATGAGGTGCGCAGGGACATGGTCAAAACCTTGGACCACTGGGGCCACTAAATGCCAGCCTGCAGAATCGACAAGGCCGCCAAGGAGGCGAAGCAACGAGCTGGCGGACCTCAGAACGTGACTCTGCTCACATCGGCTGCTGTGAGATGGTCATCTGAGACGTGGATGAAGTCTGCCTGGCGGGCTTCTTGGCTATCGTATGGTGTGGATCGCTCTGTGCGAGGCGTGGAAATCGCGACTTCGGGGCAAATCGAGGCTGATTTTCGTGGCTTTCCGCCCGCGATCCGACGCCATGCCTCCACCTCGATGCCTACGTTCTGAGCTCTGACCCTTCTTGATGTACGCACCCCACCGGCCTGCGGTAACCTTTGCCATCAGGCAGGCAAGATGGCCGAGTGGTTAAGGCGCTGTGTTAAGGAATTGGGACTTCCAACGTCCCAGTCTTCGACCTCGCAGTGGGTAACCGCCTGGGTTCGAGTCCCAGTCTTGTCAAAAACACTTTTTTTTTGCCCTCGACGAGGGCGATCTAGTAGGATCGAAGGTGTTCAGTTCACATGCTCCAATCATGCTGGAGATTGCTTTCTTGGCCTCTGCGCCTGATTCAGCAAAGCCCGCACGAAATCGCGTCCGGTAGGACCAGCCATCCTCTATGCAAGTCTTCGTCATGTCAGGTGGAATGATCGCTGGCGGTGAGAGTAAGTAAGGGTGAGGGCTCTCAGGCTCATTGCGCTCAGACATGGAGACTCTGACTGTGACTGAATGTATGTATATTGTTCTCTCAACTGATCGCTCATCGACGATCAATGGCACATCTACAAGACGGTCCTGCTGAGCTTCTGCAACGAGTCTGTCAGTGGAAGCGGGGGGTCGGGGAGAGACGCAAAGCAAGTCAGCCTTTTGAGTTTCAAGTCGATCGCTTGGCCTCCTGTCGACTCGAGCTGAAACTCACTCAGCACAATGTCGCCCTCCTTGATCATCCTTGCGTACTGGGCATTCTTTGAGTCTGGTCTCCTCGTCTCTACTACCCCTTGCACCTGAAAGAGACGAGAGTCAAGAGGGATGGGGTCAGCCACATCGAAGGATCTTCTCCAAGCCCTCCGCTTCCACTCACCCTGTCGATGACTGCCGTCAGCCTACCCGTGGCAATAAACCTTGCTAGGTCCGCATCGATGAAGTCCTTCTTCACACCGAAGTCCCTCGCCATACTCTCTAGTGTCAGTGACCTGTACGACTCCAGCAACTGTCCATACGCAATGATCCTCATCTCTCTGACAAAGTACTGGGAGTGAGGATGCAGTAGTCTCGATGGCAGGAGCTGGTTCTGCTCCACCTCAGCGAGAGACTTGAAGAGCTGGGCGTACTCTGCATTGTACAGACTGCTTGCGAGAGACTTGATGTTTGGCATCTCATCAATGACCTGCAAGACCTCTGGCGAATCAATGACCTTCTTTCGTAGCTCGGCACGCTGACCTGCCCAGCCGAAGCGGAGGAGATTGGAGAGGACGGTGAGGCCGACAAAGTCTTGGAAGCTGACCAGCTCAGTGGCTGTGAAAGTGGGGAGAGCGTCGATGAAGAGCTGGCCGCCCTTCTTGAAGTCTCGAATGGAGAGGAGGTGGAGACCTTCGTAGACCTTGAGACGATTCCGGCGGTCCCAGTCGCCGCCCTTCTCGACGAGACTACACAGAGGAAGAGTACGTGGATGAGCTTGTTCAGCTGCCTGGACGGTAATTTCGTCGAGAAGCGCTACCATCTTTCATCTCGACTACTCACATTCTAGCCTGCTCGATGCTCTGGCTGGTAGCGTGCGCATCGCCAAAGAACAGACCCACTCTGATCTGTGTCATGGCCATGTCGATCCTCGACCCCACTGGAACCGACGGCGATGAGGACAATGCCTTAAGTGCCTCCATTGCCTTTTCCTTGTCACCGATCTGCGCAAAGTAGACTGCCCTCTTCCTCTTCACGGCAGTCACCTCGAGCTCTCCCTCTTCCTCCTGATTCTTCTTCTCCTCTTCATCGAATGCCTTGAGGTCTGCATCGTTCGCCTCTTGCAGCTCCTTGAGCAGAGCGTTGTCCTTCTTGAGCAGACCAGACTCGATGACTTGCGGAATGGTAAACAGGGACGAGTAGTAGGGCGTCATCTTGTCCTTGCGCACGGCGGCGAGGATGGCATCGCGGGAAGTGGACTGCTGGGCTGATGTGGCGCGGGAAGAGAGGAGGGTGAAGAGGTGCTGTTGGACGGAGATGTCCGGGATTGGGAGCGGTGTATCGTCTGACATGGTGGAAAATATGCCGAGGTGAGGTGAGACGATGGCAGGCAGACAGGATACGAAGAAGGACTGGTGGGAAGGAGCAGCAACCATCTCGCCCTGCCTCGCCTCGCCGCCTCTCCACACCGAGACGCACACACACGCACACACGCACGCACACGCTGGGCCGCGTCACCGGCTCCGCTCCGCCACGAGAGGCCCAGGGATGCGCTTGGACCATTACTCGTCCCGCCAGAACATCTTCTTCCACATTGACACCTCATCGCCTTGGATCCTCTCCACGCAATCACCCCCACCCCTCCACCCACCATGGCATCGTCTTCCTCCTCATCGGCGATGACCACCACACAGACCACGACGCCCCTCGACGAGGCCATCAAGGCCATCGACAATGGCCAGCAGGCAAAGGGAGAAAAGATGCTCAAGGACATCCTCTCTTCTCCACCAAAGACCGATGACGAAGTCGCTCTTCGCCAGCAGGAGAATGCCCTGCTACGACTCGGCAGACTATACAGGGACACAAAGAATGGACAGGCTCTCTCAGAGACGGTCCGCTCCTCGCGAACATTCATGGCATCCATCGCAAAGGCCAAGACGGCCAAGCTGATCCGCTCCCTCCTCGACTACTTTTCAGAAATACCAGATTCGTACAGCATTCAAATCTCCACCATCAAGGAGAACATTGAGTGGGCGAGGTCATCGAGGAGGATCTTCCTGTCGCAGAATCTAGAGACGAGGTTGATTGCACTATACTACGAGACGAAGCAATATAGGGAAGCCCTTCCCTCCATTGATACTCTCCTCAAGGAGCTCAAGAAGCTGGACGACAAGGCGATGCTAACAGAGGTGCATCTGCTCGAGAGCAGAGTCAATCACGCTATTCGTAATGGCGATAAGGCCAAGGTGAGCGAGCAAAAGGGTGAATGTGGGGTTGTCTGCTTTGTTTCTGGTAATCGCTGACACACATTCTCTACGTACCTCGTCCCTGACAGGCTTCGCTCACGTCCGCTCGCACAGCTGCAAACTCCATCTACTGCCCTCCCTCTCTACAAGCCCAACTAGACATGCAAAGCGGTATCCTCCACGCCGAGGACAAGGACTACAGCACCGCCTATTCCTACTTCTTTGAGACGCTCGAGGGCCTCTCCTCTACCTCTTCTTCACAAGCACCTCTGGCACTCAAGTACATGCTCCTCTGCAAGGTCATGCTGAACTTATCTGAAGACGTCGCGGCCATTGTACAGGGCAAATTTGCTCAGAAGTACGCGGGCAGGGATGTAGAAGCCATGGAGAAGGTGGCAGAGGCTCACGAGAAGAGGAGTCTGGATCTGTTTGAGAAGGCATTGAAGGACTACAAGGGAGGTGAGTGACAATAACAGTACTACAGGTCCGCTATGCGTCTCAAAGTGCCTCGAAAGCTGACGTCGACCCTTCACCTCTGATCACTGCCACAGAGCTATCTGCAGACCCGATTATTCGAGCTCACCTTTCCGCTCTGTATGACACTCTGCTCGAGCAGAATCTCCTGCGAATCATCGAGCCGTACTCTTGCGTCGAAATTGAGCATGTGGCAAAGGGCGTGCAACAGCCTGTGCGGGAGGTAGAGGTCAAGTGAGTGCGAGCGCTGGCCACTGCTCTTTTGCAGAAGAATGATGTGCTGATCCATCAACCCCCCTTCTCTTGCTAGACTGAGCCAGATGATCTTGGACAAGACACTGCACGGTATTCTGGATCAAGGCGCGGGCTGTCTAGTGGTCTTTGACGAGCAGAAGCAGGACGAGACCTATGAGGCCGCACTGGACACGCTCAAGCACGTCAGCAATGTGGTGGACAGTCTCGGGCAGAAGGCGGCGAGGCTGCAATGAGGTGCGAGGATGATGGAGCGCGAGCGCGAGCGTGCGGGATGCTGTGAAAAGTAGGTCAGCAGATCGCCTGCTTTCACAATTGGGCATAGGAGACTCTTTGCGAGAGGTCTTGCGCAATGACACTTCGCTCATTGATACACCGAATCCTTGGACTGCGTCTGCATCTCCTAGGTACCACAGGCCTCGAGTGCCGCCACGTGAGATGCGTGCGAAGACAAAGCTATACCATTCACGCTCCTCTTGTAGTCCTCGAACCTCCTCTTCCCCCTCTCAGACCTCCTCTCAAAGTCGTCAAGGTGCCATGTCACTTACGCCTTTATCAGCCTTGTCCAATCTCTCTCTGTCTTTCTCCCCCCCCCCCCCCTCGGAGATCTTTCCTATCCTCCCTGCTCCGCACAGATCCCCCACCCTGTGCGGACTTCGCGGGCAGGCTGCTGCAGCCCGTGAATTGGCATGGCTTATTATGGAACACGCCTCGCGCTCCCGAGGGCTTGGCTGAGATGCCCGAAGAGCCCCAGAAGGGCCATGCTGTGCAACCCTCCATGTCTCGCCTGAGATTGGAACCAATCGCGACAATTCCACCAGTATATATGCGGAGAGCATCTGGACTCTGCATCTCTTCCTCTACTATCCATCTATTCGACGCTTCCTTTTCCCCTTTGCAACGTCTCCCCTCTAACCCTCTGTCTGCGTCTCTCTCCCCACGCGAATCTCGGATTTCACGGCTGACGGGCCCCGAGATCCCGGCGGCGCATTAATTTCCGATAGCCGATCACGGGCCTCTGTTTATTCTACACCCGCCTGCCCACTTGCTCGCTTACCTTGACCACCTTGATCTTCAACCCTCGACCCAATCCTCGCCCGTCTTTCAACCCTACGCCCTACGCTCTACTTTGCCCTGGGGATCCAATCAGGGACGAAGAAGTACACGCTTTGCTATTGGTGTCTTGCCTGCTTGGCTGCGCAGCGAACGACGAAACTCACCCCTGGTCCTTTCAGTGAGGTGGACGAACACAGCCACACGACCCATTGCTGTTCTTCATAAGCAGCTGTACGCATTCATACATCCATTCGACTGCCCTCTCAAGCAACCTCTCGCCCAATAAATCACCCATTCCTCTCCCACTATCTCCTCTGGTCAGCTTACGTACACATTACCGGGATGCTCCTCGCCCTACCCGTAACCCGTCTACGGCCTCTCCCTCACGCCCTCACCCACCCAGAGGGCATCGCCTTTCTCCCACCCAACCTTCGCGTCTCTACCGAAGAGCTCAACAGGCAAGACGCTCAATGGCGTGCGCTCCGCGAGGCAGCCTATGCCCGCGCTTGGGCTGAAGATGCAACGCTCGTGGGGAGCATCGTGAGCTATGGGAATGGAGAGGCAGGAGGGGAGAGGAGGGGTTCGGCTAGTAGGAGTAGGAGAAGGAAAAAGAGAAAGGCACTCAAGGCGCTGCTCAAGTGGATTGAGCTCGGGGGAAGCAATGCCAATTCTTCGTCTTCGTCGAGGGAGACGGAGCAACAGACGAGCACTTCGGCCGGAGCGGTGAGGGAGGCGGCACAGGCTCAGGCTCAGGCCCAAGCTCAGGCTCAGGCTTCATGAACATGGTCTCCCAAGCAAGGATGGTCACGGACTCTCTCATTCGATACCCAAACTACAAGACATCCGTCTGTCCGTTCCCTGCGCTACTACTAGGATCCGCTGCCTGCTCAACTCGCAGCATATCCACCTCGGTGTGAAGAAAGGCCAGCCCTGATATTTTCACCAGCGATCTCACCTCTAGAGACTCCTTTCTCCACGTCAAAAACTTGCTCACCCTCCCCAATCAAAGTTCTCCATTTCCTCCATTTCCGCATCCTTTTACTGTCTCGCCCTCATGCGCTCCGAAGGGTAGACAAGGTCACCTCAGTCCCGATTTGTTTATAGCCCATTTCCGCGCCAGTTGTTACCTCTTTCTTGTTTTGTCGTTCTCGGTGAGACGACGCGCTCCTGTATCTCCTTCTCCTTTACTTGTCCCAATGCTGATGCTTTTACCGCTATGCTTCGGCGACGATGGTTTCGCCTATCTCCAGAAGACACATCGTGCTTCGACCTCTTCGAAGGCTCATCACTGCACTCGTATGGTCGTCGTACGTCTCGTCAGGCATCATTTCCACGAGGGCGCCTGGGATCGCTGTTGCGCTCACATTGGGTGAGCGCAAACGTTTGCTGAGCGACGCGATTGCTCCTTGCTCCCCGATCTTCGGATATCTGGCAAAAGCAAGTGTGCGTTCCTGAATGCGAGTCGAGGCCACGAATGCAGGCACTGACGAGTCTCTGAGGAATTCTTAACCTCTGGACAAGACCATCAGCACCGTAAACATCTATTTCCATCGCTATGACAAACGGCCTCAGCATCCTGCCACCAACGCCTGTACTCATCATCAACATAGCCCTCAGCCTCGTGGCTATAACCCCGACGCCTGTACTGCTGGCTTTGGCAGGGAAGCTGGTGAATGCGCTGCTGATCGCATTAGGCGTTTGGGAAGCCCACTTCAAGGTTTCGGTGATGGATCCTCTCATTGCCTTGAAGTCCGACTTTCTGGCTTGGACACCGGTGGCTGCAATTATTGCTTTGGTCTCCAATATATGGAGCTTCAGTTCAAAAATTATACACGTCGTTTGGGAATGGAGGCGGGTCCTCATGGTGTCAATCTTTGCACTCATAGCCGTGACATTGGAGCCGGACATACTGGGAATTTTGGCGACACTCATTGTTGATACAGTCGAGTCCACCGCTGAGGTAGTCGAACGCACTACTTCGACATTTGCCACAGGTCATTCCCCGCATCTTGGCGACAGTCCGTCGGCACTCACGGCGCGTCGATTGTTGATGCCTCCTGTGTCCGAAAAGTATTCGCGAATACCCGAGGATTGGTACGACAAGCCTTTGCATTTGCCAACGAAAGACGATGATCTTCGGTCCATTGCCTCGAAATTGGAGGATCTCCGAGCTGTTGTGCAAGGCGGCCAGAGTCTGGGAAGAGCGACGCATTGGAAATGGATAGAAGACGGGACAGGACTCGAAGCATGTTGGATCGAGAAAAACCTCACTCATGAGGAATTCACGCAAGACATGGCTTGGGAGAACGGTGCCTCTCCACCTCCGGTTGACTGGGATGCCCGTACAAACACGTTGGTCTATTGGTGCAGGAGCATCTTTGGAATCCGAATCAAGGCGAGCGACGACCTGATTCCTGCTCTCCAGACTCTCTATCCTCGTCGACCAATCAGACCTCGGCACGCCTACTGTTTCTACACAAGACACAGGGACGTATTACCCCTCGCTAGAGCTATAAAGAAGCCACACCGTGTCGGTCTTGTCTTCGTCAAAGAAGTCGCTCTCTGGACCAGCGTCCACAAGGCAGAATGGCTCACTGTCAGACGAGCAGCTGAGACCTGCAGATTAGGCAAAGATCTAAATTCATCGAACAAATATGTGGAGAGCATCCGAATCTCGATCAGGGTCCTGCGGATCAGAGAGCAGAGTCTGAAGTGGCAGGTCGCAGCCTACGAAGAGAGATTGAGGTCTCAAGAGTTTGTGTGAGTACTCGTCAACACTACGACTGCCACTGCCGTTGTGACGTTGTCATCGTAGCCTCGTGCTGTAATGACCGTCATCATGCTTCGAAACAACATCTGGACCAAGTCCATTGCCATAAATTTCCTCCTCTTTCTTCCTGTACCTCCCCAACTATCATGCCACCTTTACTCAGCTCACATGTCCAGCAGATAGACGTTCGCATTCCCATTGTGCTTCGAGAATCCCCCAACTTGCTGCCCCTCTTTGTCGAGCGTTGGTCACACTTTTCTCGTGAGGGCAATGGAAACCCTCGTATCGATTTGCTTCTTGCTTTCTCCCATATCGCGATTCACACGGTTCTCACTTTGCGACCTGGAAACCGTTCCTGAGCATGACTCCGCTCGAGATCGATTGTAGCGGACCGCTTCTTCCTCTACGCCATCGTACACTTCGTCACACCCATTCTGTCCTCCCTATGCTGCCCTCCCTACACTTCCAGCCGCCCCCTTGCTGTTGTTCACCATTCAGTGACGCGGACTTCCAGGAATGTAGCAGGACATGGGTGGCTCCAGATCTCGTCGCAAGACTGGCGCCCTCAGTCCACACATCGACTGGTCCATCAAAGTCGACCCAAAATCCTCTCCACTCCCTCTGCCTCAGCTAGACGATGACCTGAGGACGACTGCCCGCAAGCTCTACGATCTACAGACGACTGTCGAAAGCGGTAAGAGCTTGGCAAGGGCGACACACTGGCGGGAAGTAGACTCCGACGCTACTGTGGAGACAAGACTTGCAACAATTCTCACTCAGGAAGAGCATAAGCAATACATTGCTTGGAGACGAGGACGATCCGGACCGCTTGTACTCTGGGGTGCATCCCCCCGTCGCGCCTTGCCTTGTCCGGAGAAACAAGAGAGAAGGTACCGCACCTTAGCATGGGCTTTGAACGCTGTCTACCCTGGAGAATACCTGAATGCCGACAATGTGGCATGGTTCCAGTATCACCAACGACCAGCAATGCCTCTGCTTCATGCGATCGTCAAGGTGCGACAGGAGGGTCTGCTCTATCTGCTTGGACGCCAGCTATGGACTAGACCTGAGCGCGCCGAACTGCAGACGGCACGGAAGATTATAGCAGCGACATCGATACAGCTTGCCCGTCTCAACGCCTGCACTCTTTGGGAGAAGCAACTTGTCAACGAGATCAAAGCGTCCTTAATGCTGATACAGAATCGGGAACATTGGACGCAGCGCAAGGTCACTGCTTGGAAGCTGAGGATCGAGGTCCCCTTCAAGAGCGCGAAGCCTTCAAAGACGAGTGAGCCCCGTGCTGGCATTGGCCAACGGAGTGCCTCACTGAAGAACAGCAGCCTGCGATTGGACGCTGACTGTGAAGAGAAGAGCGTCAACGCTTTTGTACTCAGCCCAATGTCACTTCTGGAGGAAGGGATAGCTGAGACCTCGGTCGATGGCCTGCTTGATCTGGAAAGAGGAGGAAGTCTGGCTGTACAGTCGTAAACAGTAGCTCGGCCGTTCTCTCCTGATTCACTTCAGCTCCAAGAGCCTCTCCAGGTTGTTAGGAGACCGACGATCGTAGTTCACTTGGGCACTCTGCAGCCCATTTCCCACCCCACTTGTAATGAGGCTGCGTTTTCCTCCACCAACTGAGCCGAGAGTCATATTTCGTTTTTTGTGAGGCAGTCCGTTGTGAGAGTACCGAGGTCGGCTAGGAGAGAAGACGTAGAGTCTGCAGAACATTGGTATTTGCCTAGAATTTCATGTGTGACGAGTGTGCGCTGACAGGCCCAGCTCTGAGGAGGTACGGCGGACTATACTCACACGGCTGCGCTCCAGCTTCCGGGGCAGTTCCCGTACTTTCCCGACCCTTGTCGCGTCGCTGATGTCATCGAAGCGCACGATTGCTCCGGAGTGAGCTACAAGTGTGGTGCCTGACGTTCGCATGCCCTGAGAAGAAGTGAACATTCCCTGAGACACAGTTCCCTCCCGATCGTTGCCGTCCATAAGTTCTGACTGACGTCTCCCTGCGTGAAGTCACATACGGTCTTTTTCTCGCAACGATTCAACAAGCGCAAAATGGATCAAGCTAGCCCACCAGCCTCATCCAAAGTGCTTCCGGCGAAAACTTCCAAGCACTCACCTCGTCTGACTCTACCTTGTCCCTCAGACGATGTTCACGCCACTGCAGACAAATTGGAAGCGCTGCGAGCAGTACTCAGGTCGGGCAAGAGCGTGGCTGCCGCAACGCATTGGCAGGGTGCCTCTCACGTAGACGAATTCGGAGAAGTCTGGCTTCAGGAGAACCTTACCGGCCAGGAGCTCAGGTTTTACTTGGCGTGGAAAGCCGGCAAAGCGCCACTTGAGATGGATTAGAACAACAAACAGGAAAACCGTCGAGACCTTCCTGCCGACAGTATGAGGCAGAAGTACTGTGATATGGCTGCGGCATTGAATGTCATATGGCCCAAATGCTCACAGCCTTTGGATAGCGGCAATGCGGCCTGGTTTGAGCGCTGCAAAAAGGACAGTATGCCGCTGGTACACGCAGTCTTGAAAATCAAGAAAGCAGGGATCCTCTTCATCAAAGAGCGAGATGTATGGACGAGCTCGGACATCGCTGAAATGCAGACGATCAAGGCCGCTGTCTCCGCTGCGGAAATCAAGCTGGCCTCTGCACAAGCCGAGTTGGACAAAGTCTCGAGCGCTATCAAGAGCTCAATCAGGCTTCTCCGCGCTAAAGAAGCCAAGCTCAACATCCAAATTGTGGCCCACAAACAAAGGCTGAAGTACCAGATCGTCTGAAAGTTTCAGTGAAGTCCACAATGCCTGCTGTTCCACCTACCCTCGCAAAAAGTTGGATGAGGCCCGAGGTGTATGCTTGTACCAGCCCTGTCGAGTCCTTTGGGTGTTCCGCTTCTTACCCATCTCCTAGTATGCCTTGCCATTCTGCGGAACGAAGCGTCGCTCAAATGGCGGTGCTATAGTCCCTCCGAAGCACTGCTGCACTGTTCCAGTTGCAAGGCTACCATCTGTGGTTTCCTAGCCCCCGTCGATAAGCTTTTACAGCTGTCTTTCCCTTCTCCGTCTCCCCGTCCTCTCTTCCCGCGGGATGCCGCCGGCATTTGGGCCCCGCACCGGCCAAATGAAAGCTCGATTCCACTCCTTCCGACCATTCCGCAATCTTGACTTCTCCACTCTACACAGTCAATACAATGACTTCTTCCTCTTCGTCTTCATCGGCTCCTCTGCCACCTCACTACTCGCCGCCTGATCAACCTTTGAAGCTCATCATCGACTCGGACCCAGGGGTAGACGATGTTCTCGCCTTTCTCCTCGCCCTCTCCCTTCCGCACGTCCATCTCCTAGCCATCACTCTCACCTTTGGCAACACCACGCTAGACTACGCAAGGGACAATGTCCTGAGAACGTTTGAGGTTCTGAAGAAGCAGGATGAGCTTGAGAAGAGAACTGGTGGAGAGGGAGGAAGTAGATGGCACAGGGCTGTAGGACCGGGGGCGAGGAAGATTGAGGTTGCGCTAGGAGCGGAAGGTCCACTAAAGGGCGTGGAGAGATTCACTGCTTCGTACTTCCATGGTGAGCAAACGCTCTAGGATGAGGTCGGCTCTGCTTCAAGCGAAATATCTGACACGGTACCACTCCTCGCTACTTCAGGCCGAGATGGTCTTTCCTCCATCTCCTCGCTACCAGGCGACCCCCACCCGCTCCCAATCCCACCACCAGGCAGCGATTCCCACCCAAGAGACAAGCCCTTCTTTCCCGCTCCCCTATCTCTCTCCTCGCATTCCTCCCCTCAGCTCATCCTGTCCCTCCTGGCCTCCCACCCACCAGGCACGATCCGTATAGCTGCCCTCGGCCCGGTGACCAACCTAGCCGAAGCATGGCTGCAAGACCCACAAACCTTCTCCCGCGTGGGCCTCATCTCCATCATGGGCGGCTCCCTCGACGAGCCGGGAAACACCTCGCCCGTGGCAGAATTCAATACCTATGCAGACCCATGGGCGGCAAAGGTGCTGTTTGAGGAGAGTGTGGGGCACGGGTGCCTTAGTGGGAGGAGAGGCAGGAGGTTGCCCATCGAGCTGCTTCCGCTGGATATCACTGGACGACACACGGTGCAGTATGGTAATCTGATGAAGGCTGAAGGACCATTGGGAAACTTGTGAGTACACAGATGCTCTATACAGATGTACCCAGCTGACCAAAATCACCTGCGCTCCCCTTCCCTAGTATTACCTCCATCCTCACCCACCCTCGCAAGATGACCAACTCCTACGCACCTTATGGTCTTCCATTCTCAGCAGAGCGGGACGACCTCTTCCAAGCGCACGACCCACTCGCTGTGGCCCACGCCTGCTTTGCGCCCAGTGAGGCCGGCAAGGGAGGAGAGGCTTACCATCAGTACCACGAGTACCTCGAGGCGCATCAGAGTCAGAACGACGCCTCTTCAGGAGTGCAAGAGGGAGAGCAGAGGGAAGACTCGACGGGATGGGTGTACACGGAGAGACGCTTTGCAGTAGAGGCAGAGGGCAAGCTCACGAGGGGCATGTGCATCGTAGAGTGAGTATCAGCCCAGCCCTAATCATCAGCAGAGTCGATCGTCCACCTCACTGACATCTCTGTGTACTCTCAAAACTCCCGCTTGTCTAGTCGGAGAGCCCACGGCCGCTCCTCGACTAAGCGCAGCGGCCGCTCCCGAGCCGAGCTAGCTGCCGAGGGGGGCACAGAGGAGTCCGGCGACGGCGAAGGCGACGGGGAGAATGTGCACGGAATCGCCATCAAGTCTCCTCCTTCGGGGAGAGAGCACCAGAAGCAATCTCAGAATGGCAACGGCACAGAGGCGGGAATGCAAGAGGAGGAGGAGGAGGGAGTGCCGGGATTGGTGAGCGTGGTCAAGGAGAGTCCTCTGCAGGGAAAGTGGTTTGCGGACCTCTTTGAGTGGGCGCTGGGCACGAGTGCTGTTAGCTCGGGGGAGCTGAATGAGATGCGATGAGCTTGTGACAAGGCATGGATGGAGACACACTCGGGGAACATAGATAGATGATCAATACGTGCAAGCTGAAGTATAGAGTGTCTTTTGAGAGGAGCATGAACCCGCAGGGCTGGCCGATGACACAGAGGAATGGTCGCAAGGTAGGGATACTGATCGTCTCATCAGTCTTAGCGACCAGCGGCAACCTGACCGGGCAGAGCCTGGAACTGACTCCTCCCCCTTCCCCTGCCCCTACCACCACCACCACGTCCTCCCGCACCGCCTCTCCTGCCTTCCCTCCTTCCACCCCTGTCACCACCACCTTCCCTACCGCCTTCCCTCTCCCCTTTGCCCTTGCCGCCATCAGCACCATCCCGGTTTCCACCAGGTCCATCACCCATCTTGGCGTCCAGCAGCCTCTCGTTCTGGTCTAGCATGCTCGAAGCTCGCTCAGCGAGCGTCTGGGCCAGCTGGTGAACCTTGCTCGATTCTTCGCGGTGCAGGACGACAATGGGTCCTTCCACTCCGGGGGAAGAGTCGAGAGAGGCGGCAATCTCCTCGTTCCAGATCATTCGGGAGACGATGCTCCTCACCTGGGAGAGGCTGAGATCAAAGGTAGAGGCGAGGTGCTGCATGGAGACAGAGGTGTAGTAGGCATTATAGGAGAAGAGGTATGTCCTCAGACCTTCCTCCTGAATACGCTTGCTCAGGAGAGCCTTGACCGACTCCTCGCCCCCCTTGCCGTCCGCTGCGCTTGAGAGGAGCTTCCAGATCTTGATTTCGCCAATCAGACGAGAAGACTCGCGCCAGTCACCGACTTGCAGAGCCTTGGTGGCTTGCATGATGTGATCACGAGCAGACTCGGGGGGGCCACTGAAGACCTGTCGGTCAGTGTAGTCGAGCATTCGACGGAAGGGCCTGGAGAGGACCTTTCGTCGCTGGTCTGGGTCTGTGCCAGCACGAGCCATATGCGGTACCTCGAGGAGCATGGAGCAGACGAGGTAGGCTGACTCGAGCAGCTCGAGGTTGATGTGCAGGTGGAAAGGCAGTTGTCGTTGCTTGTCGAGCTTCTCCTGCTCGGGACTGATGGAAGCATAAGCGCTTGACCTCTGGACACCCTGTGCGAGCAGCTCCTTGACACGGCCAGCTGCAAAGATGTCCGAGAGGGCGGCGTGTGCTTCCTTGATCAGGCCCAGACGGAAGGCACAGAGACCAATCTGAACAACGCTTCGGTTGTACAGGATCTGAGTAGCAGCGTCGGCTAGAGCAATCGAATCTTGCAAGTGACTCATCAACAGCATGTCCCGAGCGACGTAGTAGTCGGCCTGAAGAGCAGTGTTGTAGATGTGGCACAGCATGGCTCGCGTGCGCAGACGTTCACCGGTAAGGCCAGGGGCCTTGTAGAGGTGCACGCAGAGAGCTCGAACGAGCTGAGAAGGTCCAGCAGCTGAACCAGCCACACCAGCACCAGTAGGGAAGGCGGAGGCCTGGGCAACCTTCTCGGCGTCATCCTGAGTAGCAGCGCTGGCGGACTCGAGGGCCTGGATGATGACAGCCTGCTTCGAGTAGACGTGCTCCAGACGACGCATCACCACTCGGGCGAGAGCGTCGGTCTGCGAAGAAGAATCTGCCGAGCCGCTGACAGCAGTCTGCGCGGCATTCTCGAGGTAGGATTGAGCTCGCACGATTGTCGCGTAGAGGAAGCGCTCGTCTCGTAGACGCTCGAGATACTCGGTCGAGTGAGGGTCGAGATTCTGCAGGTGCTTGGTGAACTCGTCGTCCAGTCGGTCAACGAATGAGATGATGCTACCTCGCACAGCTACGACGGATCCTTCTCCGTTCTGTCCTGGCACTCGGTCAATTGAGTCGTCGTAGTCCTCGGTGTCCTCACGTACGACATATGATCGGTCGGCAGCAAGTGTCTGCACAAGCTGATCAACCTCGGTCCTGGCAGCGTTCCACATGTCGAGGGGCATGAAGTTGTTGGCGGTAGCGTTGTAGTCGAATCGGGCGGCGATGAGAGCAAGTAGAACTCTCAGCTTCTGGTAGGACGATTCAGCCACAGTGAGAAGCTTTTGCAGAATAGCGACCTGCTCAGTTCGGTCGGTGCTCTTCCTTCCTCGAGCCTCCATGACAGCAGCCAGAGACTTGAAGAGACCTTCGGACGTGATAGCCAGAGCTCGACCACCCTTGCCGACGGTCTGGAAAGTATCGTCCTCTCCCTCGCCTGGGGCTTGGGAAGTAGCCGTGCCTGACTTCTTGGCTGTAGGAGCCTTGGGAGGTGGTGCCTGAGGAGCGGTCGCAGCAACAAGCTCAGCCTCGAAAGCCTCGGGGTCCTATGACGCAAACGGGAAACCATCAGGGATGGATGATGGACTGTCAGCAGCGCTCAAGATCATACAATTCCCCCACCCCGATGCAAACTCACGGATCGGAACTTGGAGATCTCTGTGTCGTGGTCCTTGATAGCCTTCTTCAGCTTCGACTTCATACCATTCATAGCCTTTGCGTTAGGGGCCTTCATCTTCTTGCCCTTTCCTGCAGCTACGGACTGGTTGAGGAATTCCTCGAGGTTGGAGATACATCTGAAGAAACTGATGGGCTCTGCCTCGTTCATTGTCTTCTGGCGCTCAAAGAGACGCAGCAGTGAGTCGTACTCTGTGACCAGGGGAGGCATGGTGAATGTACGCTGGCGTGAGCATGGAGAGCCACCGCGTACTGGTCTCTTTGCTCTGACCACTCACCCTTGCTGATGGCGACCCAATCGTCAATCCTCTGAGCATTCTCGATTGTCTTGACCACCGAGTCCACCTCATCCACCCTCTTGTCCTTTGCACTCCTGATGACCTTCTTCACCTCGTCTCCATCACTGTCATCATCACTGTCGGAAGCAGCTCCCCTCATAAACTTGGACACCTTCTGTCCAGGCCTAGCAGCTGGGCGAGCAGCAGAAGATTCATCCGAGTCTTCATCATCATCGTCATCATCGGAGTCGCTATCGTCTGAATCGCTGTCCTCTGAATCATCATCACTGCCCTTGGACTTCATAAAGGCAGACTTCTTCTTGGGAGCTGCGGCAGCGGCTGTAGAAGAAGAGGCCTTCTTGTCTCCTTGGTCTTCATTGTCGGAATCGGACATGAGCTCCTCATCAGAGGAAGATGAGGAGTCCTCGGAGTCGGACACGCTGCGGAAGAAGCGACCGGACATGATGGGCGGTGGAGAGGTGGGAGGGGGGAGGAGGAGAAGGAGAGAAGGATGTGCTGAGCTGCTGCTGGTGTGGATATATGCAGTCAGTAGCTGAGCTTCTTGGGTGGAAGTAGAAGGGAGAAGCTGCTGCCGTCGTCTGGCAAAGTGGATTTGTTCCTCCTCTGGCCGTGGCAGCCAGGAAGAATTCAGCCCCTCGCACTTTGCCTCGCCTCGCCCTCGGCCCCGCGTCGCCCTCACTCAGCCTTGCCCTACGCGGGAAAACTAATCTCCCCCCGGCGCGCCCGGGTTCAGCGCGCGCAGGGCTGACCCGGGCTAAAGGGTCCTACCAACCCGGAAGTGGCCCGGCACTCTGGCACACGCTCGCACTCTTGTACAGACAGACCATTCATTGTACAGAGGAAAGCATGACGATGCAGCGGAATAGTAACGTAAAACAGACACTGTGACACGAGCTCACTACTCATTCAAATGGAAGTGCCGCTTATCTACCTTGGATCTCCACTCATAGATGGCCCCCTCGAGCTACCGCTCCCCGACATAGTTCGTCTCGGCGACGGCCGTGACGCCGACGCCGAATCGCGAGACTGTGCAGCAGTGGACGGGGAAGTCTCGCTCGCCGGCGACTGAGCTTCCCCTCCAGCTGGTGTGAGGCTAGGTGAGCGCGAACTCGATCTCAGCATGTTCCTCCTCCCTGGGCCAGCGGCAGTGCTACCACCGCTACCGCCACCGCCACTCCCATCGCGTGACCGATCACGATTCAGGCGAGTCTGTAGGAACCGGCCAAACTTCACTGGTGCGCTCTTCGCCGAGCTCTCCGTAGTTGCTAGGTCTCCAGCATCGTCAGAGTGAAGAGGTCGCGACTCGTTCCTTTCATCGGTAGGGCTGTCGCTCTCACTTCCACCCCTTTCCAGGTTCGGGGAGAGCGCATTCGAGCCCATTCTCGTCAAGAATTCTCCGCCCCGCTCTTCAGAGTCCGGACTGCGATTGGTTACAGAAGCTTGACCTAGACTCCAGCCTTCCCCATTACCGAGTAGAGGCGAGGTGGTTCTTGGCGTGGGAGGCTGGACGTGCAACTGCAGCGGAGAGACACTGCGGGTCTCCTTGGAACCTTTGAGGAGCAGCATCTGCTTTTCTCTGATATTACGCAGCGCTTCCGGTCGCTTGGGCCGATGAGACAAGATCGACTTGACAATAGTGGTCCTTTGGCCCCATGCGGCTCTGAAGACGTCCTTCTTGATGTGCTGCACAAGGTCTTCGTACGTCCATGTGCGATTGCGATATTCAATCGTAGGCGCCTTGAACACCAGGTCATACACGTCTGTGATGGACTTCTCCTTCTCACCCTTATAAGAGAGGCAAAAGACCGTTTCAGCCAACTTGAAGAGTAAAAAGGTCAGATTCGACGAAGCGCGATGTCGCATCTCTTCAGCATTGCGCTTGGCAATGGCAAATTGTGAGAGATCCTCTTCATCGTCCGAGGCGCCAGAGTCGTTCCCATTGCCATGCAGATTGACATTGCTACGCTCGGTGCTACGATCACTCTTCTTTGTCTCGGCTACGGAGAGACGACCCTCCGCTGATGCCGATTGAGAGACGGACTTGTTGCGGAATGTGGATTGTTGATCGGCATTGCTGGACGACATCGAGGTACGACGGGAAGAGGGCTCGTCGGCTGGTGTAGCGACTTCGCTATTGTTTCGACTCAAGTCGCCACTAGACCTGCCTCCAGTCAGTCGAGCAAATGGCGATCGCTTCTTCTGGGCGGCTGAAGAGAGCTTATCGGCTTGGGCCTCCAGCATCTTCTTCTTCTTTTCTTCTTCCTCCTCACGATGTCGTTTGCTGCCGAAGATGTATGCCATGATGAGCCTACCGGTCTTGATCTCGAGTTGTAGATGCAGCGGATGAACATCAAATTCGAATTGGTCAACGAGAGAGATGCCACCCACAGGCGCCATCTCAGACCAGACAGCATTCACAAAGCGGCCCTGTCTAGCCATGGGATGGTCTAAAGCCTTGTTCCACTTGGTGATGATCTCGGGGAAATGAGCATCAGGCCGCACATCGACTGCCTGGAGATCGATGATCGATAGAGTATTCGCAGTCGAGTTGTCGGCCTTGTTCAGCCAGGTAAAGCTAGGCCCCTTGATGGAGAGCTTGGCCAAGAGGTCTCCCTCCTGTTCACCCATCATGTTCCATGAGATGTCCTGCGCATGTGCCTCCAGACGAAGAGCAGACTTCTTGTCCTTGTCTTCCTCTCCTTTGGCATCCTCCGACTCCGTAATGGCATCTGCGATCAGCAGAAGCTCATCGACGAGGTCCGATAATTCCGTCTTGAGCCTGAAGAGGTCCGCCTTTCCATCTTCGTTGAGATCGTCGAAATGGAATTGATACTCCGCGTCAAGCTCGAGAGCTCGCCGAATGCGGCATTGCAGATCCTTGACTAGGTCAGCGAGCATAGAGGTGTCCTTGAAGTCGTAGCTGAACAGCATCGTCTGCAATTGCTTTGCCCGCTCCTGCCAGGACGGCGCACGATAAAGGATCAAGTCCGTCACAATATTGTACAGAGCACCGAAGTGGGTAGAGTTGGCTGAGACGGCAAAGCGAGGGCATCGCACTCGCAAGAGGTCCATGTAATGACGCAGATGATCGAGACCGGGTTCCTCATGGCAAGCATCCGAAGTGATGGGACGTGTCGAGTCGTGCAACCGCAGGCGGTTGAATTTGTCGTAACGGACACTCGCATCCGTTCTGCTGACGATCCTATTGAAGGCGCCCGTCTCATGTCGCAAGTCGATCAACGTCTCCAGCGGCACGGCCAGCTGAGCCCCGACCGCTTCTCTGCCACTGCCGAACCTCGAAGTAGGTGTGTTCTTGTGCGAGACGGGGTGGAAAGCTTGCAGTCCGTCCATGGAGAAGTAGTTGCGAGACAGCACCCTTCGATTGACTGAGTCCTCATCGGAGATGCTAGGGTCAACGACGGCGAAGTTCTGCAGTCGAGTCCTGATCGCGGTAAGAATGACCGTCGAGGTATCATCGATCTGACTCTTCATGACAATCTGAGGCTTGAGAAAGACACAAAAGTTGGATCTGTGGACATCGAATGCCTCAGAAATGCCCTCCCAAGGGTTGACGTGAGTGTCGAGCACCGCATTTGCCAAGGTATCTTTGTAGGATGTAGCACTCGAGCCAGCCCGTGGCCGTGCGCTGTCTTCCAGAACGTAACGCTGGGTGTCGTCCAGAAGACCGGTGAGAAGCTCAACGCCGCTCTTGGAGCCATTATCATCACCTTTGGAATGCTCGGAACGGCTCTCGTCTCCGGCCAAATTTGAAGATGACTTTTTCGCACTTGCCTTGCTATCGTTCTCCAGGTGCTTAGAGAGCTGCTTGATGTTGTAGATCGCCCTTGCCGTCATATGATGAACGAATCCTTTACGCTTCTTGTAGAGGGCATAATAGCGCAACAAAACATGTCGGACCTGATTGGAGAAGATGATGACGGGGTTGTGAACGAAGAAGCGATCGTCGAAGGTGTCAAGATCCTTGAAAACTTCGGAGAGATCAGCGACCCCATCGGCGGAATTTGAAGACTCTATCTTCTTAGCATCACTGTTACGCCGTCCATCTTTTCCAGCACGGGGAGACTCATCATCCGCTTCGGCCTTGTCCTTGTCCCATCGATTACCGCGCCGTGTTGCCCTAATCTCGAAGGTGTCACCCTTCTCGAGCGCCTTACAATAGTCTTCGATCAATTTGATCCGCTTGCGCAGATCTTTGACAGCGTCCGAGTTGCGGCTCCTTGTTTGATCGAGCTTGTCAAGTTCCTCTTTCAGAACGCTCACCCGAGCTTTGGCCAACTCGGCTTGGACGTGGAAGTTGAGAGGAGCCTTTCCGATCAGGCAGGTGTGCGTCTCTGGGTCCTCGTTGCCGAATTTGGACTCTTCTGTTGCTTCGGGCGCTTGCTCGTCCTCCTTGCCTTTCTTCATGTCTCGCCTCTCACTGTGCGTGTGAAAGCGTCGGTAGAAATTGAATCTTGGGCAGGTGAGAGCCTGGATCAGGCGGATTTCCGGGGGCTCATCATCATTGGGCGTATAGTCCACCTCGACAAAGTCATTGAGGTCCACCCACTCGAGGTCTTCCGGGCCTACCACTGAGCCGTCGTCGAGTAGATTCGTGTCCTCGTCCGCCCCAACATCAGCATTTACGTAATCGACCAGACGCTTCGACGAGTCACGGAATCTACCTACGAGCGCTCGGAGGTCGATGTCGCCCAGGTCGGCTTCCGCCTCGTAGAAGGGCTTATGGAAGACCTTCTTCGCTTCCTGCAGCTCTGGTCGCTCCTTGATCGTCTCTTGTTGGCGCTGGTGCATGTCCACATGGAAGGCGCCCAGACGAGCTTTGACACCGAGAATGGTGTTGAGTCCCTTTGCCCAGTCTGATCGCGAATGCTGATGATACAAGTGGGAAATGTAGAGAGGAGAAATGTCGAAGCGATACTTGATCGTTGCCAGGCTACGGCCGAACTTGGGCGAGGGTGGAGGACCCGTCGGGAACAGCCTCCCTTGCCGAATGGGCAGACCCATCGCGCTGTCGAACAGCCTAAGCCACGCCCAGAAGTGCTGCCAGGCCAATGGCGAGAAGTAGAGATTATTGCCGCCGCCCGAGTGACCGCGACGGACACCGTCGACCTCGAGTCCATCTCTAGGAGAGTAGATAGAGAGCGCCAGATGACCAAAGTCAGATCGCCATCCATAGAAGGAATCACCGTGGCGCTCGTCCTCTGGCAATGTAGCCACGTATTCTTTGCTGCGCTGGATGACAGTCCAATGCGGCCGACGATCGAAGAAGCGACAGGCTCGGTAGAAATTTTGACCAGAGCACTTCTTCTCTTGCTTGCAATTATGATCACGACAGGTGTGTTCGTGTCGTAGGGAAGCTCCCCATCTCACACCATTCGTGAGCTTGATTACGATCTTGGAGAATTGAGGCTCCTTCATGTATCGACGAGACTGATCGGTAGCCAAAGAGGGTTTCCCATCTACCATCTCCTTGGCCTCATCGGAGAGAGTGCTACTTTGCCCCTTGGTACTGCCGTCTTCCTTGCGCCCGTCTTTGCCAGACTTCTCCTCATTGGCAGCACTCTTGTCGCTTGTCCCCATGGCAGCTTTATCTTGATAGTCTCGCAGATCTGGAATAGCCAAGATGTACTGGTCACTGATGAATTGCAAGAACTCTCCGTCTGGATTCTTGAAGCCAATTCTGACCTCGACGTCACCTCGCCAGCACTTGACCCAGCCTGCTCCATTGCCACTGATCGAGTACGGGTCGCGACTACCCTTGAGATAGAGATGCAATTCCCCCTTGTTCTTCCAGCGCAGGTGGATACGACTCTGAATGATGAGGGGAAGCTTGTCCCAGAATCCGAGCTTGGGCGAAGGATCTGGTGGCGGACTGCTGATTCCGTCAAAGACCCTTACCATGTCGGCAATGGCAGGCTGAATACTCTGACCCCATGCGAAGCGAGTCGGGTACGCCGAATTGATGTCGACGACTGGTGAGCCGTAGAATTTGACCGGCATTGCGACTTTGGGAACGTTGATGCCAAATTCAGAGGCATCCGGATGTCCCGTGGCGGCGGGGACGATGATGGCGGGGACGTGGCGAATGGATTGGGTGCCCTCGGAGATGTGTTCAGCGATGCAAATGTCCCCAAAGAGCTCAAAGGCTGGGAGGTGTTCTCCCTGATCTGCCTTCAAAGGCGGAATGTGCAAGAGCGGGATGGGATAGTCTCGGAGCTCCCATCGCCACTCCGCCATCGTCCAGCGCAGGTGCAAGGGCACCAACAAGCTGTACGGCAGGTCCTTGGGGGTGCCATTGCCCTGCTCATGCATCCAATCGCGTAGTTGATCCTCAGGGAAGCTCGTGGGCCCTACAGAGACCTTGACCTTGGACATACTAGAGCGGAAGAGCGGCGCAGCTCGGCTCGGCTGGACCATCTCAATGGGTAGCTCGACAGCAGCCTTGGCTGCAAATCGACCAAAGATGCTTTTTACCATTGCGTCTTCACGCTTGCCCTGCTCTGCTCGTGCATTGGCATAGCGGCGGAGCCAGCTCGAGGAATTGTAAGCATCGAGCCTACTGCGAGCCTGCTGGATATGCTCCTCGATATCAATGTCTGACTGGGACGTCTCCGTCTCGCTGCCGCTAGTCTCGTCAGATTCATCTTCGCTCCGACTGGACCGGCTGTGAATCGACTTTGATCTGGGACGCGATTTGGAAGTACCGCGACTGCTCTGCAACGATACTGAGCTCCTCGAAGCTGACCGTAGCTTCTTTTCTGCTTCGAGCTTGGCAAGCTTGGCTGCAAATGCCTCTTCCCGCTCCAGCCTCATCCGGTTCTCATCTCCACCAGCTCGCCAGATAATGTTGAGTCTGGTCTCGATGGGATCGTCTTGCGCCTCGATTGTGAGGATGCGGATGTTGACGTCCACGTAGGGGACATGCTTAGGGTCCTCGCCGACGGGAATGATGATTGAGTCCTCTCCACCCTTGACGAACTGGTGCACAAGCTGCTTTGTTGCCTTGAAGGCGACCGAGGTGCTGTCGATGATGTGATGAACAACGTAGCCATATGGTATACGAACACTGGCGCCATCGCCGTTGACGTAAACCTTGAGCTTACCATCAGGTCCTCCATTGGGGTTGACCGACACTTTCCAATCTCTGAGGCGAACCATCTCCTCCCATTGTCCGGATGCGATCACTCGTGGCGACTCGACTGCCCCCATGAGCGACTCCCAGAGCATTGATCCCCCTTCGGCGTCCGTCCATCGAAGATCCAGGCGGCGGATGTGGAGGAACAGATTAACGTTCTCGGGTAAGTCGACGAAAACGTGGACATCAGCTACACCCAGGTCAACAAAGATGCTCGGTCGCGCCAGCTTGCTGGATGGTGCAGCTTCCGGTTGGTCGTCGAGAGAACGATCATTCTCGTCTACCGCTGCTTCTGCACTGTCCGGTTTCAGGCGCCTGAGAGCGGCCACAGCGATCAGGATGCAGTACGAGTGAAGCAACTGAATCCTGAAAGACAGCAGTCTTGTGCCATCAGATTCAATGGTGAGCTCCTCGCAGTGTTTTGCTACCAAAGTCGGCTTGAGTACAGGTGGCCGAATTGTGACTCGAGTAGCAGAGTAAGGCATCCAGAAGATGTAATTCTTTGCGCGGTCCTCTTGATTGTAGCGACGACGAGCAGAAGTCTCGAAGGCTGGCTGACGATCGTGAAAGTCCCAAATTGCATCGGCGAAGATTGCAGTGGCCTCCTCCTCGTCCTCTCCCTCATCGTCAGAAGGCGTTTTCTGCCTCCGACTTCGACTTGGAGATCCATAGCGGCTCTTCAGATCCTCATTCACCAGAAGAGTCGCCTCTTCAACATCTAGCAGAGGGAAGAGGCCAATCTCGTACAGACTGATCTTGCCAGTCGCAGCCTTGCCATGCCGCAATGCGAGGGCATTGGCAGTCATGACGAGGTCCTCCGGTAGCATCAAAGCGCTGCGCGCGCCCCAGTCTGCCTTGGTTGTTAGCAGCTCAGGGGCTTTCTTTTGACAGACAAATTCGATGACGATTCTACGAGCCTCGAAACCTACACCGCGACAGAGGTGAGGATCGCACTTGGGATCGTTGCCTCCTACATGCGCTAGTACTCCGCCGATGGACAACCAGAGGTCCAGGCCATGGCGGAACTTGTCGATGAGGTGCACCACCTTGGCAGTCTGGGCAAAAGCCGAGGGCTGGTGACCCAACTCGCCGGGCTCATGGTACTCTTCCTTCGCCGCGGAGGTCACGAAGGGGCGCCGAGCAATCTGGATCTCCCGCATAGTTGCTTGCATCGCCTCGAAGACCCGGGGATGCCAGAGCTCGAGGTCGATTTCCTCAACAAAGCCGCGTACCTTTGTGTGATGTCCAGTGAGTCTCAAGATAGGACGGCTGGTCCCGAGCTCTTGTATGCCAGGTATGTCGCCAATTGCCGATGCATCGACATTGTTGATCGCCAGCAGCTGTCTCCGAACCAGATGTGCATCACCGCCCTCGCCGTTCGTAGACTGACGAGCGTCGGGGCCAGTGAAGACAAAGAAGCTCTCGATGACTGGACAAGTCAAATTGCCTTCGAAGTCATATATGATGCCACAGTCTTCATTAAGCGCAAGAGAGGGTCTGCGGACGAGGCGCGCAGGTACTTTGACGACTTGAGGCTCCCCGGGCTTGCCATCGGCGGTGCCAGGAATGATGATCTCTCGATCTTGGGCTCCCAAGCGAGAATCTTCCTTTGACTTTTGCCGCTCTGTAGCTACCCTCTTCTCTTCACCCTCGGTCTTCATAATCTCGTTCATCTTTGTCACCGCCTCTTCAATGGACATGCCACCTTCATCGGCGTTCGGTGAGGGGACATTCTTGCCCCGCTCCTCTGTCTTGGAAGCTGATCGCGACCGTCGTGTTGGAGACCAACTACCACCTCGGAGTCTACCGACAAAGGCAGAGAAGCCAGAAGAGGGCGTACGAGGCGAGGAAGCTCCAGGACCCTCACTATCGTACGTGCTCTTGAGTGACCATTCCAGCTCGTCCTTTTCAAGAGCCTTCCAAGCCGCGGCTCTTTCCCTATCATTGCGTCTGATGTATGCATCACGATAGGAGCCGTGGAAAGCCGCGTGGAATGATGGCACCTTCAACATGAGGCTGGCGTCCTGCGCAGAATCGGAGGAGAGTGCCCGGCCTGCATCAAGCCGGTAGGCAGTCTCTCCAACTTCCAATCCAATAGACAGCCTCGGTACGTGACGTAGGAGTGTATCGAATGCCGTCTCCCGCGAAGGGCGATCAATTTTCAACCTCTTGATGACTGCTCTCCGCTCAGCTCGCCTCATCTCTACGTACGTCAGGAGGGCAGCTGCGCAGTCGAGCTTCACATCTCCTCTGATCCTTTCCAAGCTGATCTCGGCAAGGAGGGACTGTTCGTTGGGGTCACCTTGGAAGAAGCGTCTGCAAGCCTCTTTGCCATCAAGTGAGGCAGGGAAGAGACCAAAGGGAGTCCAAGTAGACCGAACGTGGACATTCAGCTCGTCCAGGTGGAGGAACTCTGATCTCTCCTTCTGTTCGTCGACTCGGCACGACAATTGCAGAGAAGAGAAGCCAGCATCAACAAGGAAGGCGCGACGATGTTCAACGGGCCTATGATTGTGTGTTCCACAAGTGCCAAGCCAATGTTGATGCTTGCTTTCCGACGGGTCACTGTTCTTCAGTGAGACGTGAATGCCTTTGATGTTTCCACCCACGTAGATTGCAGAGGGCAACCGCTTTCTCTCTTCTTCGGAGAGGGAATCCATCGAGAACTCGCTCGCGCCAGGTCTCGTATCAGATCTGAAGGAGATTTGAGGCATTGTGACGGAGAGAGTCCGCAGAGCAGCAAGAGCTTTCTCAGCAGGCTCTCTGCGCTGCTGTGCGAAATGACGGGAAAAGGCCGAGCGATCTCCCCCTGCTCCTGCCACAGTTGGCATAGGGCCACTACGTAGGGCCTTGCGATCCTCAACGATTCGAACGATGCGGTATAATGCATCGAGGCCGACATCAGCTTTGCTCAGATCTAGCGAAGTCTCCACAGTCTCTCGTCCTCCGAAGTTGAGACTCGTGCCTATCCGCAGGCCGAGCTCGAAGCGCGTTACCTCTGGCAAACAAAGAAGCTTGGAAGCCAGGGGAATGGTAGCATTGACGGTTTGTCCACCCTTCGCCCAACCAGTGTCCGACGTAAAGCGCGTCGACGAGCATGATAAAGAGGAGTCCTGACTGGAACGACGAGCAGAGGTTCGAGAGGAACGTGACTTGTCATCCGGATGCAGATCGGCTTCGAAGACTTCGACACCGCTTACACGGATTATGAGGCTGCCCTTTCCAGCAGGAAGGCCGGCGGTGATGGAAGTCGCAGCCCCCCTGGCGGTATGACCGACGTTGATGATGGCTTCTGACAAACGGCGATAGTGTTGACGCGGCTCTTTGACTCTGCCAGCGTCCCGTCGGTCCTTCCCCATAGGTCCCGAATGCTCTCGATCTGTGACCAGAGCCATCGCCAACTCTACGCCAGCATCCTCTACTCTCACAACAGACTCGACTTCCTGTAGGTAGACTTCCACTCGGTGTACCTCGATCCCGATGAAAGACATGAGTGCGGGCAGACTTGAGACGATGCAGAACGTGATGGCTCGGGCAGCCTGATAGAGCCTGCAGCGAATGGCGGGATATGCTCGGAGCGAGAGCCAGCAATAGCTTGACTCGAACCATGGCGCAGGACCCTCATTGGCCTTGTCGTCTCCGCTCGTTGTTTGCGCCTCCTCGGGGCCAGCTCTGGGGGCAGCTGGGCTGTCGCCTCGTACCAGAGCTTCCATTCTCTGGTCCTCTTCCTCTTGCAACTTCTTGGCGGCCTCTTCTTCTTCTGCAGCCTTGACCTTGGCCTGCTCGAGCTTTCTTTGCTTCGAGGCTTCATCTGTGGGTGAGCGAGGCAGACGAACGCCTACGCCCTGGACATTGATGGTGAGCCAGCTCCTTGCGCGACCCTGCTTGCTCTTTGGGCTCTCATCTAGCCTCTTCCGGCCAAAGGAGATGTAGATGCGCTGTACTTTGACCACGAGGCCTTCAGGTGGTTGGCCATCGCCGCTGTGCTCTCCTCCTCGATCACCTGAGATTTTCCCAAATCCATTCGATCTCCATTCCAGGCCGTTCAAGCCTCTCAAACCGACGCACTTCACTCGTAGTCTGCCGCGTAGGAAAAGCCTGGGTATGCGCGGGAGGATTGCTCCGAAGAGGACGAGAAAGGCAACGAGACAAATGATTGCTGTGACCAGGTAGGATGACGACGAATACGATGATTCTGGCGATGATGATGACGGATCTGGAAAGGAAGCAGGCTTTCCCGTCGAAGACGCCATGGCGTACGGCAGGGTATCGTCAGCTTACGACCGAGAGGCACGAGCGCTCAGACTCGGCGGGGTCGAAGCGCGTTCTCTGACTCGCAGAGGTCTCGTCTTGGCTGATTTCTAGGATGGTGAGAATGTGTTAGGCCACATCGTCCCAGAGATGCAGGTGTCAGCGACGAGGAGAAGATGGCGGTGAGGCGCAGTGGAGGTTCTGGTAGGAAGCAGAGGACGTTTTGGTGGACCCTCGGGCAATTGCTGGACTCACAAGCCACCCAAGCAGGCAGGCACGCCTAACGCCGCCGGCTCGGCATCGCCCTTCCGTCGTCGAGGCTGAGCAGGCGGACAATGAGGGCGCAGCGCGAGAACCATGCCGAGGTAGCGACGTGGGAGGGGAAGCGTCCCTTCCCTACTCGGATATGCTCCGGCTATACATCTGCAAGCATAAGTCAGTGGCTTCGGGCATGAGGTTCGAGGGTAGCCGTGGAGCAAGGCACAGCTTGGCGGGGGACAGAGCGTGGGTAGAGTAAGATGCGTGAGGGCGTGCCGACGGTGCCCCTTCCGTTCCGCCGACGCATGCACGCATGGGACACCTTCCCTCACCTTGTTCCCCTCCAGGAGTGACCAGAGCAGCGAGTAAGCCGACGATCATCTCTGCCCGCTGTACTTGTCCACCTCGTCACACGTCTGCAAAGCGTCATCGTCGCCACTGCCTTGCTGTATCCCGCGCCTAGAAGGTGCCCGCGTTCCTGATCTTCCAGGCAATCGAGCCCGTGTCCCCACGACGCTCATCATCCGCCGTCACCGATTGCCCCTGGGCTGTGCCTAGCTTGCTACGCGGAAGAAGCAGAGGCAGCCAAGGAGCCAAGTCAAAAGCAGCTCCATTTGCGGGGCTACGCAAGGCCGGACCTGCGTACACTGCACTGCCGCCGCCCTTCCTCGAGCTTCGAGGGCTGCCCATGACTTACAGGCATTACCTTCCCACTGCACGCACACCACCTAGACTCCTTTCCTTGTCCCGCAAACGCTGCGTGATCCCCATCGCACTCAGCAAGTCTAGTAGCGTAGCTGACAAACCACACCTCTAGAGGGAGTCGATCCGGTCTTCGACTTTCGGAGCTGCGAAGAAGCCAGGACGGTTGCCGAGCAAGCAGCATCACAGCCGTCTCGACATGGCCGACAAGGACGATGCTGCTGACATCAAGATTGTCATGCTAGGAGGTGAGATAGACTGAGATCGCACAACTGCCCCTGAACCTGCCTCAATGCTGACTCTCCAGCGCTGTCCGATGTCACAGGCGGTGGAGTGGGTAAGTCTGCCCTCACCCTTCAATTCGTCAAGGGTGAATTCTTGTCCACATATGACCCGACTATTGAGGAGACATATCGCAAGACGATGGAGGTAGACGGTCTCAAGTCAGTGATAGAGATCATGGATACTGCAGGGTGAGTCAAAGGCGTATACTGGACGAGAGCTCTGATACTGGCCCGCTCACTCTCTGACCCTGCCTCCTGCAATTCGCCTTGACCTTAGGACGGAACAATTCACGGCTCTCAAAGAGATCTACATGAAAGCTGGCAATGCCTTCATCTTGGTATTTTCGCTCACACATCTGGGGAGCGTCAATGAGCTCGGAGAATTGAGAGAGCAAATCCTCCGATTGAAGGGCCGCAAAGTGAGTACTCTACGGGAGGTCGTGTAATGCGGGATCCTCTCCTTGCGCTCATAGTCCTTTGGAGTCCACAACTGACAACTTTGGTGGATTTTCTTTTTCCTCTCTCCCCGCTCAGGTTCCCCTCATCCTTGTAGGCAACAAGTCCGACCTGAAAGCCGACCGACAATGTCCCCAAGAAGTCGGCGCAAACCTCTCGCGGCTGTGGGGCAAAATCCCTTACTACGAAGCCTCGGCGAGAAAGGGCACGAATGTGGATGAGATCTTTGAGGATGCGGTTCGACAGTGCAGAGCCATGGAGACTAGTACGCAACTGGATAAGAAGAAGAGGAAGGAGGGGCTGGCCGAGATTAGAGGGAAAGGGAGGATGGGACTGGATAGTAAGAAGTGCGTCGTCATGTGAGGGCGACTTACTAGGGGAGAGCCGGGAAAACCAGCTCTGTCCACGAAGAGAGACTGGATGAGAAGTGTCTACGAAGAGGCAAGCACTGCACTCTCCAACCTAGCACCAGGCGGCCGTCTTCTGGACGGGACAACTTGACGACAAGATCACGACGAGCGGCACGGCTACGACCTGTGCCTCACAAGATACCCAGGACAATTCAAGTCCATGTCCATTGCAATCTGATGACCCTTCTAACGATTCCTACCTTCCTTACGAACATTGGTCTGCTCCCGTTGTCGTGGCTGTCTTATGATAAATGACATTTGACGTTGCGACTCTACTCAATTCGTGTACCATCGTGGTTGGTGACACTCGAAGTGGGGTCTCACTCGGTGGGGCTGGTCTATCAACGAGGTTGCTCGAGGGAGAGGGTACGTATGCCTCCTGTGTTCCTCGACTTTGCGTCGAGAAAACATTGAACCGGCAGCTGTCATTTGTGGCTATGAGCGGACAACGTGCGCCGTACGCCCAGACGCCGAGCGTACGACGGGTCAAGCGGGACCGGTGAGCCGCTTTGCTCCCTAGACGGTACCTGGGCGCGGCTCGCTATTGCTCCGGTGACCGGTAGTGCCTTTCCCGTGCCTGCAGCTCCGGACAAGCGAATAGCGGGGTATAGTGGTGCTTGGCGTACATCGGCGTTCGATGCTGCTGTACTTACGACCTGGAGATGGAGAAGGGAGGGAAGGATATAAGGACCGGCGCTTAGCAGGAATTTCTTCTCCTCTTCTCGCCGCCCTTTCGATCTCCAAGCAACACCTCCAAAGTGCAAGAGCCGATCCAACCACTCACGACGATGAAACTCCTGACCAGCGCCTTCCTTGCCCTCGCCTCCCTTGCCTCCCTGTCATCCACATCTAGCGCAAGACAGACCGACCCCTCCCTCTGGGGTAAAAGCACCACCTGCACCGGTTGTTCTTTCCAAACTACCGTCGACCCCGCCAAGGCCATAGGGGTCTCTGTCCACCAATCCGCTAGATGTATCACCGAGATGCTCCGCGAGAATGACCTGCAGTGGCCGACTGCCAAGTGGGATTATGCAATTCATGGTCAGCTGGCGGTAAAGAAGGAGAACGGGACGGGGAATTAGCACTTGGAGGGATTCTTGAATGTTAATGGACTGAAACCAGGGTATCCCAAGAATTTGGATGGTGAGTCTGCTCACTGACTACCGAGGCGCGGATCATGCAGTTGAGGCTGACACTGTCACTACCCCTCTGGCTGTGCCCTTTCCAGGAGGCTTCTCGGTCCAAGATCACGTCTGCGCCAACAAAGTCAAGGCGAGCGTGGACTGCCTCCCTGCCTCCTGCTTCAAAGGTGTCCGCGAGGCCATCGGCCTCGTCATCGATCCTCCTGGACATGTTGCCAAGCCTGAGGACCAGTAGACACTCCGCATGGAGAAATACGCACTCTCTACTGCGGAAGATGGAAACAGATGTGCTGAATCTCGTGTCGACAGGACCGTGATGTTTGCTTCATTCTGAGCGTCGCAGCAGCCCATACTCTCGACGCCATCGTCGCAGCTCTCCGAATGTCAGTTCATTGTACATAGTCGATCAGCTGCCATAAAGCTCCTCACCGTGCATAATTCCATACTCTACTCATATCCATTCGCGATGAGAATGTCTGAGGGATCTGAAGCTGGTGATTGAGTCAAAGGCTGTAATACTAACAACGGCAACAGACGGGCTCCTGATCTCGGCTCCATCATGCCCTCACCCCTCACTCCAGACCGCCGTAGATTACCTTGACACACTTGTACAGGAGCTCTTTCCACATCGGGTCCGCATACGGCAGGATTTGCGTAGCCAGCATCACCTGGAGAGGAGGACGTGGTGGTTAGCATGTCAGTGTTTATCCTCCATTACAAGCCGTGCAGGCTCATCTTGCTCAACATTGCAAGCACTACTCACCGCAATCTCCTTCGTCGGATCGACAATGTAGAACAGGCAGGTGATGCCACTCCAGAAGACCGAGCCTTGCGTCACTCCAGCCTCGGTGCCCTTTGGGAGATACGCCAAGCCCGAAGTGTGCTGAAGATTGGCGTATCCCCCCTTGGGAGCCACGACACCCTCGTCCTCGAGCGTCCTCACAAGCCCCGGGATCTGGGCATCTGACAGGTGCGGTGTGAAGAGCTGGCGAGAGATGGAAGGGTCTATGAAGACCGAAGAGGGGATGGAGAGCTTCTCAGCCTCGGCTGAAGAAGCGGGGAACTTTGAGAGAGCGATAAGGAAGGAGAGGTACCGTCCGTAGTCTTCAGATGAGGCAACAAAGGTGGGGGGTATCAGCACAGGTCCTGGCTCCCCGATTGTATCAAGTGTCCTACTCACCCTCAATTGTGCTGACCAGACCTGCTCCTCCGCTGGCTACATCTGGTGCAGCTGCCCCTTCTCCTTCCCAAATCGCCCCCGCAGGTCGCGGGTATTGCTTCGTCACAGGGACCAGCGAGCCGTCTTCCTCTCTCCAATGGATTTCCATACCATGCTTGGAGGCGTACATTGCCTTGGCATCATCTGGGACCCCTTCGGCTGCTGCAGTCGAGGCAACAAGATCTCTGGGGGTGAAAGTTGACTTCTTCATACCTAGCGGGTCGAAGATCCTCTTCTGGGCAAACTGCGCAAAGGTAGTCCCATCACCGAGGAGCTTCTCGATGAGCAGCACGGCCCAGTCCAGTCCAAAGCCATAGCTCCATCCCTCCCCTGGCTGAAAGAGGAGGGGGAGATCGACGAAGGCCGCTTTTGTGAGGGAAAAGGCGGAAGGCTGCCCCTTCTTTTCTGCCCAGGCGTGCAGGCTGGCTTCCTTGAAAGGGTAAGTAGAGCCAGACGTGTGGTCCATCAGCATGCGGATCGTAATATCTTTGTCTTTGTGCACAGGTTCGATCTCCCCTGTCTTCGTGTTCAGCACCCCATTGGCCTTCATCTGAGGAATGTAAGGATCAACAGACTCATCTAGACTCTTGATCTTGCCCTCCTGCATGAGCAACAAGAGGGAGATGGCCACGATGGACTTTGTGCACGAAGCAATGTAGAGCAGCGTCTTTGGTGTCACTGGCCCGCGAGGATCATCGGTGAAGTCTGCGGTAGCATTGCGAGATCCTTTGGCATCAAGGAAGAGAGGAGCGTTGGGGTTTGTAGAGCTGACTGTGAGAAAGGTACCAGGGAGGCGAGGCTTGGGAAAAGCCGTGTATTCTTCTAGCAGAGAAGTGAGTTCAGCGACTGCGCTTGCAGACAGAGTAGGGATCTTTGCAGCCATATTGGACAACTGTCAGGGATACGAGCGAGCGAGCAATTGAGCTGATCCCAGATGTTGGTAAGCAATGAAGGTAGCAAGACTGCTACCGGATCTGCGGGCCCCACTGCTCGGCCCGAAGCCCCCCTCCACCAGAAAAGGCGGAAAAGCCGGCGATTCGGCAGTCCGCTCTGTGCACAAGCCCACTTTCACACCTTATTTCCGGGGCCCCTCAATCGGTACAAATTGTAACATCGGGAATGCGAAAGGTCATTGATCTCAGCTTATTCTTGGTCTATATCGGAGAAGCTTGCGACGGACATCTATGCTCTACGAAAGTCTACGAGGTGCCATTAGTGGCACTTCCATTATGGCGAGTGCCCTTATTTCTTCGCCGCGTCTCTTCGCTGGCCCTCCTGATTGCCCAGGTCAGCTTGTACGTCTGCAATGCATCCGTCCAGCTACTGAGGGGCTGCTGGTCACTCTGACCGTCGAGTGCGTCTACAATGACTTGGAACTCAGTTGCAAATGGATCCTCGTTGGGGTACTCGATGATGGCTATCGAAGAAAGAAAATATAAGGTGAGCCAAAGTATCAGGCACTTGCAGCAGGAACATCAGGTATACTTACTGTCGTCGTTGGATGCGGGCGAGCGGATCGTAAGCGTTGGACATGTGGAATACGCTTCTTGAAGTTTAAAGCGCCATCCGTCGGCTAAGATCTCGATCTCCGTTGAATATTCAGCTCCTGAAAGAGTGATGTGTCAGCCAAGTCCTACCAAAGACAGGCCGGTTTTGCTGTACTCACCTTGCAAAGCTACACCGTGTGTCAAAGTAGCCACTGTCCCTCTCTGGTGCTTCCAAAATGCCGTGGTCAACCTTGGTATCCTCTGATCCTCCTGTATCAAACTCTCATCGAAGCCCTGCGCCCCCAATACGCCGGCGTCCTCATCCCACTCTACGCTCGAAGCCTGCACCGTGTCCATGACCACCTCGTTTCCTACGTCGCTGCCGGCGAGGAAGCGGACGAGGTCGACAAAGTGGGTCGCTTGTTCCACTACAGGTCCTCCCCAGATGCTCTTGGTCCACCATTGGGCATTGACTGCTAGAGGGTAGGCCATGAAATATCTTGCGCTGACGCACATGGGCACGAGATTGTGTTCAGCCAGGACAGAGCGAATCTTAGCCACAGGAGAGAGGTACCTTAGCATGTATCCCACTGACAGGACAGAGGGCTTGGCCTGCCATTCTCTGAGCCCGAAAGCGACTGTCTCTAGATCGAAATGGGCAGGGTCAGATGAAGAAATGGGCTTCTCGATCAGCAGCCCTCGTACATCTGGGAAGTGCTTCATCAGCTGCATGTCGAGGTCTTTGCCCTTTAGGGTAGTGCCACGGAAGGGCGGAGGACAGCCATTGACAATCAATGTGATCGAATGCGCCTCGAGAGCAGCGGCAGCATGTGGTACGTTGGGAAAGACGGTAGCCCCCGCCCAAGCGGCGTGCGTCTTTGGGTCGGCCCGCTTGGCTCCGATTTGGGACTCTGCTCTGGACAGATTGGGATCCACTACACCGAGGACGTGCAGACGCGAACCCAGAATTTTCTCTAGACGGATACTGTGGTTCCAAGGACCTTCGCCACAGCCTGTAGGGCAGACCAGGAGATAGATAGAGGTCAGGCAGAGGCACTTCGGAAGTCCGTCTTATCTGTACATTCGGCAACCTCTCTGCCCTCACCAAAGTTGATATCGCCGGCTCCGATGAAGAGGACCTTGACGATGGACGGGTCAGCTATAGTCATGTCGAGAGACTGTTCTACGTCCTTTCTCTATCGCCACAGATATAGAGCAATGGTATCCCTTCACTCGACCAATATTCCTCCTCATGTGCTAAGATTGCCTGGCCTCCGGAAAGACTTCGGAGGTCCAGATCGCCGAGAAGAGGCCGAGGGTGGACCCTGTGGCAGAGTGCCCGGTGCGGGGGTGGAGTGGAGAGGGAGAAGTCCGCGCCCCACTCGGTGATCTTCCTTGCCTTGGCTCCATCGTTCTAGCCGCACCTCTTCGCCTGACGTGACCCTGAACAATCAATCTCGTCCTCCCATCCTCTCATCAGATCGATTCACTCCTACTCTCCACAGACTCCCCACTCCCTTCCCGCCATCCACTCGCCCAAGATGTCGATGACCATCGAAGAATGCTCTGCCACGCGCCAGCCAAGGCCCATTCCCGAGACGTCCCGCAACGTTCTCGAGCAGCTCTCCATGAAGGGCAAGGTCACCCTCGTGACCGGCGCCGCTGATGGAATCGGTCTCGCAGCCGTCGAAGCAGTCATTGAAGCTGGCGGAGATGCGGCTATGGTCTACCGATCGAATGACACAGCAGTGGAAAAGGCGAAGAAGCTCGCGGAGCAGTACGGTGTCAAGGTCAGGGCTTACAAGTGTGATGGTGAGCTCAAGCGGGGCAAAGGAAGATTTACATGACATGAGCATCTAAATTTACGAGGCCTTGCCTACATTGTCTCGCTTCAGTGACAAGCGCCGATGAAGTTCAGAAGGTCATCAAGGATGTCTTTGGAGACTTTGGTCGCATCGATGTCCTCGTTGCCAACGCAGGCATGGCCGTCTCACAGCCCCTGTTGGAGCAGTCTCTTGAGGATTACAAGAAGCAGATGAGCGTCAATGGTGAGTGGTAGGCTTGTGAGCAGTGATCGTTGTCGAGGGTCATGGGCTTACCATGGGTCTCTCACCCCTCTCTGCAGTCGATGGTGTTGTCTATTGCGCCAAGTTTGTGGGAGAAATCTTCAAGAAGCAGGGCTTCGGAAACCTCATCATCACCTCCAGCATGTCGGCCCATATTGTCAATGTTCCCGTTGATCAGCCTGTGAGTATTTGCTTACCAGCGTCAAGCACTGGACAGGCGCATCATGCTCGGAGCTGATCTCATCTATATGGTTCTTCTCCCTCCCCCTCGTCTTGCAGATCTACAACCTGACCAAGGTGAGCATTTCCGACTCGATAGTCCAGCTGAAGGTAATGACCTGACCTTCTCCTCCTGTTCTCACACAGGCCGCCGTCACCCACTTCGGCAAGTCCCTGGCTCGAGAATGGCGGGAATTTGCTCGGGTCAACATCGTCTCTCCAGGCTTCTTCTACACAAAGATGGGCGCCTCGCCGCAATGCGAGAACGAGGCGGTGAGGAAGGCCGTTCTTGCCAGGCAGGTGAGTCAGAGAAGTCAACACAGGGCATTTGAATGCATCGAGGTGCTGACCTCGGCTGCTCTATACTTTCGACTCTTTCCCAGGGTGACACAAAGGAGCTCAAGGGGATCTTCCTGTACCTTGCCTCGGACGCCTCTACCTTCACCACTGGGTCCGACATTCTCGTCGACGGCGGCTACACATTGACCTAATTGCAACGCGCAATACTACGCCACTGTTGCTGCATGGGTATATCAGTGTAATCTGCAATTAAAATGAGATCGTCACACCCTTCGTTCTGGTTTGATCCGCGCTTTATAATCTATTGCTCAAAGTCGTATATGAAGCAGTCTGACAGCATTGCCTTGGCCCGTTCCTGTCGGAGAATATTAGGAGTCAGTGGTCTGATCAATGGGCTCTTTTGGGATTCTGCAGATCTTCGCTTGATGCACTCACTCCGAATGCGACGTGGACTGGGTCCTTTTCTAAATAGTACTGGACATCCTTTTTCGAATCAAAGGTGACAATGAAGAGGTGCTGCAAGCAATCTCACGGGTGGCGAATGTCAGCAATAGAGCTTTCGCCCATCGCGATCAGCCCCTTCACTTACCTCGAACCCCTTACCAGCTCCCTCTGGACTGATATTGGCCTCTCCCAGCTTAAAGTCGCGGATATACGGCTTTCCTTGCTCATTCACACATTCCGTCTCGAGCGCCCTGAGGCTCTTTACCAGCTCAGCCTTGTCTGAGTCTGTCACGTCGGAGCGATAGGTGAAGGCGACGACGTGTATGTAGGGCATGGCTGGGTTGCTCGTAGCAGCAATGAGTAGTGGAGGTTACCTACCCTGGTCACGCAGTGTGCGTCATGCTGACCTGGACCCTTTGGTGCCGTTCCGCCTTGTGTATCTCCCGTTCCGCTCCGTGGGACTCCAACACTGTGCGAGTGTTCGAGGCTTAGCGTCTTCTGCGCGTCGCGCCTCGCGCCCAAATGGCAAAGCGACCAGGGGCGGCGCATCACGACGGGGGTCACCGTCTTCTGGTCTACCACTGCTCACACCATCACCTCCTCTCCTCATCCTTGACCACCCCTTCCCGGCCTGTACTTCCTCGCCTTCTTCACCCTTCAATCTCACTCTCTCTTCGAGCTCAGCTGCTAGTCAGAGCATAAGATCTGGCACCTTGAACCATCCTTGCAAGTGCTCGATACTGCTCCATCTCCGCATCTCATATCGCACGAGGTCGAGGACCATTACTGCACATACCTGCTTGGCACCTTCAGCAAGCATCACTGCTAGTGTCTGCTAAGGTCTCCTGACTCTGCGAAAAGCTTTCAGTGCTATCCAAGCGTCACGCAAAGCCGCATCGCGCTCTCGCTCGCCAAGCTTGACTGTCAGCGGTGTCAGTCAGCCCGGCCCGGCCCAGCCTGCACGCCTCGCTTACCCCATGATGGACATTCCATTTGCCAACAATCGCGTACCCTATCACCAGCCTAGTCTCAACGCCATGTCTCAACAAGGCAGTGCGACTGGCAGTAGTGGTGCAGGCGGAAACTTCTACCAGCCTCAATCCTACTCCCAGAACATGACCTACTCCAATGGCGCCCATCCACTATCGCCGCCCAAAGGCCGAGGGGAAGGTGCGCCTCCATTCAGCCAGGCATCATCCGCTGCACCGTCTTCTTCCATCGAGAGCAGTACCAACAACTTCTCATTTCCCAACAGTAGTCCTGCAACTACTGCCCCCGCCTCCATGGGCGGAAGCTTCTCCGCAGAAGGCGCATCATCCGCACCTCAACCCACCGTCTATCTAGCGACATACTCCAATGTCCCCGTCTATGAGATGACCATCCGCGGAATTGCCGTCATGAGAAGGAGGACAGATGGATTCCTCAACGCTACTCAAATTCTCAAGGTGGCGGGTATTGAAAAGGCAAAGAGGACAAAGATTCTCGAAAAGGAGATCCTGACGGGCGAGCACGAAAAGGTGCAGGGAGGGTACGGGAAGTACCAGGGTACATGGTGCGTAGACCCTGAGGCGGATCGATTGCTCTTTTGACGAACTGACACTTACTCATCTGCCTCCTTGTGGTTTTCGCAGGATCCCGCTGAAGCGTGCTCAAGAGCTTGCAGGCTCCTACAATGTCGCTCACCTTTTGCGACCCGTCCTGGAATTTGACCCTCGCACCGCGGATCAAGTCCCCACGGCAGGTCCCAAGAAGCGGCCGAACCCAAATGCTCCCGCCAATAGCTCCTACTTCAAGAACGGTCCTGGAGCAGTCAAGAGCAGTACGCCCAAATCTTCGGGCTCAGCAGCGCCGGAAGCGTCTACACTCAGGGCTCCCACCCAGCAGCCTCGCTTCTTGCAACTGCGAGCTCCACCTTCGGCCAGCACTAGCGATGAGGCGGCGTCTGGCATCATGGCTCCTGGATCGGCGAGTCTCATTGGTGCCCTCAGTGCTTCTGGCGGTACCAGTGGTACGGAAGGCATCCCACCTGGCTCGACACCGTCTATGCGCCAGGCATTGAGCAACTATTCGCAATTCGGCTACACTCCTCAAGGCGTTCCCTTGCCTTCGTCGTCGACAACGGCAGTCGGCAAGCGCGCCGAGCGAGATGCAGACGATTCGATGGAGTCTATGCAAGGACGCGAAGCACCAGCGAAGCGAGCACGAGCCGGGAGCCCAGGTGGTTCGCCACCTTCGCGTGCTGAGGTCCCCATGATCGCTCTTGGCCCCTCTCCAGTCAAAGATCTCTCTGCCCTTGCTGGTCCTGACTCGTCCCTGCGAGGAGCTTCGCATCCTCGACCGCAGCAAGTGGCCCTCGGTCCTCCCGACGAGCTCGTGCGAAGGTCCGGAGGCACCCGCTTTGCTGATCGTCCCAGACCCGTCAAGGCGCAAGACGAAGGAGAGAGACGTATGCGCGATCGACTCATCGCCCTCTTCATGGGCAGCGAAGGCGATGTGACTGGTGCTGCAAAGGAGGACGCCCAAGGGCAGCTCACCCAGCTTCTCACTGAGCTCAAGGCAGCTATCAGCTTGGGAGGCTCTGCTCCAGCTTCGAGCGAGAGCGGACCTGCGCCCTGCGTAGATGCCGTCATCGACGATCACGGTCACACTGCTCTGCATTGGGCTGCAGCGCTTTGCAAGTTGCCATTGGTCTCCATGCTGGTCGCACGGCCTGTCACTGAGCGAGGTGCCAATCTACATGCGGGCAACTACGCAGGCGAGACGGCTCTGCATCGATCTGTCCTTGTGACAAATGCCTACGACTCGTCCAACTTCCCAGATCTGCTAGAGATTCTCGCTCCATCTTTGCACACTCGCGACTTCAAGAACAGGACAGTGCTGCACCACATTGCCCTCGTTGCAGCTCTCAAAGGCCGCGCGACCCCTGCACGGTACTACCTCGCCTCTGTGCTCGAGTACATTGCCAAGAAAGAAGGTGGCAAGTTTGCCTCTCTTGTCGATGCGCAGGACGAAGATGGTGAGACGGCGCTAGGCATCGCAGCTCGACAGGGTAACAACTCCATGGTGAAGATGCTCCTCGAAGTCGGTGCTCGAAAGGACCTATCGAACATCTTCGGCCTGAGGCCCTCTGATTGGGGCATCGATGGTGGCAGCACTTCTGGTGGCCCCTCGTCTTCACCTCTGGGACCAGGACAGGAAGGCAGCCAGCTCACCCCTCAGACGAAGGAGAACCTGCGCGAGTCACGCAGCGACCTCGTCACTTCTCTTATGCGCCCGCCTCAGCCTCCCATTCAAAAGTCCCAGGACGTGTTGACGCAACTGCGCTCCCTCCTGGACGAGCTGACGAGCACCTCGGCCAAGGAGCTAGCGGAGAAGCAAGAAGCACTCCAGGTGACGCAGAGCCATCTACAGAGTGCTACACGGGAGCTCACAAGCAGACGCAAAGGGATCAGTACGGCCATGGCTAAAGTGGCCGAGCTGGAGGAGCGTAAGCTTCGCGTGGGCAACCTCAAGAGACGCCTCTTCAGGGTCGTCACGCACGGTGTTGAGTCCGGCGGTGGCGCTCCTGCGGTCGAGGGAGAGGTAGAGGAGGAAGCCTCGCCCGCCCTGATCACCGAGCTGCTCCGTCTCGAGTCTGACTTCTCCAGCTCCTCGTCTACATCGCCGGAAGAAGGCCTAGTGCGAGTCCGCTCCGAAGACCTCTCCCGCCTCTCCCTCTCCCCATCCCAAAAGCAAATCGAGCACCTCCTCCTCACCCGCTTCCTCCATCACCACTTTACCCTCTCCAACGACTCTCTCCGTTCCGCCACAGAAGCGGTGCAGGTTGAAGCGCGCCAAAAGGAGGAGAAATGTAGGAGAGTGGTGAGCATGTATTCTCGTATCGAGGAGACGCAGGTGGAAGAGATTCTAGATGAGCTGGTAGCGGCAGTGGAGAGTAATGCTGAAGTGGACTTGGCGAGGGTGGCGGGTTTCTTGGCTAGGACGGGAGGGACGGTAGTTGGTTTGAAGAAATAAAGGGAGAGAGACAGAACAAAGTAAAGTAGCGTGGGGATTTTGCCTTGAGGGAAGACGTGGTGATGGTGGTGGTGGTGGTGATGAAATTTACAAAGGTATGAATGTCAGTGCTTGAGAATGAGCGTAATCTGGTGTAATAGTAAAGCCACTGTCAAGTAAAGTCAAAGTCAAGTCCACTTCAAAGGCGTCATGTCCACACGCAGACCTGAAGAAGAAAAAGATGTGATGCGTATCCAGTACTAGGGAATTTCATTTTCGAAACGAGAGAAGGGCAAGAAGCCAAAGAGACAAGGAGACCCTACATCCTCGGCCGGAACCTCAAGGCTGCATGTACATTTTTGGCTCCTGCAAAGGCAAGACGTAGCGTAGCGTCTTGGCCTCCCTTGTTGCATGACCCTTGCCCGCCTTTTTTTTTGTTTCACTCTCCCTTGAGACGCAAAGGCTGGAACGCCTCTCCTCCACCCATGTAATGCTTTCCCTGTGCCTCTACCCACTGCAATCGAACAGCATGCAACGTTGCGCTCAATCCTTCCATTCCCACCAGAATTGCCAGTGTTCCCATGAAGAAGACGGCGAATCCAAAGGTCACCGCGAGGATTCCCACGACGCCCGTGAGCCCAAAGGTGTTTTGGATGGTCATGGTCCAGAGAACTTCGGAGAGTTGGGCGTGGGCCAAAGACAGGGCCCAGAGACGAAGGTAGGAGGCAGTGTTGGAGATGCAACCCAGACAGAATTCAATGGTGTGGATGATCTGGTGGATCACCACCTCGCCGAACTCCTCTTCGTGGTCGCCGCCACCGCCACCGCCGCCACCGCTTGAGTTGCCCTCGCCGCCGTTGCCGTTACCGTTGTGATGGTCGTCGCCGTTGGCCTCACCGTCCAGGTTGCCCTGACCGTTGACGACCAAACGCTCCTCCTCGTCTTCGTCACCGGCAATGAGATGGCGGTACCCTTGTCCCTGGTGCTTCTTTTGCTCCTGATACACGAGGTACGGCTTGGCACACAGCATCCAGGGCACACAGAGACCGGCGAGACCTAGCAAGCACGTCTGCACAAAGGCCTGACCAGCGTAGAGTTGCTTGTCAGCATCGACCTGACCGGGCTTGAGGAACATGTAGATGAGCGTGTTGAGCAGACTTGGCGGGTTGTTGCGGAACAGGTTGCCCGTCTCGTCGGTCTCGTACCAGTCTACACTCCACTTGTACAGAATCATGATGACCAGATATCCAAAGAGGGCCTGCATGAAGAGGATCTGAGGCATCCATTCGGTGAAGATCGAGCTGCGCTTCTTGAAGTGGATGAAGTTGGGCACTTGCAGAGTGATGGCAAAGGACATATGAATGACTCCCAGAATCACCGACATCTTCATCTTGATCGAATTGGTGAAAACGAGAGCATTGTCTGCACCATGCCAAGTCGGATCGAGACCCATGGTGTAGACATGACCATTGGGAATAGCCTCAGTAGGGCCGTTACGATCGGCAGGCCAGTCCCAACCAGTGCCGAAGAGGTGCAGCGACTTGGAGAAGATGTCGTTGTAGAGGAAACCAGTGAACATCGAGAAGGCACCCATAAGGAGAACCATGTAGCGACCGAAGAAGAACATGTCGAAGATCTCGCCCATGCTGTTCTTGGCCAGCTGGCGCTCGTACATGCACATCACCAGACCTGCGAGGAACATGATGGTACCGTGTCCAATATCACCGAACATGACGGCGAACAGGAAGGGGAAGGTGATGACGGCAAAGAGACCAGGATTGACCTCTCCGTAGGCTGCCACACCGTAGGAGTCGATGATGGCTTGGAAACCCTCGGTGACCTTGTTGGTGCGCTGGAAGGTAGGTGGAGTCTGTTTCGTCTTCAGCTCGTGAAGGACAGGTGGCACAGAAGTTCCAGCTGCCTCAGCAGCCCGGTGCAGGGCCAGCTGAATGGAGTGGATGTCGGTGGTGGGGCACCAGCCTTCAGCAATCAGCGTCTTGCGTCGAGAGTCGAAGAGGAACGAATTCATCGTAGAATAGATGAGCTTCTCTCGACGAACAAAGTCGGCCCAAGCGGTGAGGGTCTCTGCAATCTTGACCAGCTCGGTGCGACGAGTGGCCGAGGTGGTGTACATGACGTTGTCCAGATCCTCAATGCGAGAGTGTACGTCACGGAGAGCACCTTCCCTCTTGCTTGCTGAAGAGTCGATCGGGTACAGTGTACCACCCATTGACTCGGAGATCTTTCGGATCTTGGAAAGAAGCTCAGAGCCGTGAGCGAAGATGATGAAGACATTCTTGCGGGTAGGCTCCTCCTTGCCAGGCTCCTGGAAGGGCTCTTCGATCTCGGCATAGTTCATGTAGAGATTGCCACGCAGCACACGCCAGAGAATGCGCTCGAAGGTGGCCATTCGAGCTCGGTCGATGGTACCGGCGACGAATTCGAGGTCGAAGGTGCCGAACGAGCTGTCCTCACCTCGGCCACCACCGTAATTGTGGCTCTCTACATCATCCAGCAAGGGGGCGTTGGCATCATCTGTGCTGTTGCGGCCATCACCACCCTGCCTATTCTCGGCCTGGTCGAAGAAGACGGCCGTCTCGCGGAGGACATGACGAGCTTCCTGCAGCTCCAGCAGACGCTTCTGGAGTGTGTCGTAGCTGTTGTTCATCTGACCAATGCGATCTTCATGGTCTCGCAGCTTGGTGCTCAACTCCTCCATCTGCAGAGGTCCTCGACGAGATCCACCTTCGGAGAAGTTGAGGAAGGGCAGAGCGGACTCGAGGGGACGAACAGGGATCTTCTGAGTCTCCATCTGGGCCTGCAAGAAGCGGACTCGGCGGTCCATCTCGTCCAGGCGGCGGATGTCAGACACGAAGGTACGCTGGAAGGGAGTGACATCAGGGTTGAGCTGTGACAAGGAGGGAGCAGCATGTTACGAGAGAAGTGTCAGGATCCGGCTCAGCTTGATCACCCGTCAGGTGCAGGCGCCATCACTCACGTCTTTGAACTGGATATTGCCCAGCTCTCCCAATTCCGCCACAGCAGAATGGGCCACCTCGGTGGGAATGTAGAGCTGCAGCAGACTCATCTGCGCAGATCGAAAGAGGGACTCATCTCCGGCGCCCATCTTGACTAGCAGTTGGACGGAGAGAGAGGGGAGAAGATATGGACGGGATTGATGGTGAGGAGGAGGATGGGCGACGGGCGATGAAGGTGGAGAGATTGTTCAGGGGAGCGCCAGGCGGGCGGGCGACGCTGGAATCACACCGCGCGCAAGCAACGCCCGCCTGCCTCCGCTCCTGCCCGCCAGCCAGGCCCATGACGCTGCATCAGAAGTACACGGCAACGCACATGGTATCAAAATCGATCGATTAGCTTGGCTCAGTAATGGAAGCAAGAAAGCAAGTGGACAAGACGACAAGTTCGCTCACAAGAGGCTCTACTGAAGGACTGCAATGACTCCCCTAGCCCACGTAGATTTGACCACTTGCCCCCTCTACTCCTTGATGTCCTCCTCAGCTGGGCTGGGGGTCTCCTCGGCTTCGGTGACCACGCCGCCCAGAGGAGTACCGCTCTCCACATCAGTGCCTCGAATGGACTTGAGGTGCTCATTGTACTTTGCCGATGTGCGAGCATTCGAGTGTCGGAAGAGATTGTCCACCTCCTCAAGGGACAGTCCTTTAGTCTCGTAGATGCACAACCATGCAAAGGCCGTGCATCCCAGGCAGGAGACGGCCCAGATGAAGAAGATCTTGGGACCCAGACCGGCCTTACCCGGTCCACTGTCTACCAGGTAAGGTGTCATGTAGCCAATGGCGAAGTTGAAAGCCCAATTCGAAGCAGTGGACAGGGAGTTTCCCTTTGACCTGTAGGCTAGACTGTAGGACTCCGCGCAGTAGATCCAGCCTCCTGGACCCCAAGTCGTGGCGAAACCGACGATGTACAGCATCACAAAGGCGACGCAGGTCCGCTGTGCAGTGTGGTTGGACACTTTGCTGGCAGTTCCAATGGCAGCAACAAAGAATTGGCAGATGCTCATCTCGATGGCACCGGCCAAGAAGGAAGGTCGTCGTCCGACCTTGTCGAAGATGATGAAACTCAGAGGAGTCGACAGCACATTGACTAGGTTGGCAATGACCGAGAAGGTGAAGGGGTTCTTGGCGCCTGTAGACAGGAAGAAAGTAGTGCCGTAGTAGAAGATGAAGTTGATACCGGTGAGCTGTGTCAAGGCTTGCAGCACCATACCTGACGAGATCCTCTGCAGCGTCTTGCCGTTGCCAGTCCTGAGGATCTCACTCCAGCCACTAGCCGACTCCTTGAGCTCCATCTCGTGCTGGTCAATGACCTCCTGTAGCTCGGCTCGCACAATGGGGTCATCGACAGGCCTGCCGTTGAGGTAAGCGAGAATGTGGGCAGCATCCTCGACACGGCCTTGCTTGACTCTGAACCGAGGTGACTCGGGCAGGAAGACCAGACCGACGAAGAGGACAAAGGCAAAGATGAACTGCATAGAGACGGGAATGAGCCAGGCGCTGTTGTCCTCCCTGTCCTTCGTTGCATTGTCGACAAGGCTGGCTACGAAGAGACCGATGGTGATCTGGACAGCATGATAACAGTGGAGCGATGTGACACGGTCAGGTCTGCCTCGATCCCCGTGATTAGCATGGAGTGTACTCACGAAGAATTGGTAGGCAGCGACAATAGCTCCTCGGACCCAACGAGGAGCGGTCTCGGACTGGTATAGCGGCACCAGAGACGAGATGAGACCAACACCCAGACCGGCTGCAAGGTGCAGCGATGAAAGGTAGCGGTCAGTACTGAGCGAGAGATGAAGGGTTGGCTCTGCCTCAAGCTCACTCACCAATCACACGCCCAATGCAAAAGGGCGCCAGACCCTTGCTGACGCACTGCACCAGCACTCCCACACTGAAGACGACCAGGGCGAGCATCAGAGCTGGTCGTCGACCCTTGAAGTCACCGATGTAGGACGCCGAAAGGGCTCCGATGAAGGTACCGAGGGAAAGGAGAGAAACGACGAGGGAGGTGTCGCTTGTGGACAATGCCCATCCAGGCTTGGCGGGATTGTCCGATGCGATACGATTGGAGGGCTATCGATGACGTTGAAGGTAGTCAATTGATCAGACCATAGGAGATAGTGCATGCTGCAAGTGTCGAGTCATGGACTCACAATGTTGTAGTCGTAGTAGGATCCGAACTCCTCTTTGAATGGCTCCATCTGCAATAGACCGCTGATGACTCCCGAGTCATATCTAGATGTGCGGTTGAGTTCGAAGGGTGACGTGAGCAGATGATACAACGATATCTGCAAACCATGGAAGATGTTGTACTTACCCGAACAGGAAACCTCCACCACCAGCAACAATGCCGACCAGGATAGCCGGCAAGGCCTGTCGCAGATCAGAAGGCTTTGCTACCATTGTTGCAGCCGGGGTTGTGGTGGTATGGCGCGTGAGCGACTTTGTTGCCATTGTGGGCTTCAGTACACTCAAGGGAGTTCTGGATTTAGGATAGAGTGTGAGGGATGAGGTAGCCGAGTAGACGGGGGAATTGCTGGCCTGGGTCCCCCTTTATAGCACTGCTGGGCGATGTGGGGTAAAAGGAAAATCTCACCCTCTCACTGGGGAAGACGCTATTTGCCGTTGACCCGTCACCACTCTCGTGCCGCGCCGTAGCGTCGCATCAAATTCGTCGTCAGGCACAGCTACTGACGTTCCGGCGTACTCACGCAGGACAGGGCAGGGCAGGGTAGGGCAAGGCACGCCAAGGCGGTACCCCGCGGGGATTCTTCGACCGCATTACCACCCGACGGGAAGAGATATCAGGGGAGATGTGGGATGCGGGGCACCAGAGTGAGGTACAAACAAGGGGGAGGTGTTGACAGTGCGCCCCACACGACCCCACACTTCGCTGTTCGGTAATCTCGATGAATATCACAATGAAAATGAGAGCGGGGGTTTGGGGGGCAGTGCATTCATTGATTGACGAAGTAGGACTAGGCAGGCACTCAGCTACGGGTATCCCCCTCGACATTCTCCCACCAGATCACCCTCGCAGTCGCAGTGACAGCGGCAGTGGCAGCAGCGGACTGCTCTGTATGACTTTGGCCTTGTCTCTGTTCCCTGGCTACCTCCTGTCCCCGGTCCCGGCTCCGCCTACCAAACAAGATCAGCCCCCATCCCTCTTCACTGCCACTCCCACCAACGGCACCTTCGCGTTCAGCATGCCCTTTGCGTAGGTGACCTCGACGCTTGACCTGTTTGGCTCGCTTGCGTCTGGCTTGCTTACCTGTGCGTGGCGCAGAGCGCTTGGAGGGTTGGTTGAATGCGTCGAAGCCCATGTCGTCCTCGGAAGGGTACGAATCGTCTGACGAAGAGGCAGACTCGGAGTCGGCGTCGCTGTTGCCATCGTCTTCTCCGTCATCGTCTACGTCATCCTCTTTGTCCTCAACACTGTCGGATACATCCACATCCTCGCTGTCACCCTCTTGTCCTTCCAACATCAATCCGTCTTCCCGGTGTTCCGCTTCTCTCTGTAGCTTGTTGAAGCGATTCATCTTCTCCTGTCCCTTTGTCGGAGCATCAAAGATCCCCTTGCCTCCCTTGCCCACGCCCTGACTTCGACTGGATAGCTGCTCATCTTCGTAAGACCTCCCTTGGCCTAGAGCAATACCCCAGCCTGGGTCGTGTGAGCGCCACTTGACGGGCGAAGAAGAGAAGCCAGACGTGCAGAGGTGAGCCCAGCGCCTTTGCTGGTCTTGACGAGGGTCCGGCTTCTCACGCTTGGCGTTGCTGGGGTGTCGCTCGGCATCCGTATCGTCCTGCTGGCCATCTACCCAAGTCTTTACGATCGCCAAGGCCTTGGAGAGCATCTCCGGGTGAAGGAAGCCATCAATGGTGAGCATGCGTACTCTTCCAGCGTAGTGGGGTTCAGGCGCTTCGTAAGAGGAGATAGGTAGCTCTGGAGGCCGATAGTAAGTCTTGACACTGCAAGGCAGATGGGACAAGGATGGAGCAGAGTCAATCTTGCGGGTCTGAGGGCTCATGGGGAGGACAGCGCTTACCCTTCAGCATCTCTCGACAGTAGTCTCATCCATCCTACCAATTCTTCACAGTGCAGCGCCCAAGGAGCCCAATTCATGTCTTGTGGTGTTATATGCTGCTGTACAATGCCTTCGGTCCAGCCAAGGTCAACGCGACCCACGCCATCACCTTCTACGCCCAGATCGGGTATCCACACATCTTCCCTGGTGACCTGAGCAGTCGAGGGTGTGTAACAGTCCACGTCTCCTCGCTTGAGAAGCTCATCAGGGAAGCGTATCCTGCCCATTGACGAGGTAGTGAGCAAGATGTGGAACCTCCCTTTCTCCGTGTCTCCACCGCCTCTCAGCGTCTCCCATCTCTCGAAGGCGTCCATGACTCGCTGAAAGCCGGGTTTGCCAGGAACAAAGGTAGGGTCTAGCAGAGGTATCAGGACGAGATATCTCGTTGCACCCCCACTCGTTCTTTCACCAGCACGCCCCGAGGAGCCGCGGCTGAAACGTGCTGGTCTACCTTGCAGGCCAAGCGTCTGGTAGGTGTCCTTTGTGAGGTGAAGGAGGAGATTCCCGTCCCCCGTAAGGCAGATCACATCGTCTGTGTCTAGCTTGCCTACGCTGAGAGCGATGAGATTCGGAGGAGACCTGATGTAGGCATTGAGAAACGCTTGATTGAGGAACAGCTTGAGAGAGGTGCGCACGTGATATGACTTGCGATGTGAGAAGAGTCCTGATATCTGGTCGCTGAGATTCTTAATCGAAGCAGAGGATTGAGAGGAAGCGTCCGCCTGCTCCTCAGGAACCAACAAAGTCATGCGATGATTGAAGCAGTGACTCGCAATCACTTCTTCTACCCTTCTCTGCGCATCAGCGTCCGGGTCTGCTCTCCCTTTGCCCTTCACACTGGCATTGTGAGAGGTGAGGGTCCCGCCTTGAGAGTCTTCGTTGCGGAAGCCAGCGACATTGAGGATGACTCTGCCAGGCAGCCTCTTGCGCGCAGCATCCGCCCTAGCAGACGGCCTGCGTCGCTTGTGAGAGGAAGGAGCAACGTACATAGACTTCGCCCGAGGAGTGTCAGCCAGAGTCTAGTATCTGTCAAGGAGGAATTGGTACGACGATGGAAGAGGAAGATCCAGATTTCTGGGTGTCTTCCTTCCTGTCCTTGCGTTTCTGGCGCATTTCTCCACTTTTCGGGGCAAAAGACGGAAAGAAGAAGAGCAACACCGCCTCGCTTTGAACACTGCTTCTTCTGATCCTTGAGTCACCCGTCATCTTCTTCGTAATCTCATCAGCCATTTCAAGAGGTTCAGTTCTCGAAGAAGCACCATGATCTCCTAGACATTGCTACCACGACCTTGATCTCAACATGTGGCTTGGCAGACCCCCCTTTCTAGCTTGACATTGCCCGCCCTCGAGGTCTTGGGGTAGCACCATTTCTAGCCTCTCTGCGCCCAAATTCGCCGACCGAGCATGACTTCCCACCTCTCTGTCCCTGCTCTACGTACCCGTCTGGAGGATCTCGATTTGCCCTCAAACGGAAAAAAGCCAGAGCTGCAGCGCAGGCTCCGTAAAGCTCTCGCTAGGATCAAGGCAGAGGAGGAGAGAATCGAGAGCGGTGCCCCCAGGGACGAGGATCTGGATCTCAGCCAGTGGAGACCAAAGTACACAGAGTACCTAGTGGTGGACGTTGAGGCTACATGCGAGGATGGGAGAATGGCAGGCTTTGGGTATCCGAATGAGAGTGAGTGAGGCCTAGGTCTAGGCAAGCAGGGACGAAGGAGCAAGCACGTGAAGCTCATCATACCTTTTGCCTACAGTCATTGAGCTACCGGTACTTTTGCTACGGCTCCCACCTCCCACCTCTTCCAATGTGGAGCCTGAACTCATAGACACCTTCCACACCTACGTGCGGCCGGTCTTCCAACCGGTCCTCACCGACTTCTGCAAAACCCTCACTGGCATTTCTCAAGCTCAAGTCGACTCGGCCCCAAGCTTTCCAGAGGCGCTCTCGCTCTTATACCAATTTCTACACAAGCACGACCTACTAGATGTGCAGACTGCCTCTTCTTGCGCGACGAACGGGTCCAGAGCGGCAGACCCGTTCCTAGATCCCTTTTCAGCAGAGCATCGCTCTTCCCTTAAACGCAACGTCCTCTTCTGCTCACACGGCCCCTTTGACATACGAGACTTCATACCAAAGGCCTGCTGGATCAACGGCTTTGCGTACGGCCCGCCAGTATGGCTAAGAAAGTGTGCGATCCTAGACGTGCGCAAGACGACACTTGGGCTGGCGTATGTGGGCAAGGTTGATGAGCGAGGCGGTGAAGGAGTCAAATTAGCTTCGCACGCGAGCATGGAGCTGGAAGCGTCCAGTCGAGAGGACGGCGAGGCCGAGCCTGTCGGAAATGAAGACACCCAACCCTCCTCCTCTAGCTCATCAGCAGCTCCGCAGAAGATCCAGCGACACTTCGACTCTACCATCCCTGGTCTACTTCTCCTCCTGCATCTCGAGCCATTCCAGGGTCAGCTCCACTCGGGACTAGACGATACGCGGAACTTGGCCAGAGTTGTCGCAGAGGTCGTCAGGAGGGTCATTGCTGGTGCTCGTAGCTGGAGTGACGAGAGCCGGTGGGACGAGCCAATAGAAGAGGAGCAAGAGCAGGGAGAGAATACACTAGAGGGGGAGGAGCAAAAGGTTCTCAATGGACTGGGAAAAGTGACTCTCAAGGAAGGAGCGAACGGTGACGTCGCTTCAAATGGGCATCCCACCCCTCCAGTGCGGGCTACCCGACCGCCCGTCGTCCCTCTGGCACCACACATCCGCGACCAGCTCCTCACACCCAACGTCTATCTCCCAGAGTACCCTCCTCCACCGCCTCTCCCAAGCAGTCTTGCCTCACCCAGCAGAGGAGCGCAGAGTTCTGCCCCGCTCTCAGCCGCGAACCTCCTCCCCTCCGCCCGTTCCAACGGGCCCGCCCGTCTAATGACAGCAGCCAGCTCATCAAATGGTGCCGAGGTAGAAGAGTCCTTCTCCGGGGACGAGACGACGGCACGTCGCCTGCTAAAAGGAGGGAGCGTCTATTATCCCAAGAGGTGGGCTTGGATGGGGAAGAGGGAAGGGGTTGTGCGATGGGATTTGGAAGTGGTGGTTGAGGAGGAGAAGAGGAGGGAGAAGTGGATTGGGGCGAGAGAGGGAGTGGGGAATCAGAGGGGAGCAGCAGCAGCAGCAGCAGCAGCGGGAGGAGGAGGAGGTAGAGGTGGAAGGGGCCATCCGCGTACTGGTTGGGCTTAGCGAAGCACCGGTGTGCTGGACGAGAAAGACCACACTGTGTGCTAGGAATCGAGAAGCGGTATCAATATCACGTCTAAAAGTACAACATCCCCTTGAGCTCAAGAAGGGTAAGGCAGTCGTATGACGACCTCTCTTTCTCCCTTCCCCATCCATTCCAACTCTGGAGTCGGCCGATGACTAGTCGCCTCGTCACTCCACTGCCTCCCACATCTCATTACATCTCCTAGCCCTCTCACTCTCGTCCATCTTTTCCCAATTCTCACTTCCATCTGGTCCTACTTTGAATGTGGTAACTTTGCCTTTTGCATCTGAGCGGGCAAAGAGTGTTGAGATGGTAGAGGCAGAGGCAGAGGAAGAGGAGGAGCTGTTGGAAGCAGTGGACTCGGCGAGTGGTTGGCCGGGCTGTACGGGTTGGAAGCCTAGTTGACGGAACATTGTCAGGGCGAGTCTGTATAGTGCAAGTGCAAGAAGAGAGCGAGTGTCAGCTTCTTCTCTCACTCGATCTTGTCCTTTCTTGCTGCACTGCTGGCTACTCACGTATGCCTACCCAGCTCCTTTTCACCAACCGTCTGTCCCTCTCCCTCCCCCTCCTTTCCCTCAAGCGCATCCGGATCTTCACCCACTTCTCCCCTCTCAAGCCTACCCAACTCCTCTTTACACTCCCTCACATCCACCTCCCCACGACTAATGGCCGTCTCAAGTTTAGCAATCTGCTTTGCCAATTCCAATGTACGTTGTCCATACCCCGCCAAGGTCTGAGAATGCACAGTAGGTGTTCGCCAAGCTGCACGAGGGTTGGAAGAGGAGAGGGTGGAGAGTTGAGAAGAGAGAGTTTGCAAGCGGGAGAGGAGAGCGGATTGTTCAGAAGAGCGGGAAGAGGCGGTTGAGGTTAGGGCGGAGAGGATGAGGGACCAGGTGTCGCGATCTGAGGAAGGGTCGAGGGATTCGCGGGCTACACCGAGCACTTCACTGAGGGGCGTTGTAGGACAGTCAATGAAGGGGAGATGGACTTGTCGTCAGCTGTGGTTCATCTTCTAATGTAGCATGTTCTCGCTCTCTCACTCACGCTAGGTCTCCCAGTCCAATCTCTGCAAACTTGCGATTGGAAGAGTAGCTCTGCAATCCTTCACCACTCTCTGAGATGAGCGGGTCCACTCCGGCCGCCGAAGAGGAAGAAGCGACTGCTGCTGCCATCCTGTATACGTGAACTGTCTAGTCTGTATCAGTATAGAGGTCTTTTGATCGACGTTTGAGTCTTGCTGTGCGATACTATATGCAATGCGAGGGCAGTGACGATGGTGATGGTGTGAGTACGAAAGTGACCGGAAAGAGGGCGGCAGCGGCAGAGGCTGGAGATGTTGTCCATCAACACTTTGAGCTTCAGACGCGTCGTTGCTTGCTTGGCCCAACGTGGCTGGCTGGGCCTCGAGGTCGGAACGGAAGCAGGGGAGGCAATGGCACCCACTCCCGCTCCCGCTGCCGCTGATTGACGTCAATGTCAACGCCACGCCTGGGCCTGGCTGAGTCGGACTGAGCGTGCGGGTGCGCTCTGATCAACTCGATTCCCCTTTGGGCGGGGCGGGTCTGGCTCCACCTCGACTAGAACTAGCGAGCGAGTCAAGGCTTCCTGTTCCCACCATTACTTTCTATAGACTAGCAAGGATCACTTTACACACACACGTCACACTTCTATACATACAATCAAGATGTCCAGCAACGGAGAGACTGAACAGAAGCAGGAGCAGCAGTTCAACATCCTGTGAGTGGGCCATGTATCCATCAGCGAGGGAGCTGCGATTGCGCCGGATGGACAGGCAGAGGGCAGTGGCGCAGCGTAGGGGTAGTCCCATAGCATTGAGGAAGCCGGGATCAATTCAGCTACAAGAGAGGAGAGGGAAGTTGGCCACCCACAGCGCGTAGGGGCTCTCTCGTTGTGCTGTTACCTCAAGGATCTTCAAGGTTGAAAAGGGCTGCAGATATCCGGGTAGTTGCGTACAGCACAGGCAGAACTCTATGAAGGCAGGGTCCGGAGTCCTATCACCTAAAGCTGTAGCAGATACAGCAGAGGGTCCCATTTTGCCAGTCCTGTGACACCTGCTGACCCGTTCGCCCTGCTTCCTACCACAATTGTCCACTCGACCACTATCAGACCCCACCCAGCAACCAGTGAGTATCCCTCCCACCTCTTCCTCAGCATCACTGCGTATCTCAATCCAATCCAATCCAATCCCACTCACCTCCCCTTCCTTTCCCACTGCCCCTCTCGCCTCTCGTCTTCTCCCTCTCCCTCTCTCACAGCCAACGACCCTAACAACGACCCTGCTCTCAAGTCAGGCAACACAGGCAGCTCTGACCCTACTGGCAAGCCTGGCGTATTTGTTCCCCAGAATGCCGATAAGCTCGAGCAGCCAAAGTCTTCGGATGAACTAAAGACGGCTAGTGCTGAATTGAACAAGTATAGTGTTGCTTGAAAAAAAAAGGGGCGTGGACGGATTTGGGATGTGGGATAGATAGGGACGGGAAGGGGAAGGGGAAGGGGAAGTGGAAATATATCGCATTGCTTTACACTTCTAGTCTTGTCTCGTGTCTTCAACCATCTAGTGATAGCGCCAGCGTGATCTCACCTTCTTCGCCCTGCCTTGTTGCCTCAACTCAACTCCAGCACTCCTCCCTCCATCGTCCCCCCGCCTCGATGCGGTCCAAGAACCTGGTAGCCTGATCCTCCTCCAGTCCTCCAAACTCACCCACCAGTCGCTCAAAGGCTCGTCGTACCTGCTGAGGCATGTTCCCCGATGAGCCACACAGATAGACTGTCGCGCGTTGTGCTGTCAGCCACTCCCAGATGAGAGGGCCCTGTCTGACCGCAGAGGGAGAAGGGACACCATTCCTCGCATCGCATTCGCCTTCGCTTCCTGCAATTGCATCGGTAGCGACACTAGGTGTGGCGAGCAGATGATCCCACTGATCGACCAGGTCCTGCACATACTCCTTCTCTCCCTTGCCCCTCGTCTTTCCCTCGAGGGGATCCCAGCGCGAAGAGGCCCACCGCACATAGATGGTCCCCAGACCTTCCTGAGCACACTCGTAGGCTAGATCGGACCACTCGCGTGCTAGAAGGGCGTCGGAGTGAGGGTAGGCGCGACACCCGAAGAGGAGGAGGATGGGACCGAATGGTTGGAAAGACGACGTTGCACCTGCACCTGCTGCTGCTGCCTTGCGAGCACGGGCACGCGCAACACGCTCCCTTACCAAACCTCGCAGCGGTGCCATCCCCGTGCCCGGTCCAATAGCGATGAATGGCGTGCTCTCCGAAGCGGGGAGCTTGAGCATTGTTGACTTTCTGATCCGCACAGGGAGGAGACGCTCGTCTGAGGGTTCGAGAGTGGCGAGCCACCGGGAGAGAACACCGACGCGGGGCTCGCGGATGCGTGTTTTGTACGATACGAGGGAGATGAGGAGGGTTAGGGAGCGGGGCGATTCCTGTTGGAGAGAGAGAGAGCGACCAGCATTCAGTGACAGCGACTCTAAGGTGATGTCCGCCTGTTCATGTTGATACTCACGCTCGGTCCGCAAGCAATACTAAACTCCCTCTCCCTCATCCCGCCTTCTCCCTCTTCATTGCCACCACCAAAGACCTCTGCGGCCCAGCGCGGCTCGAATTGTACGCTCTGGAATTCATCGAGGACCTCTGCGATCGTTCTGCGCGTCCTGACTCCATACTCCATGGCATCCTCGTATCCATCACCAGGTGTGCAGAATTCATCGAGCTTCTCGCGCTCTAGATGTCCTTTGGGTGAGAAGGGCCGAAGGAGAGGAAATAGCGAGGGGCGAAGAGGAGAGAAGGGCGAAGTGTGGTTGACGAGGTAAGAGTGGAGTGTCATTGTCTCTTCGATGGCTCCAACATCCGTCAGAGGTTTGCTCAAAGGGGGAAGCTGTATCCGCCGCCCTTGCCGGTCGAAAAGTCCAACAGGTCTGTCTCGATGTTGGGACCAGCCCATTCGAGTGATGAGAGCGTCCACCATCCCTTCATCGTTGGCGGGGCGGAGCGTGGCAATGTCTCCCGCCTCGTACTGCAGTTCCGAATCGTCCAAGTTGGGCAACGTGAACTCGAGTCGCCGCACATCTTGCCAGTGATCGGGCGAGGTGATCCTTTCATTCTTGACAGTCCTCAGCCATCTGATCTCGAAATCCGAAGATGTAGAAGAAGAGGCGGTAGGGACGTCGTGGTGGGCAAAGCCACTCGCTGAATGCACTCCACTACCGTTTGTTTGCAGGGATACACTGCCGCTGCCGTTGCTCTCGCCGTTGGGCTCCTCATCCAGGAAGCGCAGCTCGAAGGTAGGAGGCATGATGGCATCGTCTGGTAGGACTTGCAGGCCTTGCGGTAGAGGATGACGCTCATCTAATAGGCCAAACAGCTCAGAAAGAAAAGGTTGAAAGGTACCCTCGATACTGCAGCATGAGAGAAAGTAGTCAGCAGCCTTTACCTCTACTGGTTACCAACCCGGCCCAGGCCGACTCACCCAAGATAGTGCTGCTCGTCTCCCTCTCCCCTTAGTAGCTCGCTGCCGCCAAGATCCACCAATCTCTTCCTGAGCATCCTTTCCGGCCAACAGAACCTGGGATAGCTGGAGTCTCCCAACCCAAAGATGGCAAAGTGGAGTCCTTGCAGCTCCGCTCCCAATTGGTACCTAGCTGAAAGTGCATCCTTCCACAGTGGCTCGGCAGCAGTGGGAAAGGAGCCATTGCCTGCTGTGGCTATGAGGAAGACTACTGGGCCTGCTGAGCGCGAGAGGACATCATGTAGAGAAGGCAAGTCGGGGAATGTGGAGAGGGAGTGTATTGAGGGAGAATAGTGATGCTGCTGTGCTAGGCGCGAAAGGCGGTGTGCGAGGTCGGAGGCTGTCCCCGTGGCGGAAGCGTAGAGGATTGTCAGGGGAGGGCGAGGTGCCGTTGTCGGTAATCTCGATGACGACGACGATGACCGAGGAGCATCGTCATCTGAGGCTGGTATCGATGGCATCGCAGCTGATCCGAAGAAGTGGAATTCTGGGTGGAAGTGTGAGCAGAGCGGAAAGAGTGGAAGTCGTCGTCGGGGTGCAGAAGCCACTTTTGGCGTGGCAGTGTGGAGTCCAATCGCGGCACTTTGGCGGCGGATGACCAAAGCGTGCGTGGCTGAGCCAAAAGGCGGGAAGGCGGCCTCACCCACCCCTTTCCGTCGATGGCAACCTCGATAACAAGGCCACCACCGCTACCACTTGTCCACCTCATCAATACCATCACTCGATCCTACAGCGCATAGATCTCAATAGCCATTGAACCCTTTCCACAGCCACCCTCGACATCCGACATGGCCTCCCAGAGCGCCACCGCATCCACTTCACATGCTCGCCGTCATAGGCATCATACGACTGGTGCAAGGGCTTGGAGCCTCGCTATAGCAGCAAGCCTCATCTTGGCCACCTCGGCTACCGCCACCCAGGCAGCCATTCCCAACCACGACTTGACAGGTCAGGGGTCCGTCTCTTCAGCAATAGCTTCTTGGGTTTCATCACGCTTGTCGCCCTGGATCGGTCAAAGCATCTCTCCCAGACCGCAAGCAGAGGGTACTCTCTCCTTTCAGCTCGACTCTGCCATCCACCACTCCACACACGATGATTACCTCGGCATGAGCGCAAAGTACAGTTTTGACGACTCTCACCCCAACCATGTCGTCTCAATGCAACATCAGCAGCATCGAGAGAAGCACACCTACGGCGGCATCCGCACAAAGAGGCAGCGGGTCAGGAGGCTCAAAGACCCAAAGGCCTATCTCGCACAGCGCGAGGAGCTACTCGCCAAATCCCGCAAGGCGGAAGAAGGGAAAGAGTACAACGCTACCTCCTGCGGCGATGTCAGCTCCTTCAATGCTCTTACCGCCTCGCTAGACTCCCTGCATGCGTCGCCCTCGTCTTGGGAGGACGTTGAGCTCCTAGTACCAGACGTTACCTCTCGTCTTACCCTTCTGGCCCTAGCTCGCATGTCTTCGGCAGCATACGAAGCGCCACCACATCCTCCTTCATGGTCGCCAACAGATGGATTCGAAGGCTGGAACGTGTCTCAAAGCTTTGGGTGGGTAGAAAATGGCATTCGCGGTCACGTCTTTAGCAACAAGGCCAACAAGGGTCATGAGGACGGAGGAGAGGAGATTGTAGTCGTCGCTCTCAAAGGGACTAGCGCAGCGATCCTCCCTGGCGGAGACGATACTGCCAAGAGAGATAAGTTGAATGTGAGTGGCGATGGCTCGTCTCATCCAAACACGTGACGCTGTGATCTGACCACATATTGATATCCTTGTCTTCCCTATTTCTGCAGGACAATCTCCTCTTCTCTTGCTGCTGCGCAAGAGTCTCGTGGACATGGTCGCCCGTCTGCCCGTGCCCAATCTCCTCGTCTCGCTGTTCTCAGCCCTGTCTGGAGCGCTCCCTTCTGCGCCAATCCGTCTACTACCCTCTCATCTCCGACCTCTACAACAACGTCTCGTATGCCTTCCCCAATGCTCAGATCTGGGTGACCGGTCACTCCCTCGGTGGAGCTCTGGGAAGTCTCATCGGATACACCTTCGGTGTTCCGAGTGTGACATTCGAGGCGCCTGCTGAGAGGATGGCGGCCAAGAGGCTTCACCTGCCGCTGCCTCCCGGAAGCGTCAAGAGGGGAGATGGGAAAGACGGTCTCAAGGATGAAGTGGCGGCGGATGGCAAATGGGACCCGCCAATCTTGCCCGTCACTCACGTCTTCCACTCGGGAGATCCCATTCCAAGTAAGTGGCCACGTTGATCGACACGTCTCCACCCGATACCCCTCTTGCTGACATTCTCCCACGTCTCGTTTCTCCAGTGGGCACCTGTACCGGACCCTCCTCGCTCTGTGGCTCAGCAGGCTACGCAATGGAGTCCACCTGCCATGCCGGCCAGGTGGTCCTCTACGATACAATGGACCTCCTCGGCTGGTCGCAGAATATCGCAAATCACCGCATCGCCACGCTGACCGAGGATCTGCTCCTCGAGGACTGGAATGAGCGGGTAAAGAAGGCGAAAGGAAAGAGCAAGAAGGGAGGAAAGGAGGAGGAGGAGGGAGAGAAAGCAGCGTCGTGGTACTCGCCTCGATGGTGGCCTTGGGGCAAGGGCGACGATAAGGGCGATGAGCAGGACGAGTGGAAGGATCTGGGTGAGACGCCCAAGGTGGCAAACCAGAACGATTGCGTCGACTGTGGAGAGTGGCAGTTTGTCGATGTAGACAAGAGCTAGAGCTCGAGGTAGAGCTGGCGAAGTAGGGGTGCGGTGGTTCCTCTTGCGTCTTGTTTTATTCCATACGTTCTCATTCTTCTCAAGATCATAGCTTTGTTGTACGAGTTGTCGGTCAATTCATGTCCATATTCCTGCCTATCCAAAGATCCTGAGCCATCATCCCCTCCCTGTCTGTCACGCCCCGCTCCCACTTCCGCCGCGTGTGGAGACCAAAAGTCAAAATGGCCCCGCCGCCAGACCAGACGAGGCTCAACTCGCAGCCTAGACTAGATTGACACTGAGACTGAGCATGGACATCGGAGCGAGTCCAACAGTCTTCTTGCATACCATACCGGAAAGTATCGTGGACCTCTCCTCTCGTACATCTGAGCTGAGCTGAGCTGAGCTGGATTGACGTTACTACAGGAAGCTCGTACTCGTACAAGGCGGTACGGACTAGGGTATACAGTCAGCCAACGCCAGCTGTATCTGGACTGCCAGAGGGCAGAGCCGACTGCCATGCTCCCTCTTCCACAGATGCAGGCGCAGGTGCACGGGCAGGCTCGGTTACGGACAAGAACAAGGACAAGGATACAAACAGCCCTACGGCCCAGCAGCAGCAGCAGCAGCAGCATACAGCGAGCTGCCTCGTACCCTCTCCATCCACGCTCCCCCTCCTCTCTTCTCCCCACTTCCTATATGCTCCTCCCCTTCCTCCTCCTCATCAGCTTCGTCTCTAGCGCTCAGGCGATCTGGTTCTTTCCACAGAAGCGCTTTCAGTACCAAGGACTAATTGATGCTGGCGATTTGGGACTGAACGGAGCAGTTGCGGGAGCGGGGAAGGGGGGAGATACGGGTACGGGTACCGCGGGTGGAGTGATTGCTTGGGGTGATTGGGATGGAGATCAATTGTAAGTAGATCCGTATGTTGACGAAGAGCAAGGGTGAGGAGAAAGAAGAGGTTGTCGGCTGGAACGACGAGAGCTGACCTAGCTGAAGATGCGGTTGCGGTTTGCTGGATCCAGTCTGGACGCATTCACCCTTTCGGCGGATCATAGACAGCTGGAGATGAGGTTGTGGGATCATGGTGAGTCCCTCGTGCGTCTCGATCAGTAGCAGCAAACCTCGACTTACCCTCTTGCCTGCGGACCTAACGCTGCTTCCAAACCAACCAGCCAACTTCAAGTTCTCTAGCACACCTCTCTTCACTATCATTCCCTCGACCGGAAACCCAATCGTGAATGTAGCGCCAGCAGATTACGATCACGACGGCCGGCTGGACGTGCTGGTCATGACGCAAGGATCGTCTGCGAGCTCGCCGATAGAGATGGAGGTATGGATGGGGCGAGGCAGGACAGGCTTGGTAGGTGAGTAGACTTGTCTCTGGCCGTGAAGGAGCTCTCAATGGCATCGCTGACGGTGCAATTGCGCTTTGAAGGACAACCCATCAAGCTACCTTCAGCATCCGGTGCTCAGCCTATGCTGGCGGATGGGACGGGGGATATGAAAATGGACCTCCTAGGGCAGTCATCGCAGTCAGGTAATTCTGGAATATTGGAGATGTGGGAGAACGTGTTTGGGTCAAGGAACTCGACGCAGGCCTTTACATTGTGAGTCACGGCAATCAACAGAATGGTGACTTGAGTAACATCGCTGACACTGCTTATCCCCCTCACCCGCAACCGTAGATCTTCAGCGCCACTCGAGACAGGCTCAGAGCCTCCTTGTCAGCTAGCCACGCCTCACAGCTCGGCCTTCATCGACCTGAATGGTGACTGCCTCGCCGACCTTTTCCTCGTCTGCGCACCAGCCTCAGGGAGCTCACACCAGCGCTACCAGATCTGGACGGCCAAGCGGCCTGCAGCTGCCGACTCCCAAGCAGGTGGCTCTTCCAAATACTCGAGCTTCACATTCGCTCGATCTGGCCTTCTGCCTCGAGGCGCTGGCCCTCTGTCCTTTGCAGACATGAACAGAGACGGGACCATCGACATTGTCTTTGCCTCTTGCCCGCCCTCTGAGCAGGACTGCTACATCAACATCGTCTACAACAAGCAAGTGGGGCTCTGCGAGAAGCAGCTCTCTGCTGCTGGCACGAGTGGACGCAGCAGCAGCGATCCTTTCAAGGCGTGGAAAGATTGGTGGTACGGAACTGGTGCCACACCGGGCCAGGCAGGCACAGCGGCGGGTACGGATAGATGTAGACGGACAGAGGATCTTTGCGTTGCGGATGATGAGTTTGCATTTGAATTCGAGGGGTCGGCCGCGAATGGCGTAAGTAGACAGGAATGGTCGAGTAGATTTGCCGGACTGGGCGACTTACAAAGCTTGCGCTTCACCTCTTCCCACTCTCAGTCAGGCGTGCGGATACCCTTCGCCTCTCTTCTACCCGGACACAAGCCCCTGCTAGAGGATCGTCTGACCTCCCTGGCCCATCCACTTCCAGTGCCCCTAGTGATAGGCGACTACAACAAGGATGGCTACCCGGACATCCTCCTCCTCTCCATCCCGCCAAAGACAAGGTCAGACGGCACGGGCAAGACTAGTGTACACATCTTGTCAAATTCGCGGTGTAGCCTGCTCACCGATGCCTCTGCCAAGTCCGAGTGCAACAAGGCCACCACGCCAGAGGAGGAAGGTCGCTGGTTGAGCGTAGTGCAAGGAGGTGCTGAGCCCCTGACCCACATCGACGATGTCCGTGCCGCCTCATGGGTGGACATCGACGATGACGGTACGCTCGACATCCTCCTCCTACGAGGCACCACCGTCGCAAAGGACACGCGTCGTGTGACATTTATCCAGAACAATTACTTCTACGACGCCTTTTTCCTCAAGTCCCTCTGCCTCAATGGAGCTTGCTCCTCTGCTATATGTAAAAGCATCGAAGCAGGACCAGAAGGTCTCGAGCCAGTAGAGACGAGGTATAAACCTTGGGGTGCCTCCCTCCCTGGTGCCTCGTACAAGTTCACCGTGCTAGACCCTAATGGACTGCGACGCGCCCAACAAGTAGGACAGCAGCCTCAAAGTTCCTATCGTTCTCTCCTCACTCCTTATTCCTACTTTGGTCTTGGGCGAACCAATAATTACGTCGAGAAGCTCTTTGTGGGCAGCACACTCAGTGGAGGTAGTCAGGCGCTCACCAGGGATGCAGAGTACTTTCTAGCAATGGAAGGGCTCATACCGAATTCACAACTGGTCATCGCACCCCTCCTCACATCGGACGATGACGACGACGACGACAACGATGACTCGAATGGCAACGGCGGGGGCGACAATGGGAGCGGAGGCAGCGGTGGGTCCAGTGGTGCCCGACCAGCAGCGGGGAGCATGACGCTCAGCTGGCACCGTGAGCTCTATCTGCAGCCGGGCGATTGGATCCCCTGGGTGACCCTCACCCTCGTTACCCTCTGTCTGGGTCTGTGTGGATTCGTCTTTGCTATGCATTTGGCTGAAAAGAGGGAGGATGAGAGGGAGAGGAAGAAGGGTGTGCATGCGATTAATTTTGATGCACTTGGGTGAGAGAGAGGGGGAGGGAGATTGAGCTGCAGGCACCCTTTCTCCCACTCTATATATTATCCTAGTCAGCTTGTTCATCTCTCTGCTTGCGTGCGCATGCGTGCTGTAAATGTGTTTTTATAGCGGGCTCCCTCGCTCTGCTGCAAGGCAACTTCGTACATTGATACCCACAGGCGTCCTTTAGCCTGCTGCATCCCCCCACATCCCACCTCCAAGCTCCCAGCTGTCCGCTGCTCTCTTCGCTATGCCTCTTCTTACTCCTCCTCCGGCGGGGGACCATGGTAGCCGTGGTTAACAACGTTGAACCAGGGCATTGTGCCTGTTGAGCGCAAGGGTAGGTCATGGAAGGCAAGAAGGTTCATCAGTACACTTTGTGCCGCTCCCTCTGCTCTTGCCCCTTCTTCCACTCACTAAACTTCAATTGCGACCAAACGGAATTCCTGTGAGCCACACCCTGGAGATATGGGTCCAGACTGGACTTTGTCACGTCTCCAAATGCCTCTGGTCCTTCCTCGATTGCCCGCTTCAATTCTGGCTCGTTTTCTGTCCAGCCCCAGAGACGCACTGTGCAGAGTCGGAGGGTGAGTTGGAGCGTTGTGATCGTTGAGCATGGCAGGTTCGAGGTGTAGGGATGTAAGGAGGTCAAGACGCTACTCACTGGACGACCTCTGGTATGCGAACAAGAATCCTCCAGCTGCTCCTAGGAATGTGCCTAGCCTCAGCGCGGCGGACATACCACCGCGAGGAGGCCTGGTAGGGTCCCACATTTCTGTCAAAGATCAAAGAGAGAGACGCTAGTCCCACATGATCAGCTATCCTATTCTGCTCTCACTGATAGAAGTCCCCTCTTCGATCGCTCCTTGGCGACATTCTCACCCATGAGGTAGAGCGAGCTGGGAAAGGCGGCAGTAGCGCCTCCCCAGAAGACATAGTCGCTAGGCCTGAAGTAGGATACCACCCTCTTGAAGTGAGGGTCAGCATCGATCTGCTTGTGTGGTGTCTGAAGTTGTTGAGCTGCAGAGGTATGATGCAAGGTCGGGGGGCATTGGGGGGAAGAAGTGGTCAGTATGGCCGGATTCGCCGAGGGCAGCCCGACGGCTCCCAGGACAGGGAGTGATGCAGCAGGTGCCGCGCTCCTCCTCTACGATGAGCTCACCCATGATGGCTTGCCCGTGTGCTGCTTGTGGTGCTAGGTAGACGATGGAAGGATCGAGGACGGAGGGCAGTGGGTGCGATGGGCGTCCAGGTGCGACGGAAGGAGTTGCAGTCTCTACCGCCTGATTGCAATGCCAGTGGCCCACGCGGGAGGGGCGAGCCATGGCGGGGCAGCGCGCGCGGGCAGACCAAGTCCAGCCAAGGCGAGCATCTGTCCGTGTGTGCGTGTGTGTGCGCCATTGCTTCCTTCGTGAGGTGTTGCTCTGCGTCGTCCCCTCGTATTCCTTCCATTGAGCCTCGTCACTCGGTCAGAGGATGCTCTGCACTCACGCCTGCATCGCCTCCACCTCTACTCAACAGTAGAGCCCATCCTATCGTCGCCATGACGCCTCCCCTCTCCCCTTCAACTCCCAAGCGCAGACGCCTCGCCAATGGACAGAGCGCACCTTCTACTCCCGCAAGCCCTGCAATGAGGGCAATCAGCGGACTACGCTCCTGGCTGAGCCCTTGGAAGGGCAACGTAAAGCGTAGCGCAGCCTTTGGAGCAGCCGATGAGGAGCACGAGGAAGACAAAGAGGGTCACCAAGGACAACGGGATGAAGCATCGCCCCCGCCAGCCTCTTCTCGCCGCAATGGCAACGAACAGGATGATGACGACGAGCGGGACGACAGTGGGCCACTCTACCCCGCTCTCCCATCTTCAAGCACCATGCCCTCTCTAAGTCTTCACGCCAAGACGGCCTTCTCGCGGGCGACTGCTCATGAGAAGCCCTCGACCACCTTTGCCCCCTCAGCGGCGACCCCCGAAGCCCCACCCTCTGCATCATACCCATTCACATTCGAGGCGCCATCACAAGCAGACACAGTAGCCAGCAACCCTTTCTCTGGCCAGAAAAGTCCTCTGGCAACGCAATTTACCCCTCACCAACGCTCCTATGCTTCGCCGCAATCACGAGCCCCAGCCCAGTCTCCCCTCTCACGCAATTACGACCTCCTCGCCAGGTTCTTTGCTCAAAAGGCGGTCGAAGAGGCCGAAGAGGATGGAGGATTCACTTCTGCGCTCAAAGTAGATCAGCATCGATTGACAGACGAGGAAGTCAGAGGATGCCTTCGGTTGATCGAAGAGAGTGGTAGGAGTGAAGGTCAGGTGCGGCAAGTCCTCCAAGCAGGCCCCGTACAGCAGCCACTAGAAGCCGCTAGCGAGTCTGGCTTCGAGATCCCAAGGCGGCGAGCCAACGTCAGACAGAGCTGGCTTAGTCCTGCTCCAGCCTACCATAGTCAGAGTCCTACGCCAGCCATGTTTGGAGGGAACTACAGCGAGAGAATGTCAATGTCCCCTGAGCAGCCTCTGCACCGTCAAACGACTCAGGAGTCTAGCTCTTCGTTCCTTGCGCCTCTTGGCGGTGGCAATGGTAGCTCCTCACGCTCAATGCTTACCTCATCTGCTACCGAGCCAGCACTGTTTGCTAGGTCCCTCGTGGGCCAGCGCTCAAACGCTTCGTCCCTTGCAGGCTCAGTCTCCGGGGCAAATGGTTCTGCCAGGCTGCAAAATGCGGCATTGACCAGGCGCAGAAGGCCGCTGTACCTGGGACCAGGAATGTCGTCCAGTCGCCATACTCTGCGACAGGACGCAAGGCGTAGCGAGGCTCAGTCCGGTCTGACCCGGGCTCAGTCGACTACTACCATTGGGCTCGGCAAGCGGCAGAGAGTGGAAATGGATACAAATACCGATGAGGTCATGCAAGAATCTGAGGTCAGCTTGCCTCCCTCTACAAGCTTGCGGGATTTGCCAGAAGCGACAAGGCAAATTGCTGGATCTACCCGACTGCCTACGTCAAGCTCATCGTCTGCCCTCTTCAGCAGTCAGCCAAGTTCCAGCATGGCTCGGGTGAACCTGCATCCATCCCGGACGCCCGCTTCGCCCCCAAAGCAGCCTGCAACAGCGCAAGTGACTCCTGACATCTCTTCATCTCCTCCGGCCGCCAAGAGCAGGACAGCCAGCGCGGTCCTTTCTATCCTTGCCCAGCCCGATTTGCCAAAGCCGGCAAAGTCCTCTCTGGCTATCGCGCGGGAGAGCCGAGCCGCCAGTGCCGCTGCTGCGCCACTACGAAGAAGCAAGCGAGGTCAAAGTGTAGACCCCGAGGAGGTCTCTGTCAATGGCGGAGGAGCTTTCCGACCAGATGCCATCCTGAACCCATACCAGACTGCCTCTAATCTCCAAATTGCTTCTGCTCGCGCTGCGCCGGCCTCAGGTAGCAAGAGTCGGACGGCAGAGGCAGTGGAAAAGATGAAGGACGAGAGGAGGCGCAGCTCACGATTGAGGAAAGGTACCGTCTCTGAGGAGAGGGAGTCGGAAGGCGGTACGTTGTTGGAGAAGATTGAGAGAAGCAAACCAGCTTCACTCGCGGGTGGGTCAAGGAGAAGAGGAGGCAGCGTTGGTGCCACTACCTCCGGTGCGCCCTCGAGCAATGGGACGGGAAGCTCGCTGGCTGTGATGCAAGAGGAGACACCGGAGACACCGCCTCGGGCATCCAGCTCTGCTACTCCATCGACTACTCCACTGGGACCTCCGCCTGCAGGGAAGTCAACCGCTGAGGACAAGACGGCTGAAGCACGAAGACGATTGGAGGCCATGAAGAATTCTTCATCAACTCCTCAGCAGCCATCGCGGTCCACTCCAGAATCTGCAAGTCCACCAGCCACACCCTCCTCGCTCAGCTTTGCAAAGTCGCATTCGCACGTACCTGGAAAGCCCTCGAGGCTCAGTATCGCCTTCAATGCCAACGAAAGCCCTTCTTCGGGCAGTACCGCCGATGAGGACGAGGTTGAGCCTTTCAAGACTCAACGCAAGCCGGTAGAGGACAAGAACAAAAACAAAAAGGCAGAATTCGTCTTTGGCGGTACCGAGGGAGGTACCAAATTCGGAGCGGCAAAGAGTGATGACACGCCTTCTCGTACTCCGAGCTCGGAGAGCAGTGACACGCCCAAGTCGGCTCCCTTCAGCTTTGGCGCGCCAGCCAAGAGCGTATCACAAGAGCCCCAAGCCAAGTCTGCGGGTTTCTCGTTTGGTGCACTAGCCCCTGCGCCTGCGTCCAACCCTGCGCCCTCTTCTTCTGGCACTCCAGCGCCCTTTGTCTTCCAGCCTGTGCCCGCTCTCAAGGCTTCTACACCTGCACCTCCGCCTGCACCTGCACCTAGCACGAACGGTACCCCTGCCCTCTCCGTGCGGGAAGAAGCCCTCCGCGCTCCTATCGGGTCACTCCCGCACTTCGATCTGAGCATCAGCATCACCTCTACGCCTGCCTTTGCGCTCAATGGCTCCAGCTCAACCTCGAAGTCAGTCGAGGAGCTCAAGGAGGCGAGAAAAGTCGAGATTAGAGCACTGCCTACATTTGACTTGCTGCGGGGTGGTGGCGAAAAGGTGAATGCGCAGCCGCCTGCGAGTGGCTTCAGCTTTACTCCTGCTTCTGCCTCTGCCTCTGCACAAGCATCTGCACCTACATCCCAGGGCGGGTCTGCCCCGCCGTCCTCCTCCTCCTCCTTTGGAGGATTCAGCTTCAGCGCCGCCCCCAGTGCGCCTTCGACCAATGGCTCCAGCACGCCTACCGCCCCCGCCCCATTTGTCGGACACACCGCCGCCCCTCCATCAGACGGCCCAGCCCCAGCAGCAGCAGCGGCGGCGGGTGGGGACGAGCCCCCTACTCCCTCTCCCTCGGCCCTGCTTGGCTCCGGTCAGGGAGAAGAGAATGAAAAGACCCTCTTTGAAGCTCGTGCCAAGTTTTGGAAGTTTGAAAGTGGGAAATGGGTCGATTTGGGTGTTGGATTGGCTCGTATCAAGGAGCAACAAGAAGAAGAAGAAGAGAAGGGAGAAGACGCAGCCCCAAAGCGACGTCTCCTCGTTCGCAACATAGGGAATGGTGCCGTCAGTGTCAATTTCCGCCTCTTTGAGGGGTTTAGCGTTACGCAGACGGGTAACTCGTTGAGCTTTACGGGATTCCAGGAGGGGGTGGGATTGCCCATGAGGTGTAAAGTGAAGACGGAAGATGGGGCGGGAGAGTTTAAAAGGGGCTTGGAGGGGAAGTGAGGGTTGGGGGAAAGATGGGAATGGAGGTGGGGGAAGGGGTAGAGTAGAGAGAGGAAGTGGGAGGAAGTGGACGAGCATTCCTCTTTGCACTGTCGGATGTGGGCAGAAATCCATCACATCACCATCTGACCATCTTGTCGAAATATGGTTCATGACTTGCTTCAGAGGGGACGATGTCAATGAGTTGCACACCACCAGTCTACAGCTCGTCTTCATCGTCGTCGTCTCCAAGAACAATCTCCACCGGCTGGTCCAGATCCACGTGCTCCGACCCTCGCACAAAAGTCCACTCTACACCTTCGTCTTCTTCCTCGTCCTCTTCCTCCTCGTCGTCGTCGTCCTCATCTTCATCGTCTTCGCCATCCAGAACGACTACATCCATACCCTCTTGAACCCCCTCCCCGTCCCCAATCGTATCCTCAATAATCACCTCAACCTCCTCCTCTTCATCTTCCTCGTCTTCCTCTTCACTAAAGCTCACCTGCACAATCCCACTAACGAGCAACCAGCCAACCGTTCCCAACAGGGCACTAGTGATCCAAACAGCCCGGCCAATGCGGAGCCGACGGAGCGCTGCTTGCTGTAGAGGGGAGAGAGGCTCGGTCGGCGGGGTTGGGGTCTTTTTGCTTGTAGAAGTAGAGGCGGAGGAGGGACGAAGGAACGAGGGCAGGTAGGAGCGCCAGCTGTTGTTGCTACTGCTGCTGCTCCTAGCCCCTGTCGGCACATCCTCGCCAACTGTGCCTGCACTCGTGGAGCTTGGAGTGTAGAGGGTCTTCCAGCCGGTGAGATCGCCGTACACCCTGTCCACCTCCCGCTCCTCCTTGCTCTCCGCCTCTGCTACGACCTCCGTCTCGTCTACTCCCCAGATCTCTCCGTGCATGCGGTGCACAAAGCGCCTCAGCGGTTCGTACTCGTCTGCTGTAGTCAGCAGATGCACGAGTGGGTGTGCTGAGAGTGGATTTGACTTAGGAGCACTGCCCTTGCCAATTTTGAGGGTTGGGGAGGAGAGGAGGAGGGGGGCAAGGAGGGCGTAGAGGTGGATGAGGGGGCGGGGGAGCGGTTGCTGCTTGGTCGTGGTTGAGGGAGAGTCTGAGGATGGTACGAAGTCTAGGAGAGGGGAGAAGATCTGCTTGCCTAGACTTGTCATCTACTCGAGAACATTTTTGAAAGGAGGCAGAGACCGCTGTTGTCAGTATGCGGTCGGATCACTGCTACGTCTTCTGGTATTCCCAAACGAACCTTCTGCTTCCAGAACTCCTCCTTCCACTCTTCCTTCTCTCCAGCACCAAATCCCAGTATTCCCTTACGTCCACTACCAAAAGCCAGCGGTGCCATTTCCTTTCTCCTCCTGTCCATCTCTGGGTCACTCGCTACCTCCCTTTTCTTCTTCTTCTGCTGCTGCTGCTGCGAGCCACTCCCAAGTTGCCGGAAGAGCTTCGACCCTGCAGCGACTTCGGCTGAGATACGCTCCCTGAGGCGATGCGGGATTGCTCTTGAGAGCGGGAAGGGTAGACCTTGAGCGTAGGCGGGGAATGTGATTTGATCAAAGACGTCCTGTGCCGCTGAGGCTGGACCGTCTGGGGAGCTCCGGCCCATGCTACCTCCCACGCCTCTAGCGGGCGGGGGAAAGAAGACACTGTACACTAGTGGCTCGACGAGGGACGCTAGGTGCGCCTCGAGGGGCTTCAGTTCCCATGACTGTGAGTCTTCTCCACCCTCTTGAGCTTGCCTCACAGCAGAGGCGGCCAGGCGAGCAGAGGCAAAGGCCTCGATGTCTCTCACCCCCTCGGCTACGCATACACCGCCTGCAGGCTGGTACCTCTCCAGTCTGGGCAGGGTGCTGTGCCAGTATACACTTGGCGCTTTGATATCAAAAGGCAACGAAGTGGGCAGTGGTGCTGCCGATGAGGAGGAGGAGGAGGAGGGAGAAGAGGAAGAGGTTGCTGTGGGAGGTCCGGAAAGGGTGCGGAGCAGAGAGGCGATGTACAGGCCTGCTGGGTCTAGTACGGGCAGCTGTTGATGACTCTGCGGGTGTGGCGAATAGAGATACAGGGTGTAAGGTGGCGCCTTTGATGCCGATGAGGACGACATGGTGCTGCAGACGTCGTCGTCGTGAGGACACAGCTCGATACAGATGAAGGAGGGAAGGCAGGAAGGAAGCGTCGTTGCCGGCGAGGCGCAAAAAGTGCCCTCGACGCACAGCCAGCCTGATTTCCGGCGGCTCACGTCAGACGTCTACGGGGAGTCACTATTGAAACAAAGATATTGTACATTGCTGAACCACGGATATTGTACATTGCAGGTCTACTCTACTTTGGATACGATAGCAATCCTTCACAGCTCCCATCCATGCCCTGCGACCACCACGGCGCTCCAATGAGCAGCACACAGATGGCAATGCCGATGACATAGCTGCCTACTGCGTACCCAACCGCTCTCCTCTTCGGCTTCAGATTCCTCAGCTCCACCGCAAACGTAGAGATGGTGCTCAGGCAGCCGCAAAAGCCCTCTTGGAGGCCATACAGCACTTGGCAGCTCACAGTAGTCGAAGCAGCCAGACGTGTGCCTGTTGGTCCGTAGTGCTGACCCACGAATAGGGCACAGATGATGAAAACTGCGAGAATGTTTGCACTGAAGGTACCCAAAGGCCAATAGGGAAACCGTTTGGATCCCTTGGCGGAGTTGAGAGGTGAGAGGTACCAGCGCAGGATTGCTCCAGGAGGGGAGAAGACCAGAGCAAATGTCAACGGTCGGAAATCCGCTTGTGGTGGTAGGGCTGCGAGGAGGACTGCACCAATCCAGAATCCGATTCCCAGAACCAGAAAACAGAAGACATCGACTATCGGTGTCAGTGGAGGATTCGAGCGAGTGCTCGAGGGTATCAAATGGGTCTTGTGGCCCGAAGGCGGGTATGTTGAGGTCGTCTTGTGCTCTTGAGCGCGATGGGAGTCACCATTCACTGCCTGAGTATGGGAGGATGAGAGAGAGCGCCGCGACTTGCGCCGACGCCTCTTGCTAGCTGCTGATTCGATGAAATCCACGACAGCTGTGGCCGGTAGGACTCGCGCAAGGTGCTTGCCTGCTGTCAAGGCGGCGATAGAGATACCAAGAGTAGCAAAGGTCTGCGTCAGAGCATCCATTACCTGTCACCAAAGGGGATTGAAGTGCGACAAGTCAGCTCACTAGGCATTGGTGAACATTAGTCTTGCGCTTGAACTCACATTGTGCAGTCCGTGTCGATTGTAATGGCTCTGGTCTCCATAAGCTTGAAAGACATTCAAGATCCATGTGGAGAATGTGGTCACGCTGCCACAGTATCCAGTCCCCAGCATGACGAACACAGGTGGGTATCTACCCAAGCAGAAGCGTCAGCAGGAGCGAGGTGATCAGCATACTTTCGCTCAGCCACCCAAACACTGCCTCATCCCGAACTCACAGTCGGTCCAGGGCTTCCTTGTTAGCGACTGTCCATCCCATGACCAGACATCCCACCGCCTGAGCCCAGATGACAGGCTTGATGCTCTGTCCATCGTACGTGTTCAACGCTATCAGTCCCTCTCGAGTGAGTGTGCCCCATATCGATGCGAAAGCCAGCAGTCCAAGTATGGCACAATGTCGTAGTGTGGCATGTAGACGAGAGACGGGAGGATCGCCCTCGCCATTGCTGGCCTTGTCGGTCTCCTCGGCCGTCTCCTCCTCTGCTGAAAAGGGCTCAATCTGCCGTCCGACCTCGGTGGGAGTGCCCTCTCGCTGCACTCTATTCGAAGAGCCCTGATACGAAGCGGCCGGACTTGGGAAGCTGTCATCCTGTGGGACGTCTTCGGCCCTTATCTGCTCTCGAGGCCGTCGGCTGCCACTGCTAGAGGCACTGACATTCTCCTGAGGAGCTCCTTTGCCCGAGCTCCAGACACCTTGTGAGGAGTCTCTGTTCTGATGATGTAGCGGCGAGACAGCAAGCGGAGACGCTGCTTGACTGTGACTCATCGTATGCTGGTATACATGAGGAGAGAATAGCAACTACGGAAGTAGAGAACTTGGTGGTTCGCCAAGCGTCATCGGCCGTACGCCTGTTTGTGTCTCTCTTGGTCCGTCCGTCCCTCCGTCCGTCCCCTGATCTCGGACCCGGCGGCGCGCTCGACGACGCGGGGGGCGCGGGCAAATGAGGCCAGACGAGCCTCGACGCGAAGAAGGAAGAGACGTGTTAAGAGGCGCGACGGGCGGAGCGAAACACCGAAGGGGCGAGAGAGTGCCTCCCGTTTCAGCTTGTTTCCTCTTACGACGCACTCCCGCGAGATTGTCATACCATAGCCCGTTGAATCACCTATACTCGCCTCTTCGCACAACACTAGAAGTTCCTCACTTGGTCCACAACGGTCACTGCACTTCGCTCCATCAAATAAATCTCGCGAACAGCAAGATAGCCTTGTGAGGAGTAGTGACACATAAGCCAACAGGCTCATATCACAATGGTGAGTAGCCAGAGAGACTGTGCACCGCTCAAGCTACTTGGCTAACACCATGATGTGTCTTGCGTTCCACTAGTCTTCATCTCCTCCTCCCAACAATGGGTCAACACAACGCAACAAGCGTCAGCGCTCCCCTTCTCGAGGTGCTCCCCTGGGCGGGTCCAGCAACCGACCCGCCGGGCCCCTCGATGCCTCTTCCCCCGCCGGAGGCTATGCCTACTCAGCCACGTCCACACCAGCAGCAGACCCACTCTTTGGAGGCGCTCCCACGCCTGCCTCCATGGCACCCTCGTCCATGCCGCCTTCGAGTCCACCCCAGGCTTTCAGTGACTTTGAAGACGCAGCGGATGGGGATGAGGCGAGGGAGGAGAGTGTTGTTGACGATGAGCTGGACGCTAGGCAGCTCGGTGATGGCTACCAAGAGGATGATGAGGACGCAGAAGGGGAGGGAGAAGACCTGTTTGGAGAGAACATGAACAAGTGAGTATGTCGGCCACTGTTTACTCCGCCATAGATGGCTGTGTACTAACTGTGACTTACTCGCGGCTTCTACCCACAACAGCGACTACATTCATAATCCAGCACTTGACAATTACGATCGGGCACTGGGCATCGACGACGATGTTAGTGACACCGAGATGGACGCTAACGCCAGACGACTTGCTGAGCTCCGTATGAGCCGTCGAGACCGAGCCGAAGGCAAGGGTCGCTACGGCAAGCAAACCCGAGCACCGGCTTTCCTGCAGTCGGACGATGACCTGTCCTCCGACGAAGGAGGAGCCACTCGCCGACGTCGCCGCCGACACTACGATGAACAAGCCATCGACGATGACGAAGCCGGTGCAGATGAGCTACCTCTCGAACAGCTCGGAGACGTCAAGGCAGAAAGTATTGCAGCATGGGTAGCCACCGAGAGTGTGCGGCGCACAGTGGTGAGGGAGTTCAGGAACTTCCTTGTCACCTACGTCGACGAGAACGGTGTATCAGTGTACGGTCAGCGCATCAAGACGCTGGGAGAGATGAACTCCGAGTCGCTCGAGGTCTCTTTCCTGCATCTGGTCGACTCCAAGGCTATCCTTGCCTATTTCCTGGCCAACTCGCCCACATCTATGCTGCCGATCTTCGACGCCGTCGCCTTCGATGTCATTCTACTCTACTACCCGGCATACGACCGCATCCACCCTGAGATTCACGTCCGCATCTCAGACCTGCCCACATCTTCTTCACTGAGAGACCTCCGACAAGGCCACCTCAACTCGCTAGTGCGAGTCAGCGGAGTAGTGACTCGCCGAACCGGCGTCTTCCCCCAATTGAAGTATGTCAAGTTCGACTGTCTCTCCTGTGGTGAGGTCCTGGGTCCCTTCTGGCAGGACGCAGCTCAAGAGGTCAAGATTAGCTACTGCTCCAACTGTCAGAAGCGTGGACCTTTCCGCGTCAATGCTGAGCAGACGGTGTACCGCAACTACCAGAAGATGACACTTCAGGAGTCGCCTGGAAGCGTCCCACCTGGTCGTCTGCCACGCCATCGTGAGGTGATCCTGCTGTGGGATCTAATCGACTCTGCCAAGCCCGGAGAGGAGATTGAGGTCACTGGAGTGTATCGCAACAACTTTGATGCTTCGCTGAACACCAAGAATGGATTCCCAGTCTTTGCGACGGTGCTCGAGGCCAACCACATTGCAAAGAGGGACGATGCGTATGCTGCGTTCAGGATGACCGAAGAGGATGAGCGAGCCATCAGGGCTCTCGCTCGAGACCCTCGCATCGGCAAGCGTATCGTCAAGTCGATTGCGCCTTCCATCTACGGCCACGACGATATCAAATTGGCCGTGGCGTTGTCCCTCTTTGGCGGTGTGCCGAAGGACGTCGGAGGCAAGCACCGCATCCGTGGTGACATCAACTTGCTGCTGCTGGGTGACCCTGGTACAGCCAAGTCTCAATTCCTCAAGTACGTCGAGAAGACTGCTAGCCGAGCCGTTTTTACGACGGGTCAAGGAGCGAGTGCCGTCGGTCTGACAGCCAGTGTGCGCAAAGATCCAATCACACAAGAGTGGACGCTCGAAGGTGGTGCTTTGGTGCTGGCTGACAAGGGCACGTGTCTGATCGACGAATTCGACAAGATGAACGATGCAGACAGGACCTCCATTCACGAGGCCATGGAACAGCAGAGCATCTCCATCTCCAAGGCTGGAATCGTCACTACGCTTCAGGCTCGCTGTGCCATTGTCGCTGCTGCCAATCCCACAAGAGGTCGCTACAACCCCACGATTCCCTTTAGTCAGAACGTGGAGCTGACAGAGCCCATTCTGTCTCGTTTCGACATCCTCTGTGTGGTGAAAGACACAGTCGACCCGGTCAAGGACGACATGCTGGCTCGCTTCGTAGTAGGCTCTCATCTTCGCTCCCACCCCGGCTTCGACGAGGAAGTGGACGAGGCGCGTGTAGCTACCTCTCTGGATGCAGACATCATCCCGCAGGACCTGCTGCGTAAGTACATTATGTACTCCAAGGACCGTATCCGCCCCAAGCTGCACGCCCTCGATCAAGATCGTCTATCGCGACTGTACGCCGACTTGCGCAGGGAGTCTCTCTCCACGGGCAGCTACCCAATCACGGTGCGTCACTTGGAGAGCATGATCCGTATGGCCGAGGCGTCTGCCAAGATGCACCTGCGTGAATTTGTGCGAACGGACGACATCGACACTGCCATTGGTGCTACGATTGAGTCCTTTGTCAGTGCACAAAAGATGAGCGTCAAGAAGACGCTGGAGCGCGGATTCCGCAAGTACCTCAACACATCCAAGGATCACGACGAGCTGCTGGCCTTCCTGCTTGGAGGCATCATCAAGGACCGTATGAGATTCGCCCACGCCAGACGTGGTCAGCAGCAACAGCAACAACAACAAAGTGGCGAGGAGAGGATGGTGAGCGTTCCTGTGAGCGAGCTGGAGAAGCGGGCAAAGGAGGTAGACGTACACGACGTACGACCCTTCCTACACTCGAGGCTCTTCCTCGCCAATGGCTATCGATGGGACGAGGAGAGACGCGTGGTGGAGAAGCGCTTTGGCAGTGCCGGTGGAGCGGCGGAGCTTTGAAGAGGAGCAAAGCAAAGCCTGGCGAAGCGAAGCGAAGTCCTTTGCTCTTCGGTATTCCGCGTAACGTGAATCGGCATCGGCGGCTGTGCCTGACCTGACCTCTTTCGGGAATCTCCTCCTTTTCCCGGCGAAGGGCGTCTATGATTCTCCTGTCACTCTCCCGTGTGTGTGTGTTGTTGTTGTATTGCCGCGCTCCTATTCCCCGCTCCGTCTTCCTTCTTGCTTCTTGGTGTCATGGTCATGTGATGTGATTTCTCCTTCGATTGTGTCCTTGTCTTTGGCCGGCCGTAAATACATATACATTTTTTCAATTGTCACTCCTTGCTGTTCGCTTGTGGCAGTGCCCCCTATGCCCACAAATTGCGGGAAGTGCTGGATGTGTGGGTTGGTGGGTGCACATTAATGGGCTTGCAGCGGGCGGGGAAGGTAGGCGAGGCGAGGCGAGGAGGGACCGAAATAGGCACGCTACTCTGCGCGAGGGGGGGCTTGCGAATCAGGGCACGTTCATCACCGAGGATGAGGCAGTGAGGCAGTGAGGGAGTGAGGGAGTGAGGGAGTAGAATCGCAGGTAGCCAATGCAGTGCAGTTCAATTCCAATCACCGAAGGTTTAGACGTACCTCGTCTTGCTTTGCCTGCCTGTGCTGCCTGCCGCTCCTCTCCCTTGCCTGCGCCTGCCAGCCACCCCTTTGCGGCCCCGCCAGCCTCGGCCTTGCGCCCTGGTGCGCGCCCGCCACTGACCGCCCATCCCCCCTGGTGCGCGTGGATATTCTCGTCGTCGCCCCCTCGATCTTGGCTCCAACCCCACGCACACACACCCGAGGCTGGACTGGACGGGCATCTTCCCCCCCTCCTCACCCGCCCTCCTGCCTGCCGAGGGGAAAGATAACCCACCCACATACCCTTTGTGCAGCAGACGCAGCCTCCCCCTTCTTCGCCATGAGCCAAGAAGGCTCACGGGGCCATTCCCACAATCCACGTCCGCCTCCTCCCCCTCTGCGCACCTCCAATCCTTCCTCTCCCGTCCCATCCTCGTCGTCCTCCTTGGCATCACCCACCCTCACCGACCACGCCCCTCACCGACGATCTTCTCGTCATCATCACACCGTCCCTCAAGGGCACGACAGGTCTGGCCCCTCCTTCTCCATCGACGCTCCCTCCCCATCACGAACCACCACCAGACTGCCGCCCCTCACGCCACCCCGAGCGACTAGTGGGCATCGCTCACCACCCTCCTCTTCCACTCCATCTGCCTCTACCACACGGCGAGCAAGCGAAGATCATCAACCATCGGTAGCCAGTAGCTTCTCAGGCCTACATCACGTCGGCGCATCATCCCTCTCACCGCGAGTACCCTTTGTGCGCTCGCGTACCCCTGATCCACCACGGCAATCGCAGCATCAACCGACTGCATCGCAGACGCGCAATACCTCGGCAACAGCAGCAGCAACAGCAGCAGCTCCATCTGCCTCTTCACCGCCTCGATCGTACGAACATCCTGACCCATTCGCTCTACCGGACCGCTACGCTCCGTATTCAGCGAGTGGTCAGCCCAGGTGGAGACATAGGATGGGTAGCGTAAACCCACAAATAGCATCAGCAGCAGCAACAGCCACGAATGGAGAAGGAGATCATCGTCAAAGTAGGCATAGCGCAGTGGAAGTGGAACAACGCAGAACGGGTAGCAGTGTAGATACTTCTCGGAGTCCGCCTCGCGCTTCAGGCTTCTTTGGTAGCTCGGACTCTCAATACCATCAGCAGCAACATCAGAGCCACACTGCCAGCGCCTCGCTCTTCGATCCGCTTCTGCAGCATCTTGGCGATGGCAAGATCGTCAAGCAAAAGTCCTCGCTCGAGCTCGTCGACGACGATGGCAGTCTTGGCCTCGACCACAACGGCAGGATGAGAAGCGAAAGTGGTGCCAGTGGTAGCGGTCATGGGAGCTCGTATGCGCCCACCTATAGCGTCTTCGCCAGCCGCATCCCACCGAGCCTCTCCAACGACGGCTCGTCATTGTCTGGTCCCAGTCGTGCTTCAACGCCCTTCTACGGAGACACAGATTATGACAGCGCCTACGATACAGACGGCGCAGCAATGGCAATGGCGCGCAAAGGCTCTGCTGTGGGATCACTATCATATCAACCAGATGATCGAGACAACAGAGATAGGAGCTCTTTGAAGTCAATCAGGACAGTGCAAGGTAATGGGCTAGGATGGAAGGAGCTTGCGACGTCGCCGCATAACAGTCTCGATTACGATCGAGACACTAAGGGCGCATCAATGTGGACTTCATGGCTAGGTTCGGTAGCCCCGCGAGGGCATCTTTACCAACGGCTACAGAATACCGATTCCGCAAAGTCGCCTCTTGTGAGACATCACTATCGCGCACGCCCTGCCAATCGGCAGACTTTCGACCCCTCTATGCTCTCTTCACCACGCCGTCTACTACTCTGGGGTATTCGCTCACTGCAAGATTTTGTGACGGCTCTCCATCCGCTGAAGCTTCTCGCTGCGCTCCTCTTCGTCGCCGGCTTCGTGGCCTCAACGACCCTGTTGATCATCTACATTCTCAATCCGGATAAGGAGCCTTGGCCCTGGAGGTCCTTCTGCGCAGAGCAACAACCCTTCCCTCACACACTCGCCGATTCGCTAGCGCCCGTCGACGTCTTTGTCGGTGTGATGACTGTAGACTCGCACTTTGAGCGACGCTCGGTCATTCGCTCGACTTATGGAGCTCACACCCGGCCTATTGACCCAGTGACAGGTCTGCAGAGCACCAATGTCCAGCTCAAGTTCATCCTTGGTAGACCGAGCAAGAAGCTCGAGAGGAGGATAGCCCTCGAGATGGAGATGTTCAATGACATTGTCGTCTTGTGGGACATGCAGGAGAACATGGCCGGTGGGAAATCCTATCGGTATTTCCAGTGGGCGACGGAGAATGCCACTGTACCCATTTTGCGGCCCAGGTTGGGGCAGAGACAGCTGGACTCTTCTGGTGGATCGACCCTGCCGCAAGAAGGGACGGTCAAGGGCGCCAACGATGTTCTGTATGACGTGTCCTGGAAGCTGGTAGACTACGTCGTCAAGGCAGATGATGACGCTTTCATCGCCCTAGACGAGCTTGAGCGTCATCTCCGCGTCGCCCCGCGCAAGCTCACTTACTGGGGCTACCTGATCAAGAACTGGTTCATGGGCGGCGAAGCCTACGCCCTCTCCATGGACGTAGTGCAGTGGATTGCCACGTCTCCCTGGGTGGCTGCTCACTCCACTGGTAAAGAGGACACGGCTACGGCCAAGTGGCTCAAGCAGCACCCAGAGAAGTCCAAGCTCAACTATGTCTCTGAGCGATGCTGGATCTACGACCACCCCAAATCCGGCACAGCTTACGCACATGGGTTTCTCTTCCCCAATGAAGTAGAGAAGATCAAGCGCGAGGAGCGTCCCGGCGGCTTGAGTGCGCAGGAGATCAGCCGGCGTGGCGGGGAGCATGCTTCGAAGTGGTACTCTACCGTGAATGCTTGGCACGTCAAGTACAAGGCGCCCCGTGCCGATTTGTCCATTGAGGAGGAGATCGAAGCACTGGTCGAGGGCGGTGGCATCTACCATGATTCTGGCTACAAGAGCGGAGCGCAGGACACAGCGCAGTGGCCTGCATGGAGGGACGTGGTGTTCGAAGCGGATGACCGTAGGCTAGAGAAGAGTGGCGGACTCAAGTCTCCTGGCCATTTGGAACCACCGGCAAGGATGAGCGCAGACTGGCGCCTAGAGCCTACAATTGGTCTGCCCATTTATGGCAGCGCCAACATCTCTGCACCTTGGGCCGCGAGCACTCGTAGCGAGCACGAGCACGAGCAACAACCTCGCCGGCTAGACCAGCACGATGACGCCAATTCCCAATACGCCAAGCGCGCTGCTGAGGAGAAGGACACCAGTCGTATCCGCCGACGCGACACCAATTCCGTCGTCATCTCAAGGCAAGACGACGTTCCCAATCCTAAGCTCGCAGCAAGGAGTCAGCGGCCAGAAGCAGAAGAGCTGCGTATCCCTCGTCCTCCTGCGCGCGTTCCACGACCCCAGTACGCAGGCCATCTGCCTGCGCCTGCCTCGCAGGGTGGGGATCAGGGGGCAGTGGTGGATCTGAAGTCACTGAGGGAACAGAGGTACCTCGTCTCACCGCCCTCTTCTGGAGGAGCAGGAGGATACGACACCTCCTCTACCTCCAACGCCAACCCCGCTTTCAACTCCAATTCTAATCCCAGTCTGCCACTCCGAGGAGGAACCGTCGTGGTTCACTACCTCAAGCGGGACGAATGGTTCTACGAGACTGCATTGGCTCTTGTCGGTAGAGATCGGATGAGGGCAGCGCAAGCCGGTGCGAGCGGAGCGAGTGGAGCTGGTAGTGGTGGTGCAAGTGGTGGTGGAGGCTGGGGGACTCAATACACCATGTGGGGTAGTCCGGATGCTCAAGCTAGGGGTACTTTGGGCTTATGAGTCCGAGGGCGAGCTAGAGATGGAGAGACGGGAAGACGGAGGTAGTAGGCAGAATAGCCGTCACACACACACACACACAATGACCGTACATAGCTAGCACAATGTACATAGCACACATGATTCTTTCTTGATGCGTTGAGACGTGGCGACGCGATGAGACGAGACGAGACGTGGTAGCTCTTGTTTTTCATGGACAATGTCAATGGTCAGTCAGTCATTCAATGGACAATTCACTTCCACCTCCACCTGCAGCTCCAGCTCCAGCTCCAGCTCCAGCTCCAGCTCCAGCTCCAGCTCCA